AATGACGCCACGAGAGTGTTCAAAGGTCGTGGGGGCACGGACAGGGTGACAGGCAGGATGGGTTGGGCCCTAAACCCTAAACCCTAAACCCTAAACCTTAAACCCTAAACCCTAAACTGGGGGGGAGCACCACTTCAGCAAGAACATTGCGTGCACAGGTAGGGTGGGGAGTCAGTTCTCTGCATTAGGGTACTATTTGGGGGTCCCCTACATAGTAACGCAGCTTATAACAAGGACCCCGCACAAGGGACCCTCATTTCGAGAACTACCCAGATGGAGATCTTGTGCTAAAGCTCTACGACCCAACCCAAAACCCTTAACCCTTAACCCCAACCCTAAACCCTAAACCCCAAACCCTAAACCCCACAAACAACCCTAAACCCAAAAAACAGAAACCCTAAACGCTAAACGCTAAACCCTAAACCCTAAACCCTAAACCCTAAACCCTAAACCCTAAACCCTAAACCCTAAACCCTAAACCCTAAACCCTAAACCCTAAACCCTAAACAAGCAATCAACTCGAGCCCTGACAGCCGACTGAAGGTTCACATGACTTTACCTTGACGCTGGCAGAAGCGGAAGCCTCAAAAAACACCGAGAGGGTTTTAGGGTTGAGGGTTTTAGGGGTCTAGGGTTTAGGGTCTAGGGTTTAGGGTTTAGGGTTTAGGGTTTAGGGTCTCAGGGTTTTGAGGCTGCAGGGTTTGAAGGTTCGAAGGGCTTGAAGGGCTGAAGGGTCTGAAGCGTCGAAGGGTTGAAGAGTTGAAGGGTTTAGGGTTTAGGGTTTAAGGTTTAGGGTTAGAACCCCGAAAGCTCAACAAACCCTGTGTCCGCATTGCAGGACTAAACTCGCAGCATCTGCATGCTTGGCTCAGGCTGCTGCAGCGACGCATTGTTCGCGCCTGAGGTATCACTGGAGCACATCAAGCTCACAAGTCTGAAGAACTAAAGTACACAAAAAATGTACTAATCAAGGGACTGGCGGTTTAGGGTTTAGGGTTTAGGGTTTAGGGTTTAGGGTTTAGGGTTCAGGGTTTAGGGTTGAGAACTCATTGAGCCCATGCAAGACAACAATCTGTGTGCCGCACGGAACACCAGCAAGTAGCACATCGTGGGTCCTCTTTTGGTATGTAGGGTTTAGGGTGTAAATTCGGGTTTAGGGTTTAGAGTTTAGGGTTTAGGGTTTAGGGTTTAGGGTTTAGGGTTTAGAGCTTAGGGTTCAGTTTGGGCACTTCCATACCTAGTAAAAGCCTATGCGTATTATGTGCTCCTGCATTCTCCCATGGCACTGCGTGCAGCAACCAGGTTTTGACGCTGGACCCTGGGGACCCCTGGGGAAGGAAGATGCTGCGTCTTGCCGTTCCCCGTGATTGATTGGAAGAGGGAAACCCTCAACCCAACCCGAAACCCTGAACCCAAAGCACTCGGAAAGCCCACTCTAAACTAACCCAACTTCCCCCATCCCCCCTCCCCGTCCCCCTCAGAGAAAGTGCGAGAGAGGGAGGGAGAGTGGGAGAGAGAGAGAGAGAGAGCGTGAGAGTGAGAGAGAGAGAGAGAGAGAGAGAGAGAGAGAGAGAGAGAGAGAGAGAGAGAGAGAGAGAGAGAGAGCGAAAGAGAGAGAGAGAGAGAGAGAGCGAGAGAAAGAGAAATAAACAACAACAAAACTCAACCCTCAACTAACCCTCGAAACCCCTCACACCTGAACGCTACAACCTAGATACCAAAAACCCTAAACCCTACAACCCTAAACCCTACAACCCTAAGACTCTAAAACCCAAAATCCCTAAACCCAAAAACTCTAAACCCTACAACCCTCAAACCCTACAAATCTAAAACCCTAGATCCCTAGATCCATACAACTTGAGAGTCTTGTCCCTGTCCTGCCTTCTGGTTGTGGAGGGCGACATGGAGTCGCTAATTAGTTTGCATGGTTGTCCAGTGCATATGCCCTCATGACCATGCTCACTCTGATACATTGCAACATCAAAGCATGAGCAGGCTGACTCACCTGAAAACATGAAACTGCCTTGCGAGGAAAACTTTTTCTAATCTTGCTGGCTCAGCGGCCCAGCTTTTTGCAGGTACAGGGTCAAGCGTCCTTGACCCCTTCCCACCTCTGGCAATAGCTTCGTTGCGTGCAGTATGCCAAAGGTGCTGCACGCCCCTGCATGAAATCAAAAAGGTTTCAAAACGGAAAGCCAAGAAAACGAAAACTTTCATGGATCCGACGTGTAGTGCAGCAAATCGCATGTATAGCAGAATAACACAAACAGGCCCCAGAGGGGCCACCAAGCGATCATTCAACCTCGATGTATCCATGAATTTGACCCACAGTTCCGATCCGGCGCTGGGCTTGATGCAAATCCACTCGTCTGATGGAGGAGGAATCTCTGGTCCTTCTGGAATCTGAGTGCCATTTTTGGACACGTGCTGTCCAAGTTGCCAACTTGGCGCGGTTGGCTTTGCTCAACGTGAGCCCTTCAATCCATGCGCTGACCTCTTTGTCATTTTTGCATGTTTTCCAATTGCGGGTAAGGAAGCCCTTTTTGGCCTCGTCCACTTTGCGAACAGTGTGCGAGACATGTGAAGCCATGCCGTACTCCAACTTGCTGTCGACCTGCATAGGCGTAGCTGACAAGGGCTTAGAATCACTGACAACATGTGGCTCACCGGAGCACGTAAGAATCAGCACTGGCATTCGACACAACAAGCTGAATTGACGTGCTCGGCTCATCTCTCACTGCTGGACGACGTCGGGGGAGAGGCGGGCACGACCGCAACACCGGGCTCCGGGACCTGCTGTCCCTCATGCGAGGGAGGGCCAATCTTTCAATGACACGGTTGGCCATTGCTTCATCATGCACCTGAATCATATTAGCAGACGGTCCATAGCCTTCCATCAACGTCAGAAAAGGAGAAGTTGGCGGGGCGCGCGAGGCACCATAACACCTGAACGTTCTGACGCACAAGGAAGGGCCGGAGTGCGGCGAAGAGGAGGAGGAGATCCATGTCTTCCTTCATCAGGGCGGGCCCAGGCCGGAAGCGCTTCCGGAGGAGTCAAAGCACGGCTAACCTCCTGGGCCACTCGTCGACGAATGTACATCTCCACCGACGAACTGATGGGGCCCGGTGGGCCTGAAGACTTCGGAAACAGGTTGAGGCTGTCGTCCGAGGAAGCCCCCATGATTGTAAATGGGCAACAAAAGTATTAGTCACGAAAGCTACAAATGCGCTCGAGCATTGTCTCGTAGAACGGGTCCCCCAAATGCGTGGTCATGCGGAACAACCTGTAATGTTGCACCCTGTTTAGTGTGGGGGGCCCCCACCCCCCCCCCCGTGTGCAGCTTAAATAGGGTTTATTTGGAAGCTGGCACTCGTGTTCACAAGAGGAAAAAAGGCCCCAAAACGTATACTTATTTACAAGAGCCAACTTCCAAATAGACCCTATTTTAGGTCCTAGGGGGGGTCCCAGGCCTGAATTAAATATGAATGCCCCGATTTAAATATGAATATTTAATTCTGGAGCTTCATATTTAAATTATTTAATTCGGGCCCGGGAATTAAATAATTTAAATAATTTAAATAATTTAAATAATTTAAATAATTTAAATAATTTAAATAATTTAAATCCTGGAGGGGGGGGGGGGGCGGGCCTCCTCCCGCAGGAGGAATTAAATAATTTAAATATGAAGGCCCCGAATTAAATATTAATATTTAATTCGGAGCCTTCATATTTAAATTGTTTAATTCTTCCTGCGGGAGGCCCCCTCCAGGATTTAAATTATTTAAATTATTTAAATTATTAAAATTATTTAATTCCCGGGCCCGATTTAAATAATTTAAATATGAAGGCCACGATTTAAATATGAATATTTAATTCGGGAGCTTCATATTTAAATTATGTAAATCGGGCCCGGGAATTAAATAATTTAAATAATTTAAATAATTTAAATCCTGGAGGGGGGGGGCCGGGCTTCCTCCCGCAGGAGGAATTAAATAATTTAAATATGAAGGCCCCGAATTAAATATTAATATTTAATTCGGGGCCTTCATATTTAAATTATTTAATTCCTCCTGCGGGAGGAGGCCCGGCCCCCCCCCCCTCCAGGATTTAAAATATTTAAATTATTTAAATTATTTAAATTATTTAATTCCCGGGCCCGATTTAAATAATTTAAATATGAAGCTCCCGAATTAAATATTCAAATTTAAATCGTGGCCTTCATATTTAAATTATTTAAATCGGGCCCGGGAATTAAATAATTTAAATAATTTAAATAATTTAAATAATTTAAATACTTTAAATCCTGGAGGGGGGGGGGCCGGGCCTCCTCCCGCAGGAGGAATTAAATAATTTAAATATGAAGGCCCCGAATTAAATATTAATATTTAATTCGGGGCCTTCATATTTAAATTATTTAATTCCTCCTGCGGGAGGAGGCCCGCCCCCCCCCCCTCCAGGATTTAAATTATTTAAATTATTTAAATTATTTAATTCCCGGGCCCGAATTAAATAATTTAAATATGAAGCTCCAGAATTAAATATTCATATTTAAATCGGGGCCTTCATATTTAATTCAGGCCTGGGACCCCCCCTAGGACCTAAAATAGGGTCTATTTGGAAGTTGGCTCTTGTAAATAAGTATACGTTTTGGGGCCTTTTTTCCTCTTGTGAACACGAGTGCCAGCTTCCAAATAAACCCTATTTAAGCTGCACACCCCCCCCCCCCCCCCACCCCCCCCCCCCCTCCCAGGGTTTAGGGTTTTAGGGTTTAGGGTTTAGGGCCCCCCTCCTCCTCCACCCTCCCTCCCCTCCACCCCCTCCCTCCCCTTCCCTCCCCTCCCCTCCACCCCACCCCCTCCCCCCTCCCCCCCCTCCCTCCCCTCCACCCCCTCCCTCCCTCCCCCCCTCCCCCCCCTCCCTCCCCTCCACCCCCTCCCTCCCTCCCTTTTTGGTAGTGCTCTCACCTTCTCTCCTGAGAAGTTCTTGTCCTACTGCGAAGGCCATCCAAGTGTTCTGCTTCAAGGACTTCCACATTCGACAAAATTCAAAAAGGGCCTGTACGGTCTGCTATGTAGTACATGGATGTTTCAGGTTCAATCGTGCAACTTCATTGACTAGCCACATGACATGCGCTCTTGCAGGATGGCAAGTTCAGCCGCCTTGCTACTACCCCCAGCGCGCATGCTGGTGGCATTCTCGCGCTGCAGTTCTGCGCCAAGACTATGTTCCTTGACCTCTCCTTTAGTGTGGTTCCTCCTGACACTGTCGCCCAGTGTCATTGCAAGTCTGCATTTACACGCAGTTTCGGCCAAGATCGCACGCAGTCGCTGCACCGCAGGTGCTTGTTGACAGCTGATGAGCATGGCATCATCAAGATTTGGGAGCTCAGTTCTGCGACCGGTGAGCTTGTGCTCAAGGCCTTTGCCGATTTTGTGTTGCAAAAGCTGTCCACATTCTGGCATGTGGTCGATTCCTGTCATACCCTGTTGTCCTCTTCGGAGTGGAAAGCTGACCATTGATGGGATACATCATGGGGCAGGGCAGCGCGCAGCCCACGTAATGAGCAAGTTGCGCCAGGCCAGCATCGATGGGGCTCACGACGGAGGAGCCGTGTCACACATGCAGTTTTGCTCGCAGCGTGCCCCGGCTCACACACTCGCGGATTGCAAGACATGTGTGGGAAGAGGTCACATGCAACATGCATACGAAGGCTTACATGTCATCGGGAGGGCTTCAGTAAGCCCGAAGCTCCACAAGCGGCGGTGGGCGGGGAGGGGTGGGTGACGAGTGTCCTGGGCTTAAACAGTAACCGCTTGAGACGAAGTGCTAGGAAGGGCAGATTATTTTGTCAGTTCCAGAAGTCGCATTCCCTGAGCAGTAATCGCTTGAAGCCCTGAGGTCAACTACCCCAAACCATCCTAAGCCCCAAAAGCCTTGACAAGGAAAGTTGCTCCTGAGTGCTGGTTCTGACAACTGGTTGCGGCTATGGCTCTGGTCTGGAGATGCCCTGCAAGCTGTGGCATCTGTACCAGTGGAAGGCCCATGCCGGGTAAGTCGCGGTGAGTCTATGCCTGGACGCTTGCGTACGGATCCCTGAACACGCTTCACATGCTACCCTTTTGGTTCTTATGCGTGGGTGTGTATGACCCAATACAGGCGACTAATGATGCTGAGAACCGGAAGTTGTAAGAGTTTTCGCTGTCATAGTCATCGCGGCACATCGCAATGTTCGTGCTCAGAACTGTCAAGACGAGACCAATTCATCGAACAGGGCACAGTTTTCATGCTGCAGTTGCTGCAGTTGCACGGGCCGACTTCGCAGGATGCAGCAGCAGCAATCGATGTCCGAGGGCAAACAGAAATACTGGCTTGCCCTGCACTGCACTCGTGAGAGTCCACAAATCGGAAGCCCGAAAAAGGTGAAAGCATCTTGGCACTTCAGCTCGATGCTTCGGCTGGACGCGGCGCCTTGGCGGTAAAACCCCCAAACATGAGTCGGAATAGTGACCTGCTTTTGCGTGTCAGAAGCGCTCCACTGGCTTGTGCCGAAGACCAGGCCAGAGTTGGAGGATATGAGAGGAGCGCATGTTAGGTTTACAGGATTCTGGGTTGGGCTACGCCCAAGCGTGAGAAGAGCAGAAACCGCGCGAAATGTCGAACTTTGTGAGGTTGTTTTCTCGTGCCTTTGCCTGGCGCTTGTGCTCTTGCTTGAGCAGTGCACTACACTAGCATACCATGCTGAACACTTTGGGGGCTGGGCATACGGTAAATCATCGCACTCGGAACAGCTCTGACACAGCTTTCTGGCTTCGGGTTTGCAGCTGTTGGGTTTTCCTGGCTTCCTTGGCTTCTTCGCTTTCGAGGCTCCTGTGGACTTTTAGGCACCTCGCCTGCCCCCCCGCCCCCAAGCCGGACTTTATGACACTTGTGGTTCTGCGCTTTTTTGTGCTCCAAGCCTTACATGTCCAGCAGTGGAGCCATGCTAGAGAGGTATGCTCAGATTCCCCATGTCTTGCACGGAAAGAGGGTGTGCTCAGGTTACTCCGCAGATGTCGATGGTGGAATCAGTGCTGCTCAGATGGGGGAGTCAACTTAAACACCTTTTTCTGCCGCAGTCATAGACATCTCCGTGAAATCTCAAAGCTGAAGCTTTCTTCGAGGAAATTGGACTAAGGTTTGGAAGATTGAAGTCGGTGCTGGGCAGCTGAAGCGTGTCGCCAAAAAGGCCCCATTAGGGCAAGATCTGCGGAGTCAACGAATCAACAAACCAAGGGCTTAGGTTTTATGGGAAGCACAGGTGGGGGGTGTTCTGGTCCCATGATAAAAAACCAGGGCGTCTGACTCTAAAACGGATGCTCTCCAACCCCATGGTTGAGCTGTCTCCTTGAAAGCCTCTTGCGTCTCGTTCCCGGGCGCCCGAACATGTACAGTAGGGCCCCAGCAGGGTTCAGCACATTGCCAAGGAGCTCCGGACTTGAGTTTGGGTGTTTAGAAAGTGAGTTGAATGTAGCTCCAGCCCTCGAATACGACAAAGTTCGTTCCAACGTGCGGGGCAGATCTTTCGCCGGTGAGGGGGCAAAGCCACAAAAGCCCGAATGATTTCTGAGCTCCAGGCGAATGCCCACAGCGGACGAATTCTGGCCTTCACTTTTGATGAAGCCTCCAAGCTGTTGCTGACTGCAGGCATCGGTTTTTGCTGGTATGAGGACATGTCTGGCACAGGTCCGGTAAACTCCTTAGAATGTCGACTTGATCCAGAGTGTTTATCATGCTTGGGATCTGAGATCAAAATTCAACTTCTCGGTGCTGATTGAGCCTCTAGAAAGCGCTGCACCGAGTCTGCGGATTGCCCAATCCTATCCTATCCGCCTGAGCGTAGGTGTGGACAAGGCCATTTGTGTTTGGCGACTGGCTGTGGACCAGCTTGTGATGGTCTGTCGGTCTCATCAGGCGCCATGGACCAGAAGACATAAGACAACCTTGGTCAGATGGTTGGGTCTTGGATTTCGGGTATCAGGGGTTCAACGGTTCAGCTGTACGGTGGCCTCAGGATGTCCTGATGCTGCCTGCTGTTGCGCAACCCTGAGGCACTCCAAACTGGCGTCCTGGCGCTCGCGGCTTGGCAGAGAACTATTATTATTATTATTATTATCATTATTATTATTTTGATCATTCATATTACTAATACTGTTGTTGTTATTCTTCTTAGTTCTTCATATGCATTACATCACGAGCCCTTCTCTTGAGCTTTGCGTGGGCTTGGTGAGGCTAGGCTTGAGATGTGCATGGCCAGCCCGAAGTCTGTATCTGTATCGGACTCCCGCATAGGCTGTTCTTCACGTGGGCTTAGGGTTTAGGGTTTAGGGTTGAGGATGGCTGCAGACTCTGCAACCTCAGCAATCTCAGCAGTCTTGATGCAGCGTTCAGTCACAGGATGTGGGGTCTTAACTGACTCGCATGAAAAACTTGGGGCGATGGCATGTCGGAGCGCATGTGTTGAAGTCTTCTTGTCAGGCATATGATGCTGTCACAGGCCCGCCGTGCTGTGCTGATTCTGAGCTTTCGATCGGCTCCCCTGAGATTGAGTAGGACTTGCAGCTTGTGCCAGGAATCGCGCTTTCGGCGGGCATGTCTGGCGAGATCAACGCCTGGCGTCACAGTGCCTAGGTTTGAGCGTGGCGAGAAGCGACGAAGCGCGGAGCACACTGGTGCGCACATCCAGAGAGAGGTGCGGAACCTTTTGGCAAAATGCATGGCAAGGTGGGGACTCCCTCAAGCCGCTGCCGCTGGATACAGTCGAGGAGGGTGAAGGTCTCTTGGTTCTCCGCTTTGACGCTGCCTCGAAGGCGGGCTGCTGGTGGCCTCACTCGGTGCTTGTTGGGCCCCGAACGAACATCACCTTTGCCCACATTCAGCACGCCTGCCTAGGTTGTCCTGGGCGGGGGCATGGACGGCTCCGTCCGCGCATGGCACTTGGAGCTTGCGAGCCTAACGGCTGCTGGCCGGCCGGTGCGAGCGCACCAGGGCTGGACCCGGATGCTGCACTACGACGTGGAGAGCGACCTGCTGGTTAGCTGCGGAGATGATGGCCATGTGAAGGCCTGCCAAGGTAAAGGCATCCTAGCCGTCACCCGAACCGGTCCCCACCTGAATGGCACGCGACTGTCACAGTATCCCTACCCCTGTGAAGGTTGTCGTAGTAGAGAGGGCAGCAGGAGTTAGATTCAACTGGTGCTGCTCGAAGGATTCGAAGGACCCAGGATCAGCTTGCATTTGTTTTCTTGTATTTGTAGTAGAGAAGGCCACCAGGAAGAGATCATGGGCAAAGCAAGGGCAGCAAGGGTGCCAGCAACTGTGTGGCAGTAGTCATCGAGCGATGCTTCTCTAGTAGCTGATGCTCTCCAATAAATCGAGCCAGGTCTGGAAGCGCCATGGCGTTGTTTTGGCACCCATCGGCCAAGCCAGAGACGCCCATCCGGATGGCGTGCGAGGTGTGCTGGTAGATGGCCGGCGCGGCACTGAGAGCAAGATATGCCACAATGTCAGGTCAGGTTTTCAGGGGTGTTTCTCATGAGACGATAGGGAAACGATCAGCCCAACGCCAGTTCCGAGAGCCAGGCAGCATCTGGTCTTGAGCTGCGGCGACAATGGACTGGTCAAGGCACACAATAGACCACCCGCGCCCCGAAACATACCCCGTAACATACCCCCGAAATTGCAGGTAAAGTAGCTCATGATGTCGCGAAACATACCCGAAGCATGTCCCCGAAGCATGTCCCCGAAACATACCCCGAAACATAACCGCGAAACCCCTGATCCCACCACCTGCCGAACCCCCCCCCCCCCCCATTATAACACAAATCCATATAGACCCTTAAATAATAGTAGGATCCCCTCAGCAGAAGGACCCCAATAAGGTACCCGGAATATGGTAAACCCCCATTTGCCACCAACCCGGTAACCCGAACATACCTGGACTGCAGGCATTTCACCAGGAGGATTGGGGACTCCAAGCGTGCCCTGAGGGCTCGCATGAGCATGGCTCGCCAGTCTTCAATCTCCAGTACTTCGTGAAGTCGCGGCTGCTGATGAGCTGCGGCGCCCCGACATCATTAGCCCTGACCCGTTTTCAGGTCAGATGAACCAACAGGATGTCAACTTGTGCTATGACACGATGATGTCCTCCCTAGCATGATCCACTTTCGAGGCATGGACGGTCGTCTGCGGGCCTGGCAGACAGACTCTACGACCGGGCACCTGCGCTTGTTGGCAGAGGACGCGAAGGAGAAGCCTCTCGGCTGTGGCTCTGTTTTGGGTGGTTACTCCTCTAGTCCGAATCACCTTCCCAGATGTCTGGATTGTGACACAAAATAGAGAAGAGGCATGATTCCGCAGAGAACTTCTGTAATCGGCGTAAAATCAAATCAGACCTGATTGTCCAAGTCCAGATGCCAACGCTCCACACACAGATAAGAAGCCATACAATTTGGCCTGTTCTTGCAAAGCGCTGTTTGGATGGAACTGCACTGGAAGTTCTAACAGCGGAATTGGATTTTCCTGTACACTACGGCCACTAGTTTAATCAAGTGCGATTTCCAACTGTAGCAAGACACCGAACCCAGGCCTTATACTGGTAGTGCACACAGGCTGCAGCCGACGCTGGCCATGAAGTTCGATCCCAAGAGCGGCCACTCGGCCCGACAACCTTTGAATCCATGACGATACATTGACGTCGCTGCTCCTGAAGAGTTTTTTGGGCGACAGGAAATATCTTCACATCTGGCATCGATGGCGCCATTCACGTCTGGAGGCTGCGGGGGCATGTTTGCTGCATGTCCCAACAGGCCCCAACGGAGGCCTGCATCAACGCGGACATGGCTCAACATGTTTGAGTCCAGTGGGGGGGTGCCTCATGTGCCCATGTTCTTTTGCTTGTCGCCGTGCGCCTGTCCCAGCTGAAGAGGGGCAGTGAAATCGGGGGGGGGGGGGGGGGGGGGTTTTTTTTGTGGGTGTTGGCTATAAGCCCGCTTCCCAACACGCCGGTGCCAGGCTGGACGCTGGAAGGATCTGTGAGGTCACTAGTGCAGCTGACGCTCATGAAGGTCGAGTGGTCTGCAAATAGCAAGGGTAAGGCTTGAGGATGTTAAGGGTTTGCGAGGCCCATGGCTTGAGGGTTGCTTTTGCCATATGTGACCTCGTTTAATTACTGCTAGGCCTGTGACACCTGCTTCCCCGAAGCTTCGCAAGGTTCGATTCGCACGATGCACCTGGATCGATCTGGCAAGCTGCTGTTCACGGCCGGGGAAGATGGCTGTCTCAGAGCCTGGCAGTTGAAGGACGCCCGGCAAGCGCTCATGATCAGAAGCGACTAGCAGAAGAATCAACCAACACGCCATGCAACGATAAACAGAGAGGAAGACAAATAAGAGCCTTACACCAGTGAAGACTTCTTGTTTCTTGAAACCACTAGAGCTCCTAAGCATTTCAAAGCTACGTGGGAATTGACACAAATCGTAAGAATACGCGGAGGCATGCAGAGGCGAAAGCAATGATCTCAGCGAATCATCCGACAGACGAGAGTGACGAGAGAGGGTGAGCAACCGCGGGGAAGGTGCGCGAGGGAGCCCTTCTGGTGGATGGCCCAACTTGCTTACAAAGAAGGCGCCTCTCGAGATGCCATGTGCATCCCTTGTTTTAGAACTGCACCAGGTCTACGCATGATGAGATCATGGCCACTGGGTCGAAGTACAAGATTGTAGGAGCAAAGCAGAGCCCCTGGGTGAAATCAATCCTGCTCGGCATGGACTGCGATGGCGCCTTTCCCGTCATCCTTACCACCATGCCGGGTTTGAAGACATGGGGCAGGGGTAATCGGTAACTTGGAGGATCTGACTCTTCACCCGCATGAGACCCTTTGGAATTGTGGCGCAGCATTTGACACAAAGAGACCCCTGCACACCACCGGGGGCTCAGATAAAGGCATAGGACACAAGGAACCAGGAGAAACAAGAACCCAAAAGCTCGTGGCAGTCTCATTGTCCTGCTCTCCTGAACTCGTGCAAGGAAGACTGCCTGCACAAGATCGCTGAACTGGAGGAAGCAGACGCCAGTGGGTTCCAGGCTGCTGGTATGCAAAGTAATTACTGTGCTCTGGGTTCTTCTGGCTGGAATGTCCCCCATGTCGTGTGTGGCGGAACACAAATTTCGAGCGATCCTCATTCTAGAGCTCAAATCCCGGCCCTCAGAGCAGCGAGCCGTGGCAAGCGAACAAAAAGCCACTCACCCTTTTATCCACAAAGGCTAGAAGCTCGAGAACCTAAACCCTAAACCCTAAACCCTAAACCCAAATCCCTAATCCGAAATCCTTCCCTGCACGAGTGTGAGAGCCGAAGCCCTAAGGTCATAGCTGTCCACAGCCCAACCAAGCGCCTCGTGGCAGCGAGCTCCGATCGGGGACTCAGTGTCTGGGAGCTCCAAGGCAGGGATTGTAGGTACATATACATATATATATATACAAATAAGTCAACAACTAGTTATGTATATATATATATATATACGTGTGTATATGAAAATATGTAAATATGTAAATATGCAAATATGTAAATATGCAAATATGTACATATGTAAATATGTAAATATGTAAATATGTAAATATGGAAATATGTAAGAGTTGGTCTTTGGTGGTCTTCGGGGGTCGGCTTCGGTTTGGGAGTATGGCAGCCGGCTGCGACTGGTGGAGCAGTGCGGCAAGAAGTTGGCCGACCCTGGCCCGAGGCAATACTTTCAGACTTCTCCACAAAGTCGAGGAGGCGCACGCGGCTGGGCAGCCATTGGATGTATGGATATACTCATATACTATTCATGTACTACTCTACGAATATATCAATTCACAGCTTTTGGGAGAACGGAGCCTCTGCGAAGTGTCCCCACCGAGATCCTAGGTGAACGTAATCAACTGCCTTCAGTTCGACGGCGAGACGAACACTGCACCCTGCTCGCGCTGGGCTTCGATATCCGATTCGAGAGCTGAGCTAAAAGGTAAAAGCAGGTGTCTCAAGTCCTGCCCCGACCATGTTGCGCCCAAGCTTTCCAACGTGGGGGCTTAGAAACAACGAGAAGACATAAGGCCCACGAGCCAGCCTCTCGCCCGCAAGGTATTCACCGGCTGTCACTCCGTCCGTGTCTGGAGTGTTGCGGGCTCGCTGAAGCAACTTCTGAACGTAGTGGAGCCCTTTGGAAAGCTCCTCGTCTGTAGAAGCAGCACGTGGAACCCGAAGGGGTTTGAGTAGACAGGGATGGACAAGGCGGACAAGGATTGCAGGATTGCTGGTCTTCAGGAGGTAGCTCTGCATCTTCAGGATCGAAGGCTCTGTGGCCAATCTGAAGTCGGGCGGGCGTTGCTGGTGGGCTTTGTGGCTTCTACGAATGTATGTGGCTTCTGTGAATTTGTCCAAGCAAAAGGGCAGTGCAGTCGCGCTCAGTTGCTCAGACTCAGAGACAGTGCCGGGTAAACCAAGCCTGTGAGAGAGAGAGAGAGAGAGAGAGAGAAACCAAGCTCTTCCGGAGGTTTGCACTTCTTAGCAGCTCCCCGCAGGTCCACTTCCATCACGGCCATTCGCTACCGGCAAAAGGGAGGTGGCGCGGCGGGAGATCATGGGGTGATGGCCGGTCACGTTGCCCTAAACCCTGAAACCCTGAACATATATGTCATTCAGGTAGAGAAAAAATCAGCATTGACACATGTGCATATGTGTTTTTTCTCGCGGTTTTCCTCCAGACATCTGCCGAGGTCTCCTGTTCGGCGGCGGGTCCACAGGCTCGGGGACTCGGGGAGTGTTTCGGTAAAGTTGTGGGAGGGCCCAGGTTTTGGGATGATGGTGGAGGGGTAGCCGGGTAGCCATTCCCAGAAAGCGTAGCGAGTGCGTTGCTGATGTTTGGTGACATCTGTGATACCAGGATGAAAGTATGGTGACATCGATGCTTCTGTGACTCGATTTTTTTTTAATATTTCGATGGAACGATACCTAAAGGTTTCAGCCATGGCAGTCCCGGTGCTCTTTGGTGGGGTTCACCATCCTCGAAACAATAATCGATTTTGGATCCTCGCATCTCAGAAGCCTAGACTGACCACATCCCCTGCCCACCCGTGCTCTTGCAAACCCAGGATCAACCAACCGCAGCGCCCATCACACCCTCATTCTCCCATGTCTTCTTACGCCCTGTCCATTCGGGGTCGGCGAAAAAATGGAACTCAGGCGTCTGAAATGCCCAAGAGACATGCCTCTATCTGCATGGCCGAAGGACACGTGGCTACTCCCTGCACCCTACAAAATCCAGCAACGACTTTGCACCGGAAGTCCCAGAGGTTGAGGGACGACTTCTGTAATTAGCATGCTGCGGAAGCGAATCCCTGTGCTTTGCTTCCCACACTGCACATGGGTCAGGCTCGATCTCAGTCTGGCACTACTCGGAGCCCGAGCTGGTCTTACTTTTCACAGTGCAGAACGCACATTTTCGAGGGATGGTCTCCATCGTGTTTTGCGCAGAACATGGACGCTTGTACACGGGTGGCAACGACAAGCTGTTGAACTTGGGCAGCAAGAGCTGGGAGTAGCATCGGACTAGTGACTGGTATCGGACCTCATGGCTGTTGCCTTTACATGTGGGAGCCACGTGAGGGTGTGGAAAACTCGAGTCCCAACCCCCTGTCTCCGCAGCTCACAAAGCGTGTGTGAACTCGGACTTGTCTTCGTCCATGCACAGTTTTCAGGACTTCGGGGGGGGGGGGGCGCCTTTCCCTTTTCCTCGTTATCATTCAGATCTCGTGTCTTCCAAGTAGTGATGATTCCTATTCGCTACTTGGAGCCTACTGATCTCTGTGCTAGAAGTTACTAGCGCTATATTGGAAAGGACATGAATTCAACATCTCGTACATGATAAAGCTATTCTCTTTGGCCTGGTTTCAGTTGAGTAAGGTAAGCTTTCTCAGTCGTTTTGCCATGGCATGTGGAGTGCCGGAGTGCCATGTGAGGTATTGGCAGTAGTTTCGTAAGCAAAGCAGTGCTGGAGTCGCCAGCACATCATGGCCAGCATGATATCGCCAGCAGTGCAAGCAGAATGGGTTTCAGGAGGAAGCGTGGGCGGCATCCCCGCAAGCATGGCCCAATTGCTGGCCGTCACAAAGTCGCACGCAAGTCTCACAGAGCAGGCGAGCCAGCGAAGTATACAAGCAGGTGCACGGCAGGTGTGGCCATGGTCACGTAAGTGTGAGAATGGCATCAATGGCGAGGCGCTTTCTGGCAGGTATTGTGGGACTGCCTGATGAAGGCCCCTGAAGTCAAACTTCTTGCATCAGAAGGTCTGCAAATCGTGCCCCATGCCGACTTCTTTAGCTTCCTGGGTAGCTGCAATTTAGCCTTTTGACCTCGTTCCCGGAACGTTGGAACACCCCCCCCCCCCCCCCGCCACGAGCCAAATACTATCCCTGCGTCAACCTCGCCTGCTATCCTGTGTTGCTCCAGGCTGAGAGCAGTGAGAGTTGCAGTGCACCGTGGGCAACGCGCGTTTGCTTTGAGTTCTCTGAGGAAGTCGTGGAATCTCCTGGGTGGCCTATCAGTCCTTGGCGTCGCCATGGAGTCTGGGACGCAGCGCCCTTTTTCAGCTTGCCCTGCCCCTGGCCCGAAAGGCTAAGGCGGCTAAGGAGGGTTGGGACCATGGCATTGAGGGCGTCTGCAACCAGGCACTTGAGAGAACCCTGGCGCAAAAAGAGTTTAGGGTTTAGGGCCGGCTGAGCCTGGAGTAAAAAGAGGGTGGTTTAGGGTGTGATAGCTATGTTCACATTTGATGATTCGTTTGCCCCCGTCTCACTGTCTCACCTATTTCCCTCCACCAAGCCTGCTAGGCCCTGCCATTTAGTTGCTCTCAGAGGTCTCCGAGCAGCGAAGCACTACCTTGTGTGGCAACTGTATGTGATTGTCCTTGCTATGATGGCGTGTGTTACGTATACAATGCAGATGGTGAAGATTCAGTTGTTTCGCCTGAAGATGTCACGAATCTTCTCAGCGGGGCGATGACTTCGAGTTCGGCCTCTGTTCTTATCCCGTGAATCCAACGAAGCTACCGCCTCCGCTCAAGAGAGCCGGCTTTCTGCACGGTACATCTTCGTGTCTTGCCCAATACAACGGCTGTCTCAGGCTCCAAAAACAGGACGACATCGCAAAGCGCATTGCAGTTCCACCCTTGCCCCAGCTGCCCGCCGCCTCTTACCCTACTTGAGAACTCAAAGCGTGCGCAAGTCAAAAGAGCCGCCAGGAGCCCCAGGAAGCCCAGCCCGTGGCACAACCTGTGGCAAAAGAGGCCCCAGCCGAGGAGAAGGCCCCTTTTGTTGTGGGGGGGAAAGGCTATAGCACAGACACAGCACACAGGGTTGGGGAGCGCAGCCCTGTGGGACTAGCATCTTCCGCAGCGCAAGCAAGGCTCATGAGTAAGGTCCAAGCGAGTCTTGGAGTTTGCCTGAAGCAACTCCAAGCCCGTGATGCGCCTGGGACTCTTTGAATAAGCGTGCTAGCAGCTGCCCATTCTTTGGGCGACCTCCTCAGATCCGTCTTCATGCTCGGAGAATTTGGCCCGAGTTGTTCCTTCCACGTGCTGTGCTGGCAGGCCCCGGCCGTGGAAGCGAAAGAAGAGGATGGCGGTGATGGAATGTCGAACAAGGAGAGCCACGGGACAACTGCAGTGTACCTGTATTGTGTGCAGTAGATTGAACCATTCTGGCTAAGAGTGGCTAACGGCTAGAGCCCTCCCCACGGCCTCCCATGAGGAGTTGATGGATTTGTTCTCGAATCCGGATTTGATACAGCTCCTGCAGAAAGAGGCGGGCCCCTTAATCGGGAAGCTCACTTCGGGCGTACCGAAAACATGTCTGCAAAGTTTGCATTGCCACAAGCTTGAACTTTTGTCAGGTTGGAGAGGATCGGTCCTGAGAGGGTTTTGACGCTGTTTTGACGCTGTTGTGTTCTCTGAAACCTGAGAGAAGAGCTTTATGCAGCCGTGAAATGCAGCAGGAGTCCTAACGCCAGACGCCGGTGGCAGTGAGACGACGGCCTCGGCCCACATGGTCAGCTCTCTGCGTAGTGTCCCCTGATTTGTGGGGGTGGGGCGAGGTTGCCCCCAGTTTCAGGGGCCGTATTTTACAGTAACAGGGGACCTGGATTCAGAGAACTAGCCACGGCGGCTTCGATCGCGTGTGCAAGGCTGCGGATTTGCAGCCATCATTCGTCGGGCGTTGGCTTGAAACCCCTAAAACATCTCGCCTGGATCGTCTCAGTACTCTCGGTGTCTTTTCACACGAAGCTGCACGGATCTGCAGCCGGTATATTGAAGCCCCGAGGATGGCATGCAAAGCTCGGCCGGCATCCTATTTAGACAAGTTGTGTTCAGGGCAACGCAGGTACCTGAGCAAACTCGAAGCATTCTACTGGCAATGACGATGAAGAGCCACATGAGCAGCAGCGGAAGACATGCAAAACCTGAGTTCGATCTTATTCTTAGGCGATTGGGAAAAGCAAAGGCAGCTATGGCAAGCAATTTGGCTCCACGCCCTGCGCGTAGATGGGGCCTCAGAGCCTTAGAATCAGCCCAACTCGATGGAGCCCGATCATCTCAATTTTGAGCGGCGGTCCTCTACTGGTAGCACATTGGCACATGCCGAGCCCAAGTAGACTCAGAGATAGCTTGACTGAGTCTCACTTGCACTTTTCTTCTCCCCGAAGGTGGTGCGAAGGGCTTTCAGCTTCTGCTTTCAGGCTTTTCCTGTCATTTTCCTCTGTTTTTCTTGTTCGTGAGCCTTCGTCTTCTTTTCATTCAAAACTGATCTTTTTAAGGCGGGGGGTTGGGGGGGCAGCTCGCAAGAGGCCGTGCTTTTCCGGTCTCATCGGAGGCGCGCTCGTCAATCGACCCCTCTTCGTCTGTGCAGGGTGTCGGGGCGTCGTTTTCAGAGCGTTTCACAGAGCGATCGACCGCCGGAGCAGCTGTCAAAGAGTGATGGACGAATGTTTCGGTCGTGCGGTGTGTCGCGGCGCCAAATCGAGCACGTCCGAAATCGCGATCGATGGAGAAAACCTGCAGTAGAATCGCTTGTGGAAACCCGATCGAGAAGCCCGGAAACTGTTTGAGTTTAGTACAAGCGTACTGCAGAAACGCCGCTTTGGAACGAACCGTTGTTTATTGAGTGCAGCCGTAATGCGCCGAATGGCCCCTCCGGTCCGGGCCTGGAAAACGTGTTTTTCCCCACCCCCTTGTGTGGGGTTGTTGGGTTCGTTTTCAGTCCACCAAGTAATTTATGAAGACAGTAGTCCAAGAGTAAAAAAAGAATGTAATAACATAGTCATATAGTAATATAGTAAGTAAAATACAATTCAGTAACATATTCATAGAGAAATGTAGTACTATAGTAAGATAGTAATTTATACAGATATAGTAACATAGTAATATATACAAACATAGCAATTATAGCAATAAAGTAATATAGCAACATAGTAACACTGCAACATAGAAATATAGTAATATAGAAATATAGAAATATAGAAATATAGTAATATAGTAATCTAGTAATATAGTAATATCGTAATATCGTAATATAGTAATATAGTAATATAGTAATCTAGTAATATAGTAATATAGTCATATAGTAATATAGTAATATAGTAAGACAGTAATACAGTAATATAGTAATTGTAAACGCTTGCGCGCGCCGCCTCGGCAGCCGGGCCGGCCCCAGGCAGGAAAGGGAAAGAGGGTTTCACAAAACAAGGGCGGGGGTTAGGGGTGGGGGGGGGGGGGGGGGGGGGTGGGGGGGTGGGGGGGGTTGGGGAGGGGGGGGGGTGGGGGGGGGGGGGGGGGGGGAGGGGTGGGGGGGGGGGTGGGGGGGGGGGGGTGGGGGGGGGGGGGTGGGGGGGCGGGGTGGGTGTGGGGGGGGGGGTGGGGTGGGGGGGGGGGGGTTGAGGGGTTTTGAGGCACTCTGCCTGGAGCTACCGACAGGCGGGACCCGCCGCGCTCCTCTTGGGTTAGGGGGAAGGAGGCCCGATCCGGGTCTGCTTGTTCCAGACGCTTCTCGGCAGGAAGCCGAGGCGAATATAGTAACATAGTAATATAGTAACATAGTAATATAGTAATATACTCGTACTTGAGTAGTAATTTAGTCATATAGTAATATAGTAATATAGTAATATTATAGTAACATAGTAATATTGAAGAAAGTAGTAACATAGTAATATTGTAATCGAGTAATATAAGAATTTCGGAACAAACCAATATTGTCATATAATGGTATAACATTCTCCCGGTCGGTCGTCATCGCCCGGTGTCCTGGTGCCTCGCAGCGAGTCCCACCGAGCTTCCTGGCGTGAGCATCCCTGGGGTGTCCAGGGTTTAGGGGTTAGGGTCAGGCCACATGTGTTCACATCTTGACTGGTGATCTGTTGGAGATGCATTTGCATCTATTTCACCAAGTCCACTATCAGCATCTTCGCAATCTTGTGGTTGTCATGTTTGAGAGCGTCCCAGTCCAGCCCAGATGGGAAAAAAGGGTCAGGCCACATACGCCACGCAAACAGCCCCCCGAGTATGCGCCCAGAGGAGTCCGCAGCCACCCCAGACAAGTCCGCAAAGAGTCCAAGTCCTGCCGAGCCCACCTAGGGTCGGCGAGCATCCCAGTCTCAAAGAGCCCAGGAACCCACCGAGTGTTTTTGCAGTGCCAAAAGAGGGTGTTGCCGAGGATCCTTGCAGTGCCCCCACCCAGAAAGGCCAAAGTTTCATGCCGAGCGTCGCTGGTGCCCACCCCGGAGAGTTTCGCAGAGAGTCCCGCGACAAGAGACTGCGGCGAAGCATCCTGAATCGGCCTCAGGCCCTCCGGCGCTTAGATCCAGGTCTAGGGTAACCTTCGAAAGGTCTGCCCGCCCCGTGGGCGCCGAGTTTTTTCTTCAGATGTGAACAGCCGCTTTTCACCCCTCCGGGGCGGAAGAACCGTTTTGGAAGGTGCCTGGGGAGGTGATGAGAGGGCGGGGCGGGGAAAATGCTCCATCACGAAGTATCGCATGATTCTGTCGGCTTGGAACGTGCAAAAACTCTCGCAAAATACCTGGGATCAAAACATTTTGCGCTGGTGGAATGTGCGAAAGCCTTGGAATTTACCTGGGGACTAAACGTTTTCCGCTTTCTCTCTGGTCGTCTTTTTTTGTGTTTTTGAGTTTGAGTTAGCCTTTCGATAACGGAAAAGCTCAGAACATATATCATATCATTTTAACTCTGCATGTCTTGTTTTGGAATATTATGTGCAAAATTGAGATATGTGTGCGTATATATATATATATATATACATACACACGCAATATGTGAGATATGCACTTGAACAGGTTTACGTATGTGCGTGCGCGGGTAGAAGGTGTCACATGGTGAAATGTGTACATACATATACCATAATAGTAGTGGCATGAAGATGCAACACACACACATATACGTGTAATTATTGCAGTTTTTGTTGAACTTCTTCTTGTTGACACGTCATTGTTTAAGCTCTTTCGGGACACCCGCCCTCTTAGTGATTTTGCTGCACCTACCTGGCAACTTGTATCGCCTACTTGGGCCCTGGCACGTGCCAAATGGTTGCAACGTCCTGTTGCTTGTGTGTTTGCAGTTGCTCGGGCTTGCGGCCTGGATGACCAAAAAGCACTTGGCAAAGACATGCAAGCACCGCAGTATCTGCATGAGGGGTGTGGGGCGCCTCGTTGGGTCTGCTTCGGTAGTCGCTCCGGGTTTCGGGCCAGGGCTTCAAGGCAGAGGGGTAACGACGAGGAAGGATGCTGCTTGGGATGTTATCCTCTTATACTAGCAGTCCTTAATAAGGATTCGAAGAGGGGTGATTTTAATCCCTACTAGGGACTGTGAGTATCAGGGGGGAAAATCCCAAAATGTTGCCCTCCTTGGTGGCCAGCCCCGGTCAACCTTCAGGCTCAGACTTGGCTCAAGCCTCCAGGCCTCCAGGTGCGTTCTTTCACAAGCACATTGTCATCAGACTCGGGGGGCAGTTCGGACCCTGCACACTGGCTAGACTTAGTAGACTGTGGCGAGAAGATGCATTAACCTCAGAATTCTTCACCGATTTGCAGAAGCACGCAGGGAAGGGCAAGGGATGACTCCTGATGACTCGCCATGAGCGCGTTCACCGATTTGCAGAAGCACGAAGGGAAAGGCGAAGGATGACTCATGATGACTCGCCATGAGCGCTGGCAGCTCCTGTGCCCCAGGACATGTGTGGTTGGTTCTTGCGTCGGTTGCATGTCAGTGGTGCCATCCAGCACAAGCTGGAAGGCTTGAGGTGAACAGATTTAATGTGCCCGGAGCCATTGAGGGCTGTTGGGAAACCCTCCGTTTCGTGGAGGCGTTTGAGGAGGCTCCTGTTGTAGTGGCCCTCAGCACCATGCAGGGGCCGGCGCCGGCCAAGGTGCGTTTGAGGGCCATCACAAATCATTCGTTCCAGACTTGCATCACAGAGCCAATGCCCGAGGACGGTGAGCACGATAAAATGTCGATCACGTTCATGATGGCATCTCCGGGTGTACACATGCTGCCGGATGGCCGAGTCTTTGAGGCAGGCATTGTGGAAACGATGCAGCGGCAGGGTGCTAGTTGCAGGCCCTTGGACTTCCCCAACAAGGGTTGGGAAGAGCTTGCTTTTGCTCATTCTTTTTCAGAGATTCCAGCGGTACTGACTGACCTTCAGACAGCAAACAACGAAGTATCTAATCAACCATCAGCACCTTGGCTTGTGGTTGGCGTCTCTTCTTTGACATCGTCTTCAATGCGTGTGGCCTTGGATTCTGTCAAGGCCTTCGATGGCCAGGTCAACGTGCCAGAGCAGATCGGCTACATCGCGTTTGATACTCAGGCCAGCACGACACAGATCCAGGTCCCGGCAAAGAGAGTCTGCCAAGTGGGCCAGGAGATATTGATCCGCAGTTGGCAGGGGATGTTTTTGCAAGACCAGGCTGGTGTGCTTCAGGTGGCTTCGAATAGGGACTCCTCGGCCCGGTGGAATACCAGCCTGTCCAACAGCAAGGTCATCTTCACCAGCCATCGGTCCGTTCAGCTGTCAGAGAGCTCTGCCAATGAGCCAATCCTGGAAGCGCAGCAGGCAACTGCACAGGAATGGACAATTGAGGGGGCTGATGGTGGCCAGGTGTTCCTTCTCAGCCAGACAAATCGTGTGCTGATGACAAACGGCAGTGGCACATTGGAATTGCATCTCCAGTGGAGCGACTTTTCATGGTTGCAGAATTTCGAAGTGGGTGTTGTTTGATGCTTCCACCGAGGAGGCTTGCCATGAAATATCCGCGGAGCCCGCAGCCGTGCGCACGATCCCCTACACCGTCGTGCGGTCTGACCTAGTGGGTTCCATGGGCTGGAATAATGCCAATAACGGGCAGCTTTTCACGTTTTCGGGGGAGCTGAGCAGCAACCCGCTTGTATTGGCAAGCCTGATCACGAGAATGGGATCCGATGGTGGATGGCTTCGGCAGGACCTGGACAAGTTGTCCAGTTCTGGTGCACACTTGGTGCTGGAAGAGAACTCATACACAGACGCTACACTGCAGCAGGACTAGCAGCAACTCCTCCTACTACTACTATTACTACTACCTACTACTACTACTACTACTACTACTACTACTACTACTACTACTACTACTACTACTACTACTGCTACGACTACGACTACGACTACGACTACGACGACGACGACTACGACGACGACGACGACTACTACTACTACGACGACGACTACAACGACTACTACGACCACTGCTACTGCTACTGCTACTGCTACTGCTACTGCTGCTACTACTACTACTACTACTACTACTACTACTACCACTATCTAATTACTGCTGCTGCTTGTGCTACTACTATTACTTCTGCTGCTAACTACAGCTACTACTTCTACTACTACAATTACTACTACTACTACTACTACTACTACTACTACTACTACTACTACTACTACTACTACGTAGTACGACTTCTACTACTTACTACAAATAATTACTACTACTAATTATTACTACTAATAACTACTACTACTACTACTACTATTACTACTGCTACGACCACTACTACTACTACTACTACTACTACTACTACTACTACTACTACTACTACTACTACTATTGCTACTACTATTCCTGCTACGACTAATTATTCGTAACTACTACTACTACTACTACTACTACTACTACTACTACTACTACTACTACTACTACTACTACAATTACTACTATTGCTACTACTACTACTACTACTACTACTACTACTACTACTACTACTACTACTACTATTACTACTATTACTACCACTGCCACCACCACTACCACTACCACTACTACTTCTACTACTATTGCTACTACTGACGACGACGACTACTACTGCTACTACTACTACTACTACTACTACTACTACTACTACTACGACTACGACTACGACTACGACTACGACTACGACTGCTACGACTACTACTACTACTACTACTACTACTACTACTACTACTATTACTATTACCATTATTACTGGTATTGGTAGTACTAGTACTACTAGTACTATTAGTACTACTACTACTACTACTACTACTACTACTACTACTACTACTACTACTACTACTACTACTACTACTACTACTACTAGTATTCCTACCACTGCTATTACTACTATTGCTACTACTACTACTATTATTATTGCGATTACTATTACTATTATTATTATTACTACTACTTCATTATTACTGCTACTTACTGCTTACTACTTACTACTACTTACTACCACTTACTACTACTTACTACTACTTACTACTACTTACTACTACTTACTACTACTTACTACTACTTACTACTACTTACTACTACTTACTACTACTTACTACTACTTACTACTACTTACCACTACTTACTACTACTTACTACTACTTACTACTACTTACTACTACTTACTACTACTTACTACTACTTACTACTACTTACTACTACTTACTACTACTTACTACTACTTACTACTACTTACTACTACTTACTACTACTTACTACTAATGTGTATAACAGACGTAGAGGAACCTAGAATCAACGCACCCGAGGCCGCCGAACTGACGATGGCCATGTTGCTCTCGCCGGGACCACTGGCTGCAACCTTCGCTGAGACCAATGGGAGTGTGGGTTGGTTCGGGCTCGGGGGGGTCAATGCCACCGACTTTGTGGACCCCAGTCTGCAAGCTTTCCGTGACAATACATTCTTGGAGTTTGACCTCCTCTGCAACACGACCAACTGCCTTCAGGCACTGCACTTTGGGAACCTCGAAGCCTCCTTGGAAGCAGGTTGCATGGTGACCGAGATCCAAACTCGCTATGTCTTGACCCTGGGCCAGTCACAGACTGTCCAGGTGGTTCTGGGAGGGAATCAGGACGTGTCGTGTGGCACCGTCCGATGGGATGCCCTTGAGACCCTGGAGCTCTTGTCCAATTCCTCAGGCAACGTGGACTGGGAAGTGCGGAACTTCTACCTCAAGCTGCAGAGGTCCGCTTGCACAGATGACAGGGTGCATGGCACAGGAGAGAACGTGTCCATGGTTGCTTTTGGTGAAGCCTTCAACATGGATGTAGATTCCATCAGCACAAGCTCTTCAACTACAAGTTCGAGCTCGACGTCAGGCACGGCAACCACCACCACAAGCACGAGCTCAAGCACCGCCACGCATAGCACTTCCACAACTACAAGATCCAGTAGCAGCAGCTCGAGCACAAGCACAAGCAGCAGTAGCAGCAGCAGTAGCGCCAGCAGCAGCAGCTCAAGTAGCTCCAGCAGCAGCAGTGCCAGTAGCGCTAGCAGCAGCAGTACCAGTAGCGCCAGCAGCAGCACCACCACCACCAGCAGCAGCACCACCAGCAGCAGCACCAGCAGCAGTTCGAGTGTAAGCACGACTAGTTGCACAGGCACGCGCACAAGCAGCAGCACACAAAGTAGCACAAGCTCCAGGACGCACACCAGCACAAGCTCGACTGCAAGCTCCACGACAAGCTCAAGTTCGCGTACCACCCACAGCACGACCAGCTCAACGTCTAGTACCACAAGTTCAAGCACCCCAAGCACAACCTCGACAAGAAGCCTCACTTCAACAAGCTCAGGTACATCCACAAGCTCAAGATCACACACCGCAACCACCTCAAGCACGAGCAGTAGGAGCACGACAAGCAGCACGCTTTCCACGACTTGGTCCACAAGCACGCTGACGGCCGCCAGCATTGGAGCCGCTATCACCAACGAGTTGCAGCGCAGCACGAACTCGCTTCTAAGTTGCTAGGCTGACTCAACCGGAAGTAGTTGTTAATTGGTGTTGCCCTGATTTGGTTTATCGTCATCCGGTGGAGATGATGGCTCTGGACCCTAGAGCCCGCAGACTTTACACTTGGTTCGAGGTCAGCTGACGAGCTTGGCAAATTCGACAGCAACAGCTGCAGAGACGACACACCTCGGCACGATGGTTGCTGTTCAGCCATGGACCCAGTAATGCACGTGACTTTTTTGTGGGTCTTGGTCTAGGCTGGAAGTTTGCCAACCGCTGTGGCAAGGTTATCTGGCTCCCCTGCCAACCAGAGCTTTCTGGCGGCTGTGGTTGATGATAGCCCGGCAGCTGCCGTGCTACCTTCGGAGGCCTCTTTGTGCGCGCTGCACTGGGAAAGATAAGGTTTGTCCTCGTCATGTGCATTCGGCCGTTAGGCTAACTTGTCCGCTGCATTCCAGCAACGAAGGTTGGTGTAGAAATTGTGAGAACCCCGCTGCAGAACACGGGCACCCAACATGCCCACGGGCCCCACGTGCCCCAGGGTCCCATGCGGTCCCCTCATCGATTCCCGATGCTGTGCCTGTCACCCAAATGTAGGTCAAGGCCGGCGGAAGAACCATCGCCCAGCTGCCTTGTAGGACTATAGAAATCACCTGTAGGAGAATGCGATCGGGTTTTAGAGAGCGGATATATCGCTTGCATGTTAGTACGGAAAAAACTAACTTGGCAGGTTCTGGATATCGGGTTGGACGTGGCGCTGGTCCTGACGACCTTCGACGGGCCCGGCGCCGAGAGCCTTGGCTCCGGCCAGAAGATGCGGTCGGCGACCGACCGGCCCATAGAGGCCGCCCTGCCAGCCGTGGACATCTCCATCGTGGACACACAGTCCTTGGGTGCCGTGGAGGTGCAGGTCAGCACCCCGATCTATGTGCGAATCGCAGCGGTCGCACCAAATCCCGAGTGGATCTGCGCAGCTCGGATGAGGGGTCTTCTTGTTTATTTCCTCTGTTGCCTACGCCTCTTAGATCACTTGTGTGGTGGCAATTTGACAATGTGACAAAGACAGTGATCGACAGTGTTGGGCAGGCCTACCTGGATGGCGACGCCTGGTCAACAGAGGGTGTTCGCCTGGCGACACGAGCAGAACTGGAGGTGGCTTTTGGCACCTCCATGGACATTTCCGGGGTGTGGTGTGCAACGCTGCACCTGTCCATCTTCGGTGCCTTCATCGACATCCTGCTGGACTGCACGCGGCTTGGCCCTGGGTTCAGCATGCGCTTGAGTCGCTTGAGTGGTGAGGGTACCGTGCTTGCCCCCCAGGAACGCCAACATGCTGTCCCAGGAAGGCCTGAAGGAAATCCTCGAGCGCAACGGCTGGTGGATCCGGCCCCCAGCCCTGGGCCTTTGGCTGCTGCTGGCCGTTTCGCTGCTGCTCATTACCCTGGGTGCGCTTGGCGATGCCCGGGTGTACCGGTCGGGGCTCTGGCGCGACGAGTACTTCCTGACGGACCTGCCCCCCGTGTCGCGGAAATCTTGGCTGTCGGCATGCAAAGGTTGTATGCCCAGCATGCCCTGGCTACGACGCCGGGACAAGCCTGAAGACTCCGCTGCAGAGGCTGAGATCGAAGTGCGAGTACCAAGCTCTCCGGCGCAAGAGCCGGTGCAGGCTCAGACAGGGCGCCGGCCTTCGCAGAGCAGTCTTCATTCGATCTTCTCACAGCTGTCCTGGCTTCGAGACGGTCTACCGGATTCTCAGAAGCTGCAAATGAGGCAGGAAATGCTTCAGCGACTGAGGCCAAGTCTGGCTTCGAGCATGCAGGAACGCGTGATATGTCGCAACACCTTGTCGGAGGTCGCCCGCCAACACAACATACACGCCAGCTCCATCCAAACCCATATTTGGGGTCGGAGTGGCTGGGTTCAAGGTAGCCTTGCCCTGCAACGTTCACCACAACTGAAAATGCTTGCCAGGGACTTGGCAGAGACGTTGCCAAGGACGTTTGTGAATGTCCACACGTCTCGCGCGAGTCGGCTCTGGGCGGTCATGCTGGCCTCGCACCCAGTCTACGAGCTCTGGATGTGCGATCTGCACATGACGGCAGCCAAGAGGGCCAAGATAATGATGGACTGCATGGTGGGATCCCTCGCTCTGGCCTTAGTGTTTCCATTGTTGAATAACTTGGCGCAGTGTCACAAGTCCGTATGCAATGAGTTTTAGAGTCTTCAGGCCTTTGTTGCTCTGTTCTTCTCCGTTGATGGCACAGCCGTGGCGGCCAGAAGCCCCGCTGAGTGCCCCATCGAGCAGGGCACGTTCTTATGGTACACCTTCGTTGCCATGCTCTCCGTGCTCCTGAACTTCGTACCTCGCAGCTTTGAAGTCTACCTGGCACAGCGCGGCTTCGTGCAAGAGAGCCATGTCAGCCGACGCTGGCAGCTGCGGAGAAGGCGCTGCAAAGATGTCGGCTTCTGGGCTTTCAGCCTCTGCCTTTCTGTCCTGCACCTTCTGGTGGTGTGCGCCTTTCTGGCCAACCTGGCTGAGGCTCTCATGACTCATGCCCATCTCATGCGCATCTCACGCAATCTAATTACTTGTTCTTGCTGGCAGAAAGAAAGGGATTACTAAGGACAGGTTGATCGTCTTAGGGTTTCACTCTTTGTCCTGGTCGCCGATGCTTGACACATTGACCCCGGCTGAATTATTCCGAATTGAATTGCGGACTGGCACCCCAGTAATCTAGTATATTAGTAGTATTCTTATTCATATTGTCATTATTAATATTCTTGAAGTTTTTATTCTTATAAATCCCACAGGGTTTTGGGAAGCGACCGCCAGGTTGATGAGTCAAAGTGGCTCTTCGCCTTCGCCGTGGTGCTGCTGAGAAAGCTGGTCGTGGTGCCGCTGCTGGCCTGCTTCTTCTCAGGCCTCGGTTGGGCTTTTTCCCCTTGTACTAGCTGTCCTTAGAAGGGACTCCAATACGGGGCACTGGAATCCCTTCATTCCCCTTTTACTAACAGTCCTGAAAAGGGGTTTTGCGCAGGGGGTAGTAAGGACTGTTAGTGCCATTAGGGACTGTTAGTAAACGGGGGAACATCCCAAGGCCTTGGTATGGAGCTCACGTCCTGTGGCCGCCAAGAGATCTCAGCGCCCAAGAAGCTGGGGTTAGATCTGCAGCTCGATGGTGAAAGCGGTGCGAACATCACGCCTGCAGCAGATGGACAGGTGTGGCTTGACAAAGTGCAGGAGCTGGCACATCGCGGCATAACAGCTCGACAGCTGCTCGGCTTCTATGCGGATCTTGGGGGAGAGGTGATGAAGCACTTCGACCCCGATCGTTCTACCACACACGACGTCGTGAGGCAGGCCATCATTCCAGAATCGCTTCAGATTAAAGATGTGGGCAGCTTCATGGTTCGGGTGCACCGGGCTACAGGTCTGGCCGCCCTTGACCTGCTATCTGCTTCAGACCCATATTGTGTGGTGTCGGTGCAGGGTCGAGGTTTCTGAAGCCTTGGAAGGGTGGCGGGCGCACGGCGCACATCACAGATGACCAAAATCCAGTCTGGGAGGAGGCCTTCGTGGTTCAGGACATGGGTGGTGAGCCGTTTTTCCTTGAAGGCACAAAGCAAAGTGGTCTTGCAGTTGGGCCGTGCTGAGTGGCCGTTGAGCCTTTCATGTTTGCGGGAAGTGCGTCAGTTAGTTCTATTGCAAACATGTCTCTTGGAGTCTCCTGAGCACCTCGATGTGCTGTTAACTTTAATGGCAAGTTGTCCCGAGTTGGCCCCCGCGCAAACTGAATATTATGCAGTCCTGGAGGACGTCCTACACGAAGAGGTGTTGCACTTCAGTCTTTGGGATCACGATTTCGCTTCAAAAGATGATCCGCTCGGCAATGCCTCTCTACAAGTGCCAGACTCAGAATACGTGCAACAGCGCTCAACTCCTAAACCCTAAGCCCGAAACCCTAAGCCCTAAACCCTAAACCCTGAACCCTAGACCATAAACCCTACACCCTTAACCCTCAACCCTTAAACCCTAAACCCTTAAGCCCTAAACCCTAAACGAGTCACCCCGGATGTTCGCTGAAGGTTTCCAGGTGTTGGCATGGACTAAGCGAAGTGCTGGAGCTCCAGGATGCTCCAAAAGAAGGAGGAGAACTTTATGCTCCTTGCTTGACCTAGCCTTTCCTTGCTTGACCTATTCATGCGGTGCTGGCGTGCAATGACTAGAAGGGCTGATGCAGCGCCCCGTGCGCAACCCATCAGATCTCCATCACGGCCTACGCGACTTCGGAAGAAGCGCAGGCTGCGTGGCAGATGCAGCCATCCGGGCAGGTGAGGATTAACTTTTTCAACCTTAGAACCTCACAAAAGTAGGTGTCCCAACCTCAAAATCGTCAAGCGTGGACGTACTGCATCCCGACAGTGTGTTTGCCAGGCTGCGGGGCAGGTGGCAAAAAGGAACCCAAACCCTCAACCCACATATTCCCACACAATTTGCCCTTCCAGGTCCTCCGCCTCACCTCCCGGTCGCCTTCACAAGATAGCCGAGGCTTGTTTGTTTCAAAGGTGCCCCACCCCCCCCCCCATCGGTTTCTACCCGCCCTGTTGTTCGTGGAATGTGGGATTGTAGAATCTGGTCAACGCAATCAGAATCATATTGTGCCATTGCCTTGGGTGCCCTTAGGAGAATGTTCATCTAACTAGCCACCGACTCCCCATGCATCTCAAAAACCAGCAACAGAACTCTTCCCCACAGATCTGCCCTGAGATGATACCAACCTTTCGGACACGAGCGAGGGCGTTCGAGGCAGCATACGTCCGCAGAAGCTGGTCGTGTCTGCGTCGCAGGGTGTGCTAGGCCAAGACCTCACGGACGGCGAAAGCAGGAAGAAAGGACAAGAGGGAAACGAGCAAACGGCGACTGGAGGGTATGCGTTTGCTGACGTAGTGAACAATGGCCAGCCTTTTTTGGCACAGAAGATGGTAACCCACTCCTGGCGGAACACATTTACCCACTTGCTCGCTGCGATCTTCGCTGACGCACTGGATGTGGAGAAGTATGATGAGATCGCGCGGATCCTGGTGCAACGCGAGTTTGGCAAACTGACAGATGCCCTCCAAAGGAAATCAGCACTCGACGTTCGCTACTGGGTTTGTGCATTTTCTGTGAACCAGCATGCTGGAATTTGCGCGGCCCCACCGCAGACGGACTCGACCGGTCACAGAATAGCACCCTGCAGTTGCACCACGCCGAAGCATTTCTCCGGCGATCTCAGCGAAGCCAAGCTGCAAGAGATTCAGCATGCTTCGTGATTCGATCGTAGAATGTTGCCGTGCAGCTGTTCAAGCTGATGTATCGTGCCAGCGTACAGGAGATGAACAAGTTCGACGATATGATGGCTTACCTGAAGAGATCCTTGCGCGAGCAGGGCCAGGCGCACAAACTCCCGAAGTTTTCTCAAGGATTAGATGGCCTCATGGCCTCGGTATGTACGTACCAGCCAAGCAGGGATGGAACCTCCTACTCTCAGACGTCTTTGCAGCTCTCGGTGCGACTCTCCGGTGTAGCGATGGATCATGTTTAGTCTGGGCTCCCAAGGTTTGGGAACTGTTTGGGGGGGTGATTGAAGCCAATGGCTTAAACCTAAGCTCCCTGTAGAACTAAACCTTTCCAAGACCCCGAAAGCTAGAATGGCCAGGCGAAACCAAGAGTTCCCTTCAAAAGTGTCCTGATCAATCCGGGAAGGGGTGGTCCGGGAGCCAGCCGGTCCGCACCGTTTGGGGACCCTCTCTTAAGTCCCGGATTTCAATGCCTTGGCCTCTTGGCTCAAAGGCCGGTCCTTGGAATCTTAAGGGCTGGCCCTTGATTTCGTTGCGGTCTCTTGGGTTAAAGCCCCGGCGAGCTTTGGATTTCAAATGCCTGGCCTCATGTTCCAAAATGGCAGGCTCTAGAGATCTTAAGGCAAGCCTTGGATTTCCAAGGCCTTGCCTCTTAACTTCAAAACCAACCCGTGAAATCTTAAGCCTTCAGACCAGTGGGCTTTGGATTTCAGCTGCTTGGTCTCCTGGATGAAGCAGCATTGGCAGTGCAACCACAACATCCGAAGGCGCCTTGAGTATCTGAGCAAATGCACCACTCGGTCTGTTCGCCTTGGCCCAGCTGGCGCAGAGCCGAAGGCTGGTCGTTAGTGTCTGGTTCAGCCAGCCGGGCGAGCGAGGTCGCTTACCGCACACACCTTGCGGCCCTGACACGAAAGAGTGAAGCCCGACTCCGGACGTCGGAGAGGAGCCTAAACGAAATCCCACCAACCGCAAGTGTGACTCCAGAGTCAACCCAACGGATCTCGCACTGAACTCGATGCTCTAGCCCCAAAGCTTGAAAGGCGGCGTGTTCAAGCAGATGTACTTCAGGACCATACAGACTGTCCAGCCCCGCAACATGGATGAGGTGGGGACTCTCTACAGTCTGCCAACCGTTCGGGCCACATGCCGGCGCAACCCAGCAGAAAGCAGCGTGATAGTTGCGGAATGTACGGTGATTCTTGCAAATTATCCTGGTTCGCCTGGCTCAGTCGTCGATGTCGCTCAACTTTCTGAATCGAAACGCAGCCGTTCGATTGGCCTGGAGAAGCTCGCGCGGTATCACTTCCAAGTGACTCTCACGGGCAACATCTGGACGCGTGGCTCGTCTGGTGCTGCATATGCCCCCGACCTCCCATGCTTGGCCATGGCTGTGTGCTCGGTAGTTCACCGGCATGCGTTCCCAGCGTAGCATTCGTTCCCGGACCTGCAGTGGTTCTTGTACCAGTTCCTGTCCCACAGCTGCTTCTGAAGACACGGGTGGAACATGGGCCACCAGACAGCAGAGCGAGTGAAGCAGCCAGTGGTTCAGAGTCCAGAGTGTCAAGCCGCCACGGGCGAATGTGGAATTGTCAGACGTCGGCTGTGGGAATGGCCACGTACTCGGACGCGCCGGATAATGGCCAGCGCCACCTTTGCAGTCGAGAGAGAAGGGCTAAAGAGGCTTTGGGATGAAAGTAAGAGCCCCCAAGTCTAGTGTGGTGTGCTGTGCTGTGGCATCCCAGACGGCCTTGTGTGCCCAAACGTTCACTGTCACACTCCGAAGGCGCCACTGAAAACATGGAGTTCCAGCCCGTGCCGGCACTAGCTCGGGCTACTCAGATTGAGCGGCCCAAGACAGTGAGTAGTGAGCCGTGTCGCAGCTCCACGCCCTATGCATGAGGAAGCTTTAAGATTTGCAAGTAGCTCTGACAGGCATACAATGGCCGGTTGGAGTGAGCACAATGCTGCTGCTGAGTGGGCGTACTGTGTACCTGATTTAACTCACCTCGCTTGTCCGAGCACGTGATCAACACAAAACCTTGCTGAGAGCTTTTGAAGCCCTGAACCCGGAAACTCTAAACTCTCAGCCTCTCAGGCTCCAAGGCCTTTGTTTACACTCTTGCTCCCTACTTACCTCCCTACTTCCGGAGGGGGGGTTTCGGATTTGTATTTTCATGTTCGGGAGGGGAATGTTTCCAAACTGGGGGAAGCGATGAAAGCCCTCGAGCCGCAGCCAGGGCCGGTTGGAGCAAGTGGTTGCCCTGGAGACAGACTTTGGTTTGCTGACCCGCGTGTGGTGTGTGGCTGAACTAGTCGAAGCTCACGAACTCCACTTGCAGCAGGCGTGCGAGCTTCACGCGTTTTCGTTTCCAAAACTGTGCTTCATAGAGTCTACACACACATGGCGACTATGGTTGAGCTGTCTCCTCAACGTGTTATTCGAAACCCTAAACCCCTCAACCCCTCAACCCCTTAACCCTTAACCCGTAACCCCTTAACCCCTTAACCCCTTAACCCCTTAACCCCTTAACCCCTTAACCCTTTAACCCCTTAACCCCTTAACCCCTTAACCCCTTAACCCCTTAACCCCTTAACCCCTTAAACCTTAGCTCCTTAACACCTTAACCCCCTAACAGCTTAGCCCCTTAACCCCTTAACCCTTAGCCCCTTATCCCCTTAACCCCCTAACCTCTGAGCCCAGCACCCGTTCGGATGTGGCGGAGGCGGTGAAGATGCACTCGGCGGCTTCTCGGGATCTTTGCTTCGACCGGCTCGTGGAGCTGGACGTGCGGAGCGCTGAGGCATCCTATCCGGCGGACAAGGACATCTGCCCACAAGAAGCCCTAAACCCTAAACCCTAAACCCTAAACCCTAAACCCTAAACCCTAAACCCTAAACCCTAAACCCTACTTGGAGCTTTGGGTTTCGAACATTTTAGAACCCCCAACCCAAAACTCAAACTTGCTGCGACCAGGAGCTGGTTCTGAGCAAGATCCACAATGTGGAGGATTTTAATTTGCGCCTGCAAGATCTCATGTTGCATCGCTTGGAGTCGTTCCTTCAGACTAGCCGAGCACGCAGTGCCGCGGACCTTTGTGATGAAGTTGTCCTCGCAGTGGTCAACGTGGCCATCTAAAAGACGTGGGTGGCCGCTAGACAAACCGCGTGCATGTTGGGCCCATAGCCAGCAAATTAGGCTTCGATGTTTTCGCTTGCCGAAGGCAACTACAGAAGAAGCGCATAAATGGTAGGCGTAGGGCAAAATGCCTACTCGCTGTTTAAACCAACCTAGAAGGCTCATGGGAGCCGGCCTTTCCGAGGCCAAATGTGTCTGCTGTCTGCTTGCGCCTTAGAAGGACTGCTCTGGCCTCCCTTCAGATGTTCAACTTCTCTTCTTGAGAATGTCTTGAGGATGCCATGCAAGCGCTGCATCGACGTTGAAGGCATCACAGCCAGTTTCAGAAAGACAGGCGTTCTTCGCATGCCCGCTCACCCTCAACACTCACACTTACATCTCATCGCGACGAACATGACCTTGCTGGACGACATAAGTTATCAAGTAAACCCCCTCCCAAAATATATAATATGCTCATAAGAATAAGAATAATAGTACTAAAACATCGTAATAATAATAAGAAGAATAATCAGGGCAGGGGATTAATTATAGAAGCAAGCATCGGTCTACCTGCCATGGGCCGCAGCTGGCGCCCGGCAAACGGCTCGGGGAAGGCAAACGGGAACGGGATGCCCGAATTTCCTGCATCTCAGGTGCATTGCAAAGCAAAGCAAAGAACATGGGTGATATTTGAGTTTGCCCGTGGCCATGCTCTTGTTGGAAGTAGATTTTGCTGATGTCACTGGCCTGTGTCCCGGGACAATTGGGCAAGCCTTTGCGTGATGCCAGGTGAAGGTGGCACGTTCGGTGAGTCATGCGAAGGCAGCATCAGCAGTGCACACTCTGGATTACACAAACCCTTGCCTCAGCCTCATGTCTTCTACAATCTTCCAGCAGTTGCTTCCATCTCGCGTCAGGCGTAGGACCATCTGTGATGTAGCTTCACGGTCTAAAGTGTTGTCCTGTGACACCAACGTAGCCGCCCCAGTTTATCCTATTCCCCCTGAGGCACCAGGTGATTATGCATCTGTCAAAGTGCAAATGGCCGAGCTCGAGAAGTGGTGCCATGAATTGGCAATGGCCGTTTCGGAGTTTCAAGAGGACGAGCCCAAAATGGCCTGCCATCGTCGAGTTCATCTAGCAACTGAACCCTAAACCCTAAACCATGTGAGCTGAAGTGCCCGGCCTGGAGTATTCCCTGGTAATCATATGTTTGGGATGTATGGACGTAAGGTCTGGGTTTTGAGGTTGAGCAGGGAGTCTCGGGGCCCATGTTGCGTTTTGGAGAACACATCCGACTGGTCGCTGCGGAGTGATCCCAGAGAGGGGTCTGCTAGGCGGGTGGCAAAAAAAACCCTAAACCCTCTGCCATCCAGGAGCTGGTTTCGCACAGATGGCTTCGCCAATGATGTTTTCCGCTTTCTCTGGTCGTCTTTTTTTGAGTTTGAGCTTAGCGAGAACAGAAAAACTCAGAACATATGGTCACATCATTTTAACTCTGCATGTCTTGGATTCGGATACAATCAGTATCTGTTTGTATATTGTGTGGAAAATTGGTATATGTGTATATACATACACGCAATATTGTGATATATCTTGGTACACACGTTGCTATATGTGCGTGCTTGGGCAGAGTATGTCACATGGTCATGTGTGTACATACATCTACCATAAAAGGAATAGCAAGAAAATACAACACAGACACATACATGTAATTATGGCAGGTTTTCTTGAACTCCTTCGTGTTGACGCTTCATTGTTTAAGCTCTTTCGGGACACCCGCCCTCTAATTAGCGATTTTGCTGCACCTACCTGGCAACTTGTATCGCCTACTTGGGCCCTGGCACGTGCCAAATGGTTGCAACGTCCTGTTGCTTGTGTGTTTGCAGTTGCTCGGGCTTGCGACCTGGATGACAAAAAGCACGTGCCAAAGACAATGCAAGCACCGCAGTATCTGCATGAGGGGTGTGGTGTGCCTCTTTGGGTCTGCTTTGGTAGCTGCTCCGGGTTTCGGGCCAGGGCTTCAAGACAAAGGGGTATCGACAAGGAAGGACGCTGCTTGGGATGTTATCCTCTTATACTAACAGTCCTTAATAAGGATTCTAAGAGGGGTAATTTAATCCCTACTAAGGACTGTGAGTATCAAGGGGGAAATCCCAAAATGTTGCCCTCCTTGGTGGCCAGCCCCGGTCAATCTTCAGGCTCAGACTTGGCTCAAGCCTCGAGGCCTCCAGGTGCGTTCTTTCACAAGCACACTGTCATCAGACTCGGGGGGCAGTTCGAACCCTGCACACTTGCTAGACTTAGTAGACTGTGGCGAGAAGATGCATCAACCTCAGAATTCTTCACCGATTTGCAGAAGCACGCAGGGAAGTGCAAGGGATGACTCCTGATGACTCGCCATGAGCGCGTTCACCGATTTGCAGAAGCACGCAGGGGAAGGCGAAGGATGACTCATGATGACTCGCCGTGAGCGCTGGCAGCTCCTGTGCCCAAGACATGTGTGGCTGGTGCTTGCGTCGGTTGCATGTCAGTGCCATCCAGCACAAGCTGGAAGGCTTGAGGTGAACAGATTTAATGTGCCCGGAACCATTGAGGGCTGTTGGGAAACCCTCCGTTTCGTGGAGGCGTTTGAGGAGGCTCCTGTTGTAGTGGCCCTGAGCACCATGCAGGGGACGACGCCGGCCAAGGTTCGTTTGAGGGCCATCACAAATCACTCCTTCCAGACTTGCATCACAGAGCCAATGCCCGAGAACGGTGGTCACTCAGAAATGTCGATCACGTTCATGATGGCATCTCCCGGTGTACACATGCTGCCGGATGGCCGAGTCTTCGAAGCAGGCATTGTGGAAACGACGCAGCGGCAGGGTGCTACTTGCAGGCCCTTGGACTTCCCCAACAAGGGTTGGGAAGAGCTTGCTTTTGCTCATTCTTTTTCAGAGGTTCCAGCGGTACTGACTGACCTTCAAACAGCAAACAACGAAGTATCTAATCAACCATCAGCACCTTGGCTTGTGGTTGGCGTCTCTTCTTTGACATCGTCTTCAATGCGTGTGGCCTTGGATTCTGTCAAGGCCTTCGATGGCCAGGTCAACGTGCCAGAGCAGATCGGCTACATCGCGTTTGATACTCAGGCCAGCACGACACAGATCCAGGCTCCGGCAGAGAGAGTCTGCCAAGTGGGCCAGGAGATATTGATCCGCAGTTGGCAGGGGCTGTTTTTGCAAGACCAGGCTGGTGTGCTTCAGGTGGCTTCGAGTAGGGACTCCTCGGCTCGGTGGACTACCAGCCTGTCCAACAGCAAGGTCATCTTCACCAGCCATCGGTCCTTTCATCTGTCAGAGAGCGCTGCCCCTGAGCCAGTCCTTGCAGGAATTGCACAGGAATGGACAATTGAAAGGGCTGATGGTGGCCAGGTGTTCCTTCTCAGCCAGACCGATCATGTGCTGATGACAAGCGCCGATGGCACATTGGATTTGCGTAGCACTACGAGCGACTATTCATGGCTACAGAATAAGAAGTGGATGTTGTTTGATGCTTCTACCGAGGAGGCTTGCCATGGAATATCCGCGGAGCCCGCAGCCGTGCGCACGATCCCCTACACCGTCGTGCGGTCTGACCTAGTGGGTTCCATGGGCTGGGAGGATGCCAATAAAGGGCAGCTGTTCACGTTTTCGGGGGAGCTGAGCAGCAACCCGCTTGTATTGGCAAGCCTGGTCACGAGAATGGGATCCGATGGTGGATGGCTTCGGCTTGACCTGGACAAGTTGTCCAGTTCTGGTGCTCACTTGGTGCTGGAAGAGAATACATACACAGACGCTACACTGCAGCAGGACTAGCAGAAACAACGACTACTCCTCCTGTGCCAATGACCCTGACGCTACCGCTGCCGCTACTGCTACCGCTATCATTACCACACCCACTACCACTACTACTACCATTGCTGCTGCTGCTGCTACCGTTACTGCTGCTGCTGCTACTACTACTACTACTACTACTACTACTACTCCTCCTGCTGCTGCTACTACTACTACTACTACTACTACTACTACTACTGCTACTACTACTACTACTACTACTACTACTACTACTACTACGGCTACTACTACTACTGCTACTGCTACTGCTACTGCTACTGCTACTGCTACTACTACTACTACTACTACTACTACTACTACTACTACTACTACTACTACTACTACTACTACTACTGCTACTGCTACTGCTACTGCTACTGCTACTACTGCTACTGCGACTGCTACTACTACTACTACGACGACGACGACTACTACTACTACTGCTACTACTACTACTACTGCTACTACTACTACTACTACTACTACTACTACTACTACTACTACTACTACTACTACTACTACTACTACTACTAAGAACGTCATGGATAATTGACGCCGTGTTATTCCTTACTTTACCCCTTCAAAACTCGAGTTTTAGCTTATTTTAAATTTTCTGGGGAGGGCGGGAAAATGTTTTTGCTGATGAGGGCCTTTGATTTCCTTTGCGGGCCGTGTTATTCCTCACTTTACCCCTTCAAAACTCGAGCCTTGAGCTTATTTTACATTTTCTGGGGAGGGCGGGAAAAGTGTTTTTGCTGATGAGGGCCTTGGATTTCTATGAGGGCCTAGCATTTCCTATGAGGGTCTTGGATTTCCCATGAGAGCCATGCGCGAATAATTTTTGATTTAAATTGGCTTGGCTTGGCTTGCCTTGCGGGGGGAGGGGGGCTTGGGGCTGGTGGGGGGGGGAAGAGAGGGGGAGGACTTCAAGCTGTGGTGTGTTGGGTTTAGGGTTTAAGCACACAGTACTTTTGGACTTCCAGGGTTTAAGCACACAGGACTGTTGGGCTTCCACTTGAAGCTGTGGGGAAGCTGTGGGGTTTTGGGCAACGGGAAGGTTTAAGCGCACAGGACTTTGGGCTTCCACTTGAAGCTGTGGGGTTTTGGGTCTAGGGTTTCAGGTTTAAGCACACAGGACTTTTGGGCTTGAACTTCAGGCTGTGGGGTTCGGGTTTAAGGTTTAAGGAAACAGGAGTTTTGGGGTTCCAGTTGAAGCTGGGGGTTTGGGGTTTAGGGTTAAAGGGTACAGGACTTTTGGGATGAAGCTGTGGGGTTTAGGGTTTAGTGTTTCAGGTTTACGCACACAGGACTTTTGGGCTTGCACTTCAGGCTTTTGGGTGTGGGGTTTCAGCACATAGGACTTTTGGGTTTGCACTTCAGGCTTTGGTTTAAGGATACAGTCTTTTTTGCAACTCTGTTTCTCTGACTCGTCCCTTTAACACTACAAAAACTCAACCTGTGAAGCCAGATGCTAGACAAGCAAGTCGCGCACGAAACAAGTAGTTTCCCGCCCTGGCAACTCGGGTGATGCCCCATCTGGAAACATCGCAAATTACAGTGTTTTTGCATGCGTGCTGTGACGGAAACGTAGCCTCAAATATCCATGACGCGCGTCGTAGTAGTAGTCGTCGTCGTAGTAGTCGTAGTCGTAGTAGTAGTAGTAGTAGTAGTAGTAGTAGTAGTAGTAGTAGTAGTAGTAGTAGTAGTAGTAGTAGTAGTAAGTAGTAGTAGTAGTAGTAGTAGTAGTAGTAGTAGTAGTAGTAGTAGTAGTAGTAGTAGTAGTAGTAGTAGTAGTAGTAGTAGTAGTAGTAGTAGTAGTAGTAGTAGTAGTAGTAGTAGTAGTAGTAGTAGTAGTAGTAGTAGTAGTAGTAGTAGTAGTAGTAGTAGTAGTAGTAGTAGTAGTAGTAGTAGTAGTAGTAGTAGTAGTAGTAGTAGTAGTAGTAGTAGTAAGTAGTAGTAGTAGTAGTAGTAGTAGTAGTAGTAGTAGTAGTAGTAGTAGTAGTAGTAGTAGTAGTAGTAGTAGTAGTAGTAGTAGTAGTAGTAGTAGTAGTAGTAGTAGTAGTACGCGCTCCGCGCGTATTTGACGCCGCGTCCGTCTGCGTCCGAAGTGCCTTTTCCATCGGTAAAACCAGCGTTCTTGGGCAGAGTGCTCATTTCCCAACGACGACGCCAATTACATGAATTTCCTGTCTTGTAAGGTCAAGGCTGCAATCTCGGACTTGTCTTCGCTTGTTTCCATGCTCGAATGCGAAAGGAAAGCCATGCCGAAGCAGCACAGACATAGATGCCGTGTGTGTGGGCAGCCGGGCCACCGGCTGGAGACTTGCACTACCTATGCAGGTAGGCTCATCCGGGAGCTTCAGGAAAAAGTGCCAAAGGCCGAAGCTTCAAGTGGAGGCCCAAATTTCCTGGACCCTAAACCCCAAACCCCGAAGCTTCAAGTGGAGGCCCAAAATTCCTGGACCCTGAAGCCCTAAACCCCAAACCCCGAAGCTTCAAGTGCAAGTCCAAAACTCCGGTACCCTTAAGGCCTAAACCCCAAACCCCGAAGCTTCAAGTGGAAGCCCAAATTTCCTGGACCCTTAAACCCTAAACCCCGAAGCTTCAAGTGGAGGCCCAAAAGCCGTGTACCCTTAAGCCCTAAACCCCAAACCCCGAAGCTTCAAGTGCAAGCTCAAAACTCGTCTACCCTGAAACCGAAAACCAGAAATCCCGAAGCTTGAAGTGCCAGGCCAAAACTCCTATAGCCTTAAACCCAAAACCCCAGGTCACCCCCCCCCCAGCCCCAAGCCCCCCCCACCCCCCCAAGCCAAGCCAAGCCAAAGCCAATTTTAATCACAAATTATTGGGGCAAGGCCCTCATGGGAAATCAAAGGCCCTCATGGGAAACCGAAGACCCTCACAAAAAATCGAAAGGCCCTCATGGGCGTCGCCGTTGGGAATTGGCGGAGTGTGGCATAGCATTCAATGCATGAGCAGAAAACACTGCAAATAGCAGTGTTTTCGTCTCTGGAAGAACATGGGAAAACATGGAAAATGAAGGATGACACAGCGTCAAATACGCGCAATACCCCTAGTAGTAGTAGTAGTAGTAGTAGTAGTAGTAGTAGTAGTAGTAGTAGTAGTAGTAGTAGTAGTAGTAGTAGTAGTAGTAGTAGGAGGAGGAGTAGTAGTAGTAGTAGTAGTAGTAGTAGTTGTTGTTGTTGTTGTTGTTGTTGTTGTTGTTGTTGTTGTTGTTGTTGTTGTTGTTGTTGTAGTTGTAGTTGTACTTGTAGCAGTAGTAGTAGTAGTAGTAGTAGTAGTAGTAGTAGTAGTAGTAGTAGTAGTAGTAGTAGTAGTAGTAGTAGTAGCAGTAGGAGTAGTAGTAGTAGCAGTAGTAGCAGTAGTAGTAGTAGTAGTAGTAGTAGTAGTAGTAGTAGTAGTAGTAGTAGTAGTAGTAGTGGTAGTAGTAGAAGTAGTAGTACTACTGATACTATACACTGATACTATTACTACTACTACTGCTACTACTACTATTACTACTACTACTACTACTACTACTACTACTACTACTACTACTACTACTACTACTGATACTGATACTACTACTAGTACTACTACTACTACTACTACTACTACTACTACTACTACTACTACTACTACTACTACTACTACTACTACTACTACTACTACTACTACTACTACTACTACTACTACTACTACCACGACGACGACGACGACGACTACTACTACTACTACTACTACTACTACTACTACTACTACTACTACTATTACTGTTACGACTGCTACTGCTACTGCTGCTGCTACTACTACTACTACTACTACTACTACTACTACTACTACCACTACGACTACGACGACTACTACTACTACTACTACTACTACTACTACTACTACTACTACTACTCCTACTGCTACTGCTACTCCTGCTGCTGCTGCTGCTGCTGCTGCTGCTACTGCTCCTGCTCCTGCTACTGCTACTGCTGACGTTATCATCGTGCGGACCAGGGTGCGTTGGCAACACGGACGTGATCATCGTGCGGACATGAATGCTCTGGTAACACGGACTTTATCATTGTGCGGACATGGCTGCTCTGACCATTCGCACGCAACGACTAACGAAGCCACGATGTCGTAAAAACCATCCACGTTACTTGCAGGAAGTGTCGTAAATCCCCTTTTTTGGGGCATAAGAAGCTAAGAAAGCACCAGGCGCCACGGGGCGCGCATGGTGGCTGCTGCTACTACTACTGCTACTACTGCTACTACTACTACTACTACTACTACTACTACTACTACTACTACTACTACTACTACTACTACTACTACTACCTACTGCTTTCTGCTGCTGCTATTCCTAAGAGACGAAGATAACAACTTATTGCAGCAGGCGCTGCACGGACCTAGCTTGTCATGTAGCATGTACATGTACAACAGACGTAGAGGAACCGAGAATCAACGCACCCGAGGCCGCCGAACTGACGATGGCCATGTTGCTCTCGCCGGGACCACTGGCTGCAACCTTCGCTGAGACCAATGGGAGTGTGGGTTGGTTCGGGCTCGGGGGGCTCAACGCCACCGACTTTGTGGACCCCAGTCTGCAAGCTTTCCGTGACAACACATTCTTGGAGTTTGACCTCCTCTGCAACACGGCCAACTGCCTTCAGGCATTGCACCTTGGAAACTTCGAAGCCTCCGTGGAAGCAGGTTGCATGGTGGCCGAGATCCAAACTCGCTATGTCTTGACCCTGGGCCAGTCACAGACGGTCCAGGTGCCCTTGGAAGGGAATCAGGACGTGTCGTGTGGCAGCGTCCGATGGGATGCCCTTGAGACCCTGGAGCTCTTGTCCAATTCCTCAGGCAACGTGGACTGGGAAGTGCGGAACTTGTACCTCAAGCTGCAGAGGTCCGCTTGCACAGATGACAGGGTGCATAGCACAGGAGAGAGCGTGGCCATGGTTGCTTTTGGCGAAGCCTTCAACATGGATGTAGATTCCACCAGCACAAGCTCTTCAACTACAAGTTCGAGCTCGACGTCAGGCACGGCAACCACCACCACAAGCACGAGCTCAAGCACCGCCACGCATAGCACTTCCACAACTACAAGATCCAGTAGCAGCAGCTCGAGCACAAGCACAAGCAGCAGTAGCAGCAGCAGTAGCGCTAGCAGCAGCAGCTCAAGTAGCTCCAGCAGCAGCAGTACCAGTAGCGCTAGCAGCAGCAGTACCAGCAGCGCCAGTAGCAGCAGCACCAGCAGCAGCAGCACCACCACCAGCAGCAGCACCAGCAGCAGTTCGAGTGTAAGCACGACTAGTTGCACCGGCACGCGCACAAGCAGCAGCACACAAAGCAGCACAAGCTCCAGGACGCACACCAGCACAAGCTCGACTGCAAGCTCCACTACAAGCTCAAGTTCGCGTACCACCCACAGCACAACCAGCTCAACGTCTAGTACCACAAGTACAAGCACCCCAAGCACAACCTCAACAAGAAGCCTCACTTCAACAAGCTCAGGTACATCCACAAGCTCAAGATCACACACGGCAACCACCTCAAGCACGAGCAGTAGGAGCACGACAAGCAGCACGCTTTCAACGACTTGGTCCACAAGCACGCTGACGGCCGCCAGCATTGGAGCTGCTATCACCAACGAGTTGCAGCGCAGCACCAACTCGCTTCTAAGTTGCTAGGCTGACTCAACCGGAAGTTGTTGATTGTGAGTTCTTGTGCAAGTTTTCGGGCCCAGTGCATGAAGGGGGGGTGTTGCCCTGACTTGGTTTATCCGGTGGCGATGATGGCTCTAGACATCTCTAGACCCTAGAGACCGCCGACTTGACACTTCGAGGTCAGCTGACGAACTTGGCGAACTCGACAGCAACAGCGGCAGAAACGACACACCTTGGCACTATGGTTGCTGTTCAGCCATGGACCCAGTAATTGCCAGTAATGCACTTGATGTCTTTGTGGCTCTTGGTCTAGGCTGGAAGTTTGCCAACCACTGCTTGGCAAGGTTATCTGGCCCCCCTGCCAACCAGAGCTTTCTGGCGGCTGTGGTTGATGATAGCCCAGCAGCTGCCGTGCTACCTTCGGAGGCCTCTTTGTGCGCGCTGCACTGGGAAAGATAAGGTTTGTCCTCGTCGTGTGCGTTCGGCCGTTATAGGCTAACTTGTACACACGATGCCTGGCCGTGTGCGGGCTGTCCGAAAGCACCCTCCCACATCCGCGGCATCCCAGAAACGAAGGCTGTGTATAAAATTAGCAGAACTCCTGCTAGAGTCAGCCCGAAGTTGTGCCTGCAGAACACGGGCACCCAACATGCCCACACGCCCCACGTGCCCCACGGTCCCATGCGGTCCCCTCATCGATGCTGTGCCCGTCACCCCAATGTAGTTCAAGGCCGGCGGAAGAACCATCGCCCAGCTGCCTTGCAAGGCAGCTGGGCGATGGTTCTTCCGCCGGCCTTGAACTACATTGGGGTCTATAGAAATCACCTGTAGGAGAATGCGATCGGGTTTTAGAGAGCGGATATATCGCTTGCATGTTAGTACGGAAAAAACTAACTTAAACTAACTCGGCAGGTTCTGGATATCGGGTTGGACGTGGCGCTGGTCCTGACGACCTTCGACGGGCCCGGCGCCGAGAGCCTTGGCTCCGGCCAGAAGATGCGGTCGGCGACCGACCGGCCCATAGAGGCCGCCCTGCCAGCCGTGGACATCTCCATCGTGGACACACAGTCCTTGGGTGCCGTGGAGGTGCAGGTCAGCACCCCGATCTATGTGCGAATCGCAGCGGTCGCACCAAACCCCGAGTGGATCTGCGCAGCTCGGACACGTTCTTGATGCGGGTTATTGCGGGTTATTGCGGGTTCTTCTTGTCTATTTCCTCTGTTGCCTGCGCCTCTTAGATCACTTGGCAATTTGACAATGTGACAAAGACAGTGATAGACAGTGTTGGGCAGGCCTACCTGGATGGCGACGCCTGGTCAACAGAGGGTGTTCGCCTCGCGACACGAGCAGAACTGGAGGTGGCTTTTGGCACCTCCATGGACATTTCCGGGGTGTGGTGTGCAACGCTGCACCTGTCCATCTTCGGTGCCTTCATCGACATCCTGCTGGACTGCACGCGGCTTGGCCCTGGGTTCAGCATGCGCTTGAGTCGCTTGAGTGGTGAGGGTACCGTGCTTGCCCCCCAGGAACGCCAACATGCTGTCCCAGGAAGGCCTGAAGGAAATCCTCGAGCGCAACGGCTGGTGGTTCCGGCCCCCAGCCCTGGGCCTTTGGCTGCTGCTGGCCGTTTCGCTGCTGCTCATTACCCTGGGTGCGCTTGGCGATGCCCGGGTGTACCGGTCGGGGCTCTGGCGCGACGAGTACTTCCTGACGGACCTGCCCCCCGTGTCGCGGAAATCTTGGCTGTCGGCATGCAAAGGTTGTATGCCCAGCATGCCCTGGCTTCTACGACGGGACAAGCCTGAAGACTCTGACCCGGAGGCTGAGATCGAAGTGCGAGTACCAAGCTCTCCGCAAGAGCCGGTGCAGGCTCAGACAGGGCGCCGGCCTTCGCAGAGCAGTCTTCATTCGATCTTCTCACAGCTGTCCTGGCTTCGAGACGGCCTACCGGATTCTCAGAAGCTGCAAATGAGGCAGGAAATGCTTCAGCGACTGAGGCCAAATCTGGCTTCGAGCATGCAGGAACGCGTGATATGTCGCAACACCTTGTCGGAGGTCGCCCGCCAACACAACATACACGCCAGCTCCATCCAAACCCATATTTGGGGTCGGAGTGGCTGGGTTCAGGGCAGCCTTGCCCTGCAGCGTTCACCACAACTGAAAATGCTTGCCAGGGAGCTGGCAGAGACGTTGCCAAGGACGTTTGTGAATGTCCACACGTCTCGCGCGAGTCGGCTCTGGGCGGCCATGCTGGCCTCGCACCCAGTCTACGAGCTCTGGATGTGCGATCTGCACATGACGGCAGCCAAGAGGGCCAAGATAATGATGGATTGCATGGTGGGATCCCTCGCCCTGGCCTTAGTGTTTTCATTGTTGAATAACCTGGCGCAGTGTCACAAGTCCGTATGCAATGAGTCTCGGAGTCTTCAGGCCTTTGTTGCTCTGTTCTTCTCCGTTGATGGCACAGCTGTGGCGGCCAGAAGCCCCGCTGAGTGCCCCATCGAGCAGGGCACGTTCTTATGGTACACCTTCGTTGCCATGCTCTCCGTGCTCCTGAACTTCGTACCTCGCAGCTTCGAAGTCTACCTGGCACAGCGCGGCTTCGTGCAAGAGAGCCGCGTCAGCCGACGCTGGCAGCTGCGGAGAAGGCGCTGCAAAGATGTCGGCTTCTGGGCTTTCAGCCTCTGCCTTTCTGGCCTGCACCTTCTGGTGGTGTGCGCCTTTCTGGCCAACCTGGCTGAGGCTCTCATGACTCATGCCCATCTCATGTGCATCTCACGCAATCTATTGCTCTGAGGGTTTCACTCTTTTGTCCTGGTCGCCGATGCTTGACACATTGACCCCTGCTGAAGTATTCCGAATTGAATTGCGGACTGGCACCCCAGTATGAGTAGTATAATATAGTATATTATTACTCATATTATTATTATTGTCATTATTATTTCTATTATTGCTGTTCTTGTTATTCTTATTCTTATTAATCCCACAGAGGGTTTTGGGAAGCGACCGCCAGGTTGATGAGTCAAAGTGGCTCTTCGCCTTCGCTGTGGTGCTGCTGAGAAAGCTGGTCGTGGTGCCGCTGCTGGCCTGCTTCTTCTCAGGCCTTGCTTGGGCTGTTCCGCTGTTATGGACTGTTATACTAACCTTAAAAGGGATGATACTAGGGGGTGCTAGAATCCCTATTTTGGATTGTTACGGGGGAACATCCCAAGGCCTTGGTATGGAGCTCACGTCCTGTGGCCGCCAAGAGATCTCAGCGCCCAAGAAGCTGGGGTTAGATCTGCAGCTCGATGGTGAAAGCGGTGCCAACATCACGCCTGCAGCAGATGGACAGGTGTGGCTTGACAAAGTGCAGGAGCTGGCACATCGCGGCATTACAACTCGACAACTGCTCGGCTTCTATGCGGATCTTGGGGGAGAGATGATGAAGCACTTCGACCCCGATCGTTCTACCACACACGACGTCGTAAGGCAGGCCATCATTCCAGAATCGCTTCAGATTAAAGATGTGCGCAGCTTCATGGTTCGGGTGCACCGGGCAACAGGTCTGGCCGCCCTTGACCTGCTATCTGCTTCAGACCCATATTGTGTGGTGTCGGTGCAAGGGTCGAGGTTTCTGAAGCCTTGGAAGGGTGGCGGGCGCACGGCGCACATCACAGATGACCAAAATCCAGTCTGGGAGGAGGCCTTCGTGGTTCAGGACATGGGTGATGAGCTGTTTTTCCTTGAAGGCATAAAGCAAAGTGGTCTTGCAGTTGGGCCGTGCTCAGTGGCCGTTGAGCCTTTCGTGTTTGCGGGAAGTGCGTCAGTTAGTTCTATTGCAAACATGTCTCTTGGAGTCTCCTGAGCACCTCGATGTGCTGTTAACTTTAATGGCAAGTTGTGCCCCCCAGTTCTTTTCAACAAGCTCCGTACCTCTGCTGTCCACATCGCCCCCTGCGCAAATCCAGTCTTATGCAAATCCAGTCTTATGCACTCCTGGAGGACGTCCTACACCAAGAGGTGTTGCACTTCAGTCTTTGGGATCACGATTTCGCTTCAAAAGATGATCCGCTCGGCAATGCCTCTCTGCAAGTGCCAGACTCAGAATCAAAAGCGCGCAACTCTTTCAACAGGATGAGACAGAGAGAGAGCGAGAGAGAGGGAAGGAGAAGAAGAAGGAGGAGTAGAAGAGGACGACGAAGGGAGAGCAATTTCACAAAAGTCCTCCAAAACAACGCGGGAGCACGACTAGAGCGCGAGGGTCACCCGCAAGCCCGCAGAAAGAAAGAAAGAAGGAAGGAAGGAAAGAAAGAAAGAGAGAATGAAACATATTATATATATAATTAAAAATTAAAAAAGCACAGTGAATGTTATTTAAAACTCGCATGTTCGCTGAAGGTTTCCAGGTGTTGGCATGGACTAAGCGAAGTCTTGGAGCTCCGGGATGCTCCAAAAGAAGGAGGAAAACTTTATGCCCCTTGGCTCCTTTCGGACTCCTCTCATGAAGCAATAGAGGTTGGGTTGTTTTTCCTTGCACTAACAGTCCTTAATAGGGAGTACAGTGCCCCCCAGTATAATCCCTATTGGGCTGTTAGTATAAGGGGAACATCCCAAAATAGAGGGGAGGTGTGTTGCAAGCGCTTTCTGGTAATTTCACCAATTGTCTAGAGCGACCGGGGTCTTTTTGTTGTGGGGACTGGAGCAGGGAAGGCAAGCTAAGCACGACTAGAAGCCACTTCCCATTCCTTGCTTGACCTAATGATTCATGTGGTGCTGTCTGGACTGGCGTGCAATGAATAGAAGGGCTGATGCAGTGCACCGTGTACAACCCATCAGATCTCCATCACGGCCTACGCGACTTCGGAAGAAGCCCAGGCTGCGTGGCAGATGCAGCCATCCGGGCAGGTGTGTGCATGGAGAAGAAGGGCCCTAATCCCTAAACCCGAAATCCTAATACCAGGGGGCTGGGTGTGAGGATTGACTTGCTAAACCGTAAGGCCTCACAACAGTAACTGCCCCAACCTCGAAACAATTTTCTGTTTGTTTAGTTTTCCCTGTAGTGTGGTTGCCAGGCTCCGGGGCAGGTGGCAAAAAAACAACCCAAACCCTAAACGGACCCAAACCCCCATATTTTGCCCGTCCAGGTCCTTCGCCTCACCTCCCGGTCGCCTTCAAAAGATAGCCGAGGCTTGTTTGTTTCAAAGGCCCCCCCCCCCAGTTTCTGCCTCCCTGTTGTTCACGGAATGTGGGATTGTAGAATCGCGCCAAAGCAGTCAGAATCATATTGTCCCATTGCTTGGGGTGTCCTTGGGAGCATGTTCGTCTAACTAGCCACCGACTCCCTGTGCATCTTCTTCAAAAACCAGCAACAGAACTCTTCCCCACAGATCTGCCCTCAGATGATACCAACCTTTCGGACACGAGCGAGGGCGTTCGAGGCAGCATACGTCCGCAGAAGCTGGTCGTGTCTGCGTCGCAGGGTGTGCTCGGCCAAGACCTCACGGACGGCGAAAGCAGGAAGAAAGGACAAGAGGGAAACGAGCAAGCGCCGACTGGAGGGTATGCGTATGCTGCTGTAGTGAACAATGGGCAGCCTTTTTTGGCACAGAAGATGGTAACCCACTCCTGGCGGAACACATTTACCCACTTGCTCGCTGCGATCTTCGCGGATGCGCTGGATGTGGAGAAGTATGATGAGATTGCACGGCTCCTGGTGCAACGCGAGTTTGGGAAACTGACAGATGCCCTCCAAAGGAAATCAGCACTCGACGTTCGCTACTGGGTGTGTGCATTTTCTGTGAACCAGCATGCTGGAATTTGCGCGACCCCGCCGCAGACGGACTCGACCGGTCACAGAATAGCGCCCTGCAGTTGCACCACGCCGAAGCATTTCTCCGGCGATCTCAGCGAAGCCAAGCTGCAAGAGATTCAGCATGCTTCGTGATTCGATCGTAGAATGTTGCCATGCAGCTGTTCAAGCTGATGTATCGTGCCAGCGTACAGGAGATGAACAAGTTCGACGATATGATGGCTTACCTGAAGAGATCCTTGCGCGAGCAGGGCCAGGCGCGCAAACTCCCGAAGTTTTCAAGGATTAGATGGCTTCGGTATATACGTACTTGCCAAGCAGGGATGGCAGCTCTCCATGCATCCTCTTTTCCGTTGTAGTGTTGGACCCTGCTTAGTTTGGGTTTTTGTAAACACTGGCGGTTGGAGTGAGCACAATGCTGCTGCTGAGTGGGTGTACTGCGCACCTGATTCAGCTCGCCTGGCTTGTCCGAGCGCCCGCGATCAACACTAAACCTTACTGAGAGCCATTGAAGACCTGAACCTGGAGGCTCTGAACCATGAGCCTCTGAAGTTCCAAGGCTTTCTTTACACTAGTGCTTGCTACACTTGGAGGGAGGGGTTCGGATTTGTTCCCCAAACAGTGCTTGCACAATGGGGTTCTTACGTTCAGGGTAAAGGAATTGGTTGCTGACCGCAACGGTGCGCGCGGTGAGACTACCTGGGGGCAGGATCAATAAAAACACATGGTTTAGGATCCCCTAAACCCTACACCCTAAACCCTAAACCCTAACTAAACCCTCAGTTTGCGGGGGGTCCTAAATGGTAACCCTTCCCGGCTTGCCATTTTAGACCTCTCCCCCAGCCTGGAGCCGCTCCGCCTCCGCGAAAAAGCGCTCCCGCAAGCCCACACGCCTCTCGCTCAGCTCCCTTTTTCCCTCTCTTCCTCTTTTCCTCTCTCTCTCTCTGTCTCTCTCTCTCTCTTTCTTTCCTTTCCTTTCTGTTTCATTTGAGAGAAAAGAGAACGTGAAAGGCTCCGTGCCTTGCGATCTGGGTCAGCCTCCGAGAGAGAAGGTCCCTACTTGCCGCTCTTTGCTCCCTCCCTCAGCTCCCTCAGCTCCCTCAGCTCCCTCAGCTCCCTCAGCTCCCTCAGCTCCCTCAGCTCCCTCTTCCTCTCTCGCTCCCTCTCCTTTCTTTACCGCTCTCTGAGAAGTTAACTGTTCTCTGATACTAGTGCACTCTCTCAGCATCCCTTTTCCCAAGCGGGTCGGTGTGGCCAACAGCTCTGGCGCATGCTGCGCAAAGAACCCGCTCGTCTGGAGGAATGTCACCTTCACTTGCCGAGCACAACTCAGGACTGTTCCAACTGTCCCCCCGCAAAAAAAAGGGGCAGCCTCAAAAAAGACCACGAAGGCATTACCTGATTACTTTTTCAGGAGTCCTTCTTTGCCACACATATCCAGATAATACAGATGCTTGTCTTTCCATATCTTTTCCTTGGAGAGTACGAGAAGGTGCCCCTTAAGTGGATCAGCCATTGAGAACCGATGCGGCATTTGATGCAAAAAACTCCCCAGCGCCTAGGCTTATCATGGCTTGACTATCAACACCGAGGAAAAATTAAGGTGGCTATAGCTGCTAGCCGCTGGCCTTCACGATGTGAGCATTTAAGCAAACATCCTGGAGCCTGTGACTTTACACCCCGTAGCCCGGAAGCCAGTTTGTCTTACAATTACAATTGTAACCTACTACTTCAGACCTCACACCTCGAAACCAGGCCGCAGGATGCGCGTGTTGGCTAGGCCTACTTTGGTGCCATGAGATGAGAAGAAAAAAAAGAACCAGATTTTCTTTGTTCGTAGACGAGAATTCTGCGACATTCAAGGCAGGCTGGTCCAGTGGCCAAGTTTGGGGGGAGATCCATAGCCAACACACAACACGTCCATAGCCAACAAAAGGTCTAAAATGGGTTGCCTGGATTATGCCCAGTCCCTGGGAAATAGCACAGTTGGGGGTCTAAAATGGGCGCCCTAGGCCCCTCCCCTGACAACCTGAGGGGATGGTTTAGGGGGGGTTTAGGTTTAGGGTCAACCCTGCGGCTGGGTGCCGGGGGTTAGTATTATGGGGTAGCGTTTTTTGGGGTTGAGCATCATGAGCATCAGCTGGGTCTTTTGGCCCCCAAGTTCCACACGCGTGCAAAGCCGAATCTTCCAGTGGTTGGCGTCTTTTTGAACTTTTGTACTTTTTTGTCCCCGGGAGTGTTGGTGCTCTTCTGGCCTTCTTTGGCCTTTTCTGGCCCTCCTCACTGTTTGGGGTCTACGCCGGCATAATATTTTCATGTTCGGGAGGGGAATGATGAAAGCCCTCGAGCCGCAACCAGGGCCGATTGGAGCAAGTGGTTGCCCTGGAGACAGACTTTGGTTTGCTCACCCGCGTGTGGTGTGTGGCAGAGCTAGTCGAAGCTCACGAACTCCACTTGCAGCAGGCGTGTGAGCATCACGGGTTTCGGTTTCCAAAACTTTGCTTCAATGTCATAGAATCCACACACACACATGGCGACAATGGTTCTTAAGGCCGTTTGTGTGCAGTCTCCTCAACGTGTTCTTCGAAACCCTAAACCCCAGACCCTAAACCCTAAACCCCAAACCCTAAACCCTAAACCCCAAACCCTAAACCCTAAACCCCAAACCCTAAACCCTAAACCCCTAACCCCCTTAAGCAGCCCTTCGGATGTGGCGGAGGCGGTGAAGATGCACTCGGCGGCTTCTCGGGATCTTTGCTTCGACCGGCTCGTGGAGCTGGACGTGCGGAGCGCGGAGGCATCCTATCCGGCGGACAAGGACATCTGCCCACAAGAAGCCCTAAACCCTAAAACCCTAAAACCCTAAAACCCTAAACCCTAAACCCTAAACCCTAAGCCGCAAAAAAAAACCCTAAACCCTAAACCCCAAACCCTAAACCCTAAACCCTAAACCCTAAACCCTACTTGGAGCTTTGGTTTAGAACATTTTTGGAACCCCCAACCCAAAACTCAAACTTGCTGCGACCAGGAGCTGGTTCTGAGCAAGATCCACAATGTGGAGGATTTTAATTTGTGCCTCCAAGATCTCATGTTGCATCGCTTGGAGTCGTTCCTTCAGACTAGCCGAGCACGCACTGCTGCGGACCTTTGTGATGAAGTTGTCCTCGCAGTGGTCAACGTGGCCATCTAAAAGACGTGGTGGCCGCTAGACAAACCGCGTGCATGTTGGGCCCTTGCATAGCCAGCCAATTAGTACATCCCATCTTTTGGCTTCGATGTTTTCGCTTGCCGAAGGCAACTACGATTTTCTGAAGCGCAATCATCTAAGGTGGGTGCAGGGCAAAATTGCCTATTTCTGTGCAAAACAAACCTAGAAGGCTCGTGAGCCTGCCTTTCCGAGGCCAAATGTGTCTGCTGTCTGCTTGCGCCTTAGATGGACTGCTCTGGGGCCTCCCTTCAGATGTTAAACTTCTCTTCTTGAGACTGTCTTGAGGATGCCATGCAAGCGCTGCATCGACGCTGAAGCCATCACAGCCAGTTTCATAAAGACAGGCGTTCTTCGCATGCCCTCCCACCCTCAACACTCACACTTACATCGCATCGCGAAGCACGTGACCTTGCTGGACGACAGAAGTTAACACCTCCCACATACAGTATATGCTGATAATAATAATAATAGTAAGAATAGCAATAATACTAGTAATAATAAGAAGAGTATTTATCATATTAATACAAATAACTAAGAATCAGGGCAGGGGATTAAAATTAGGAGCAAGCATCGGTCTGCCTGCCATGGGCCGCAGCTGGCGCCCCGCAAACGGCTCGGGGAAGGCAGGTAAACGGGAAGGGGGATGCCCGGGTTTAGGGTTTAGGGTTTAGGGTTTAGAGTTTAGGGTTTAGGGTTTAGGCAAAAAAGGGTGTTGCCACGAGAGCGACGAGCTCGACCAGGCGCGCTGAGACAAGCCTGTGCAAAAAGGGTTTAGGGTTGTATTGCAAAGCATAGATGTTGCTGATGTCACTGGCCTGTGTCCCGGGACAGTTGAGCAAGCCTTTGCGTGATGCCAGGTGAAAGTGGCACGTTCGGTGAATCATGCGAAGGCAGCATCAGCAGCATCAGCAGCGCACGCTCTGAATTACACAAAGCCTTGCCTCAGCCTCATGTCTTCTACATTCTTCCAGCGGTTACTTCCATCTCGAAAATACTGGACTTGCTTGCGAAGATCTGGGGCTCAGTTCACGCATCAGGTGTAGCTTCGTGGTCTAAAGTGTTGTCCTGCGACACCAACATAGCCACCCAGTTTATCCTATCCCTCCTGAGGCACCAGGTGATTCTGCATCTGTCAAAGTGCAAATGGCCGAGCTGGAGAAGTCCTGCCCTGAATTGGCAATGGTTGTTTCGGAGTTTCAAGAGGACAGATGCTGACGACGAGCCAAAAATGGCCTGCCATCGTCAGTCAGCAACTGCCCTCCAGGAGCTGGCGCACACGGATGGCTTCGCCAACGATGCCTCCTGGTGGCGCCACATTGAAGCTCGCTTTGGACTCCGCTGCCTCCTCCTGCGTCTCGAGGATGCCAGGGGCCGCCAGGGCTAACCTGGCCAAGCTCGGCATGTGGTTTTCGTGGGTTTAGGTTTAGGAGTTTAGGGTTTAGGGTTCAGGGTTTAGGGTTTAGGGTTTAGGGTCTTGTGTTTTGAGAACTTCTTCATTTGAAATGCCTCAGGAGGGTCTAGAAACAGCCGCTGTGCGCTTCGATCGTGATTCAGGCGAGACATGCAGGGCGGGGTGGGGAGCTTCACATTCCGTATTCGAGCTCTGACTGACGTCTTACCATTTGTCATGTTCAGCATGTCTGCTCGCTTGTGAGACCTACGTTTGCGCGGCTCCTGCAACCCATGACATATAGTCATATACTGAATGATGAACATGAATTCCCCCCGGACCCGCATAATGTGGTGACGCACTGACGCACTGCCGATGGCACGCGCAGGTGGAGCATTGGAAGTGTCTTGGAGAAAGGTGGGGACTGTTGCACCCATGACCCAACTCACGAGTAACTCTTGGAGTGCGTGTAGTGCTCATACCCCACAGCCAGCAGCATGAAAGGGTCTTTGTCTTGCCCTCTCCGTCTCGCTGGCTCTTCCCCTCTCTTTCTCTGCCCCCCCGATCTGTCGTCTCGTCAAGATGATCCCACGCTCAAATGTCATCGCAGCCAGCCTCAACCTAGCCTCAACCTGTCTGGACCAATTCTGTCACTGAATCACTCGCCTCAAGACCTAAGCGCCACTCACTGAGCTGAGCAGGTGGAGATTATGGAGCGCCTCCTCAGGGCTTTTGAGCAAACCACGGAGCCCCGTCTGGCCAAGTCGGCCCGGGACTCGCAAGTTCAGGGCAGAAAGTCGTTGCATGGTAGGTTCCGGACACTTTAGGCACCCATTTTTTAGGGGTGCCGCAGTCGATATATGCATAGATAGATATATATATATATATGTAATGTATGTATGTGTGTATGTATGTCTGTCTGTATGTATGTATGTATGTCTGTATGTATGTATGTATGTATGTATGTATGTATGTATGTATGTATGTATGTACGCGCTCTCTGCATTTAAGCCACCCGAAGCCCAAGTCCTGCGCTGCCATTCTTTCGTCCACTGCCGGCTTGGCCACCCAACGTCGTGTGGCGAAAATCGACCTTAGGCCCAGATGCCTCGTGGTGTGCAAGTGGAACGCCGCTACGGGTTAAAGGACAGCGAGACGGAGCTGCTGCGATTTTTAGTTCGAACCTGAGCTGTCCCACCTTACCGAGATTGGGCGGCTCCATGGCTCTTCCTGTGTCCCGGATTCATTCCCAAAATATGCAGGTCATCCGCGAGTGCGCACGCAGTCGCGTGCTTTGCCGCTTCCTTGGCGACCATTGCGGAAGCTTGTCAGAGGGCAATTCCTACATGTGTGGCCTTTGTGGCAACTCCCGGCTGGACGTGCAGGACGGATGGATGGGTGCCAAAATGTGTCAAAAACAGTCTCCTGTTCTCCCTTGAATGACTTGTTGCATGCAGAGTTTGGGGGTGCCATTGCTGGCCAACGACGAAGCCCACTTGAAAGAGACGGCAAAAGTTGAGGAAAGTCAGGACATGTTAACAGGAAAGCTCAGATCAAAAACATCACCCTCCTTCGGTTTGCCACTCGGGCCTCCGTGTTTTGCGATCATCCCCCTTAGCTTTACGATTCCCCTAAACCCCTAAACCCTCAACCCTAAACCCGCCTCTCCATACTCTTTCGTGCCACCGCAGCACTCGAAGGATTTTCTACAGGAGAAGCGGCAGCACGTGACTGAAGGCATTGTGCGCATCCAGGCGTGCAGGGAATGTAGGGCCGGGGCCACAAATGGTTCAGGGTTGAAGGGGCTCGCGTGAATAGTCTTCTAAGTTTTAGTAAGGTCGCTGTCATCATTGAATCCCACTTTCCTTTTCCTTCGCCCACTCGAAGGGAGCGTTCGTCTAGAACAGCCCCCAGTTGAAACGCTGGTTCAAACGTTCAACATTGCCGTGAAGCCCCATCCGAGCTGAAGCCAAAAGCGCATACCCCCCTTAGACCTGACATACCCTACCCCCCCCCCCCCACCCAAAGAGTTAAAACTAAACAAACAAAAAAACACCCCAAGCCCGCACGCAAAACCTTTCTAAAACCTGTGGCGAAAACCGTCGCCTCGTTCACGGCGACCTAGAACCACCTTTGGGTGCCGGCGAAACCCTGGACTGAATAAAGGGTTTAGGGCTTTAGGGCAGCAGTCGAGTCCCTTGTGAAAAAGGGTTTTAGGTTTTAGGGTGAAATCCGGAAACCCTAAACTACAGTTTTAAAAAAACCTGGAAGGCGAAGGGGTTTGCTGTTCAGGACCTTACTTAACGTCATGGAAAGGGAGCCACGCTTACCACAATATGAAATATACGTCTGCTGGCAGCTGGGATGTCGGCCCTCAGCCCAGAGGACGGTGGCTATGGCGAGGCAAAGGAGCCCACAATCTCCCCAGAGGCGGTCCACGCGCTGATGGGCAAGGCCCCTCGGCTTCAGCTTCGCGTGGCGTCCGGATCTTTTGGCTGGATGCCATGTGTGTTAAATAGAAGGGATATGATAGCAGGGGCCCCCAAGAAGGGACCACCGTTGGGGAACCACTGGCCGTTTAGGATTTCGGTTTGGGGGGCTTAGAGCTTCAAGACTTTGGAGTTAGTTAAGGGGCGGTTATCTCTAGCACTCCAGGTGAGTGGACGTGCACACATGTGGGGGGGGGGGGGGTGACTGGGGAGAGCGTGGTCTGGGCATGCAAGCTGCATTGTGAGCTTAGCCCCGACGGCTATGAGCCCGGATGCGTGGTCATGTCAATAAAGGCAGGCGAGCGGCGGCAGATTCACTGGAGCGTGAAAGTGCAAAGCTTCGTCATGGAGCAAGCGCGATCGGTTCGTTCGTGAATCAAGGGCGAAGCAAGTCGTGCAGCTGTTGGGGCCGTAGGCCGTAGGCGAGGAGGCGGCGGAGGAGGATGAGGAGGAGGAGGAGGAGGAAACGGGATGACAGCAGAGATCATGAAGACAGGACTTAACTTAAGGGACAGTCCACGAAAAAGTCTGGAGCAGCAGCTACGCCGGCAAACCCGTGCTAAATCAGCTTGAATGTTTGTGTACCTTGTCGGCAAAGGACCTTACAACAGAGCAACGCCTGAAGCTGAGCTCCACCGTCATCGATGCCGTGCTGAGAGGCTCATGTGGCAATTCTTCCCGAAAGATGGAAGCATCTGGCCGAATAAAGTCTAGCCCCCCAAACCTATCGCCAGGCGATTCTCCACCAGAGGAGGCTCGCCGGAGCCCAGAGGGTGCTCCATCGCCTCCCCCAGACCCTGTGGACTCCGTGGATATCCCTGCAGAGCCGATTCCAAACGGCCCAGACGCTGGTCACGCCCAGGCCTTGGACTTGGAGTTCGGGAGTGAGAATTTTATGAAGACGCCAAGTCGCTGTTATATGAATCCCCCCCCACCCTCCACCACCCCCCCTCTGAAGGGAAAGAGGAAAACCAAAAAGGGTTTCTTTCTGGGATCAGGCTCGTCGAAGCCAGTGTCATGTTCTAAGCAACTCTTTGCTGCTTCATGCGCCATTTGGTCAGGACGTCAACGCCTCGGAGATTCTTGCCCGCAAGTGCTGCTGTCAGAGCCCAAAGGGTCAGGTCACCAAACCTGACTTGGAAATTCTATTAACCCAATTCTGTTCTTGGCGGGTGATAACTACAGTTACATCTGCTAAGAACCCTGAATCGCCAAGTAAGGACCGGCCCTGAGGAGGATGCCGAGATTTTGCAGCAGCCATATCGAGAGTCCCTGGACTACCTCAACGATCAGTTCAGCCTACTCGAGTGCGAGATCCGCATTGCGGAGCACAGGCGGCAGTCGACAAAGGAAGATGTGGGAGTCGAGGACACGAGCCAGCCTGATCGCAAAAAACCCGAAACCCTAAACCCATGCCGCCCTGTGGTTCCAATACTGCTGGGGGATGGTCCCGATGATGTGCTGGTACAGTGCAGTCGCGCTCAGTTGCTCAGACTCAGAGATAGCGCCGAGTAAACCCATAACCCTAAACCCTAAACCCTTCTTGAGAAGAGGAGTGACCTCCAGCAGCCCAGTAGTGCAGGTGCCCCTCTAGGTATTACCCATATCACCAATCCAGGAGCCCTTTCTTCTCAGATCCCGCAAAGTCAACGTCTTCGAGCATGAAGCCAAGAGACGCTGGGCGCAAAGGAGAACGCCTCAGGTTTTGCAATGGCTTTTGCAGGGTTTTAGGGCCTTTAGGGCCTTTACCATGGCGTTTTGGCCAAGGGGTCGGGAGGTTCTGCTGACTTTGTTCCCCAACCCTCGGTGGGGGGCTGTCTCCCGGTCTACTTCTCGCCCATCTCCCAAATCCCCAACCCCAAAGTAATTATTCCCAAACAGGATTCATTGGGGGATACTCTGGGGTTAGGCATTCCGGGGTTGGGCACTCCACGGATTCTCTGCAAATACTCTTGGGATGTTCGAAGTGTTCTTTTCTTCATTCGAGTGCGGGAAGCGCATCGCAGAGCGGCGTGCCGCAGCACAACTCGGCAACATTTCAAGAAGTTGTGTCGCCGTCGAAGCACTTTGTCCTTTTGAGTGGGCCAAACCCTAAACCCTAAACCCTAATCGGCCGCTTTTTTTTCATGATGGAAGTGCAACTGCTCCCACGTGTCGTGCTGGCGCCCAAGCCACAGAAAATCGAGTCTCAGAGAGCCTGAAGGGCCCTTCTTGTTATTCAGGAGCTCCCTGAGCTCCCCTCAACCCTCAACCCTCAGCCCTCAACCCTAAACATCCCTAAGCCCTAAACCCAGGAAAGCTGGCCCTGGCCCGGATCAGCCACCGCCTCAAGCTCACACGGGAAGCAGGCCTCGAAGTCCCACGCCTGGAGGCACAAGGGCCACTGAAGGAGCATTGGGGGTTTCCGAAAAAATAGGGCGTACGCATTTTTTGGTGTCCCTTTGAGGGGATTCTGTTCTATTTGGGGTATAGAAGGGGTAGCCCTATTTTGGGAAATGCCCAATTCTTCTTATTGTTCAGCATTGGGGGATGGTCCTACACTGTTCTTGATGGCTCCTGTGTGAAGTGACATGGCTGTTTCCCAGAGGCCTTGCACCAAAAGACAAAGCTGGATGAGTTCGAGAAGAATGTCGTGCCTCTCCCGCACCTTCGCAACCTTCCATTGTCATGTAGCTCCAATTCCCTGTAAATCCGTAAATAGAGTCCCTAGAGGAGTACCTGTATGCCACTGCCCCTGAAGCACCAGCCATGAAGCTGAAGCACCAGCCATTACGCCTGCCAAAGCCCTAAACCCTGAACCCTAAACCCTGAACCCTGAACCCTAAACCCTGAACCCAAGGTTGTGATGCTGGTGGGCAACACCTTGTCGCCCAAGATCCAGGCCACACTCAACGTGGGGGAACGGCGCTTCCTGGCAAACGCTCCTCTACAGGCCGCCCCACTTGGGTATGTCCCAAAAGAGGGGTACTCCTTGGATACCCCAAACAGAGTAGAATCCCCCTTAAAGGGGCCCTCCCCAAGGTAGTACGAACTGTGGTCCTGATAATCAAGTAAGTTGACATAGAAGAACGAGCAGCAGCAGCCTGATATCACAGTAGTGATGATGGTCATGCTGGCCTTGCGGGGGTGAGAATATTACGATTAATATGATCAATCTGATTAATTTTTATTAATATCATTATACGTATGAATATTACTAACATGATCATTATTCTTCTTCTTCCCTAAACCCTAAACCCTAAACCCTAAACCCTAAACCCTAAACCCTAAACCCTAAACCCTAAACCCTTAGTTGTGTTTTGGGGGGGGGGGGGGGGAGTCCACAGGTGAGGGTCATCCTGGAGACCTTCTGCCGCGACTTCAAAGAGGAGGTTCAGAAGCGGGTCTATTTTTACAAGAGCAGCCGCCTGGCGAGTGGCCCTGATGCATTAGGGTTTAGGGTTTAGGGTTTAGGGTTTAGGGTTTAGGGTTTAGGGCTTAGGGCTTAGGGCTTAGGGTTTAGGGTTTAGGGTTTAGCTGAGCCTCTTGTGTAGTTGAGACTCAAGCTTGCGCTGGGTTGTTGAAGGGTTTACGGGCGGCGGCATCCCATAGATGATGCCTGTCTGCCCGAGCCAAGTCTGAAATATTCTCAACTACATGCTGAAGGAAGCAAAATTGAAGCTATCTTGATGGTTGCTAATTGTCCTACCCACCTACGAAATTACATTAGGCGCTGTTAGAGTCTCATCCAACGTCCTGTCTTTTGTTATGGGGATCCTGAATTCAGGAGTTTGAACAGAAGTGCTCATAGAAAGCTGTGTGCGTGTGTGCAGGGGGAAGTGATTTAAATTGCTTCTTTAGAAGGAAAGGCCGCCCTTCTCCAACCCAACGCAGTTTCCAATTGTGCTGTTCTAGGTACAACTCGGAAGTCCAACAACACAAAGCGGTGGGGGTCAAGAATCGGGGAGGTTTGGAGTTTGTATTTTAGGGCTTTGGGGTTTTGACATTCCAGGTCGAGGTTGGTCCATTTCTGTGTGTGGGGGGGGGGGGGATCTGCTCACAAGCCGTTACTAAAGACAATGCTGCATGATTTGGAGCCTTCAGCTTCATTGAGCGTGCGGTGCGAACATGCATGGGGATCAAACACCGAGTCGAAAGACCTAAACCAAAAACCCTTTATGTGCGTTTCTTCATCTAGCATTACAAATAAATTCACCATTACATCTGCGACTTTGTCGCAATACTGTTGCTTCTTTTTCGAACTTGTTTGCGTGTGACGGGGCTAATGAAACTAGAGGTGTGGACGATTAAAGCATCTTCTTTGGGCCGCTCTTGCTTGATACTGTGCGGTTCCTCGATTTGTTGTTCCACATTTCTCGCTGAGGCAGCGGCATTATCCGCATCGGCGCTGGCGCGCGGTCTGGAGATCTGACCAACCACACAGTCCACATCGACCGTCGAATTCTGGACTTTGTCGTCGGGTTAGATACCGCGGCCTGACAGCAGCCAGCGTGGCGAGCCCCCCTGACGTTGCGCGACCCTAAAGCACTCCCTAACACCGCCAATGTGGCACGGATCCCCTGATTCTTATGCCCACCAGGAAGGGAGTGCTGGACTCTGTCCTTTGCGATGTTGAAGCTTCGAACAATTCACGCGAATCGCTTCGTCACAACACAATTTCCCAGGCGATCACAGCCGTTCGCACGCAAAACGCTCGAATACTCGTCGAAGTCTCGATGTGAGCTGCATCTTGACCTGCAGGAGATCAACGAAGTTGTGGAGGGGAGCAATCTTTACAAGCCCAATGCAACGCTTCAGCAGCTCGTGCTTCCAGAAGACATGAAGAGCAACATCCTGGCCTTGGTGGACAATTTCGAGCAGCTCCTAGCACTGAAGCATAGCTTACCGCGTATGGTCTCCGCAGAAGATTCTGTGAGGATTTCTTTGCATGATGCCTTGGAATGGTTTTCTTCATGATGAGTCGGAATGCTTCAAACCACCTTGACATTAAGGTTCTGCAAGTACCGGAAGTCCTCCGGGCTCGACGATGTCATCGCACATGGGTTGCTGGACAAGAAGTTATTGCATTCGTGGCTGCTCACAGTGGTAAAGTGTGACCGCCGTCGTCACAGTCACATCGCCGTCAGAATCTGAAGCCAAAGCAGCCACAGCAGTAGTCTAAGCCTCTACTGAGGTCTGGGCTGGTGCTCATGTTCTGCGGACCAAGTGGCACCGGCAAGACCCTCATGGTCAATGCCCTCGCGGCACACCTGGAGAAGCGGGTTTTGCTCGTGACGGGGTCGCATGTTTGTGGCAAAGGCAAAGGGGGTCTACGAAACTAGGGGTACCTCATTGGGTCCCATTATTGCAAGGGAATCCTTCTATTTAGCGTCTATATGAGGGGTCCCATATTTTTGTAAACCCCCATAATTATTAACACGCGCGTCCAGGTTCCAAGTGCAGCAGCAGAAAAAGAAGCAATCTTCGTCATCACGCGAAGACTAGCACCAATGACAATGATACCAGTTATAGCCGCGATGACAACAGTGACCGATGGGCCCAGCCTGCAGCCCGAGACTGCAAACACGTCCAACGCCCGGAATTCTTGACAATGCTTTGCATTGTTACTGTGGTTATTACCCTCACCGCAACCATGGTCCACCATCATCCACCATGGTCCACCATCATTCACCATCACCGTCAGCACCGCCATCACCATCGTCCTTGCCGTTATTGGCTGATGATGAAGAGAATATTTAGCAAACATACTCATGACAATAATATTCATAATAGCAATGAATAGTAATAGGAATAATAATAGCAAGACGTAATAATAGTAATAGTCATAGCAATAAATAGTAATACTATAATAATAATAATAATAAAAACAATAACAATAATAATAAGAATAATCATCATAATAAATATGAATTAGCGACAGGATCACACTCTTTAAGCCTCGGCAGTGAGTGGCCCAGGTAAACTTCAAGACGCTGTGCCTGGGAAGCCTTGAGAAGAAGCTTTCTTGTCTTTGATGGTTTCGATCCAAGGAAGCTTAGGGTTTAGGGATGTTTAGGGTTTAGGGTTTAGGGTTTAGGGTTCAGGGTTCAGGGTTCAGGGTTTAGGGTTTGGGGTCGGATTCCAAAACCCTTAACCGCCTAAACCCTTAATGCTGAGACATGTGGCTTGGGTATGTGCCTTGTTGCCAGAAATATGTCAGCCAGGCCTGTAGTGCGTTTGCTGGACAGTTCTCCGCGAAGGGGGAAAAGAAACTTGGGTGGGGGGGGGGCGTGGGGTGTGGGCGTCACTTGAGGACAAGGTGGTTCAGCCGTGTAAGCTTACCTGAAGCTTTTTGAGAGCTGCTGGCTTCCAAGCATATGACTCTTTCTGAAGCCTCGCTAAGCCGCGCACAGCTTGCTTCAAAGCTCCTTGTCTCCCTTTGTCTCCCTTCATGTGGGTGGCTTTGCTGGGGTTTGTCTCCCTTCGTCTCCCTTTGTCTCCCGTTGTCTCCACTGTTGCTTTGACATTCCTTTGACTGTTTGGTGTCTTCGGTGGTGTAATGAAACTCATCAGCTAAAAGGGCTGCATAGACCCAAGCTGCAGGGGGGGGGGGGCGTGTTCTAACTAAGCCGTGCAAGCTTGCCTCAAAGCATATGAAATCTTGTTCCAGCGAGTATTGTGTTTGCAAATTGGGGCGGAAGGGGGGCTGCGACCAGTCTGCGACCCGCCCAGCACCGCCGCATTCCGTGCAGTCTTGCTTCAGAGCATATGCCTCTTTTTGGAACCCATCATGCGAGCATAGCTTGACCTGTATATATGTATATATGTATATATGTATATATGTATATATGTATATATGTATATATGTATATCTGTATATATGTATATATGTATATATGTATATATGTATATATGTATATATGTATATATGTATATATACATATATGCATATTCATATGTATATGTATATACAGTGTTCAAAGCAGTCAGTCTTGGGGTCTCCGAAATTCCAGACCCATGACCCACCTGCAATTTCAAGCGTGTCTTTATTTTGCAGCGCCGAGCCCCCCTCCGCATTCATCCGAAGCAGCCAGAACAGAATCTTAGAGTCGGTACTTATAAGGTGCGTGGGTTTAGGCTTAGGGTTTAGGGTTTAGGGTTTAGGGTTTAGGATTTAGGGTTTAGGGTTTAGGGTTTAGGGTTTAGGGTTTAGGCGAGGGAGTCAGAGTCAGCGGAGGTACAGCCACCACAGTGAGCCGGGGCTTGGCTCGGACGAGGATGGCTCCAACGTGCTGAAGCTCTTCCGTGAAGCCGAGCCGAAGCTCCAAATTGGGGGATTAGGGTTTATGGTTTAGGGTTTAGGGTTTCCGAACCTGGTCCCTTTTTGCAGGATTTTGCAAGATTTTGCCTTCAGGAAGGGAAGCATCTACCTAGACATACGTCTTGCAGGTTTATGACTTGCAGTTGTTCCCAGAGTCTCAGCAGCCAAGCTCAAGGAGATGAGTGACGCCGTATTGTTCTTTGATGAGTCCGGCTCTCAGAACAGTGAGCCGCAAGACTTCTTGGACCTCTGTGGGGGGCATGGTATTCAGAGAACTGGTTTCAGTTGGTCCCCTACCTCGTCTCTCTCACTCTCACTCTCACTCTCACTCTCACTCTCACTCTCTCACTCTCTCTCTCTCTCTCTGCCATGGTAAGAACGCAGCCACAGCGTATCCCGCACTGCAGCTGCACGTCGCCAGTGCCAATAGGTTCCCACACAGCTCCCAAAAGCTGACTAGATGCAGTTCAGCAGCTCGGGGGGGGGGGGGGGCTTGAAATACTCAATACCTCTAAATTGAGCCTTCAGAGGTAAAGCAAAAGTTGCCCACGGAAAGTGAAAGCAGGTGCGAGTCGCTCTTCTCCCAGCGCTCCACAGGGGGCAACTCCGAGATGACCGCGCTGCTGACCGCCATGGAGCGACCTTCGGATTGGGCGTTCAAACGGGGTCCAAGAGTACCCTAAACCCTAAACCCTACACCCTGAATTCAGGGCAGGCCTTGAGAAAGCGCAGCTGCGACGTAAGGATACGAAGGCATGATCTTCCTGGCCACAAACCGGCCCTTTGACCTGGACGAGGTCGGTTCGGCAGGGTCTTCATCACCTGGGCGGTGCGAGCATGAGTGTATTCTCTGTATATAACCTGGAGGGTCCATTTGTAGTACGGTTCTGGAATTAGGTACCCAAAAAGATAGGGTTTTGGGGTGCCTATAATTCCAGAATTTTACTACAAATGGACCCCTGGGTAATACCTAAGCCCTAAACCCAAGTTGCCCGCAGTTTCCAAGCAGGCCATGTATCGGCGGATCACGTCCGTCTTCACCTTCAGCAAGCCAGACCACATCCAGCGACTGGAGATCTGGAACCTCTACACCAAATCAGGACCGCTGGTTCTAGGGTTTAGGGTTTAGGGTTTAGGGTTTAGGGTTTAGGGTTTAGGGTTTAGGGTGCCCAGAAAGGACAAGAGGAGTAAAGGGAGTAGAGCCCGTTCATGGCCTCCCCCTCCCGTGGCTCTTTGGCCTGAAGGTGTGCCACTGGCTCCGGGAATTGACTGGGAGAAGATTGCGATGAAGTTTGCCCTCACAGGCGGCTACATCAAGAATGCAATCGTGAGCGCTTTGCTCCTGGCAATCTCCCGTGATCTGAGCTTTAATTTTGGTTTTGTCCGAAGGGGGGTTACGAAAATAAGGGACCCTAATATAGACTCCCAAATTGTAGGATCCCCTTACAACAAGGACCCCCAAGTAGTATAATTCTTATTCTAGGAACCCTCACAAAGGGTACCCCTATTTTCGAAAACCCCCAAATGGAAGCTAAGCAGAAAGGTGCTTTCCTCCTGTGTGTGTGTGTGTGTGTGTGTCAGTCCTTTCAGACTTGCTGCATGGGTCCCAATTAGGGCCACTGTGTGGACGTAAGACGCCTCCATCTAAGTCAGAAAGATTGCTCATGGCAACCCTGATAGGATGCTCATCGTAAGCTGGTGGGAATTGTCATCCCCGCTGGCCAGTCGAGCAAGACTTGTGCATAAGATGAGTGATACAAACAAAACAACCACTGGCTTGTTGAAGGAATGCGAGTCAAGGATCGCATCCAAAGGAACAAAAACGAATTCATCGCAAGAGTGATGGTCGCGCTATTCTGAGGAGTCACGTTGGAAGCAGAGATTTCCAAAAGCAAGATCCAGTCGCGGTGATATGACAGTCTTACAGATTTTAGAGAATCCCATAATTTTGGTATCAGTACTGTTGAACAACCTCGCCCCACGTTGGCGTAGGCATGTGCCTGTGCAAGTGGCGCAGATGCCCTGTTCGCTAAGGCGACAATGTCCAGCCACAGGTGACAGAGGAAGACATAACTGGTGGGTGCATCATGCAGGCCGTCTTTGCGAACCTGCCTCACCTGCATGACTCGTGCGACGGTACTCTAATCCACACGCTGCCATCGCTGCTCATGCCCAGATGTCCTACTGGGAGGTGCGGGGCTCCCTTCAAATGCAGAGCTTTGCCAAGCGCCTGGTTCCCCGCGCAGGCCCGGACGCCAGTGCCGGCAGTGCCGTGAGCCTTTGAGTGACTGTGCCAGGACTCGATTCTCTGGTCCTGACGGCAACGCTCAGACAGAGTCATGGCCGCCATTGAACTCCAGCAAGCTCTTCTCTGAGCAAGATTTTCTCCCAGACTGAGAATTCCCAAGCTGGGCTACGTACACGTTGGGCAACAAAAGTCGGGACACGACTTCTCCGTACCAATGTGGCACGTACTCTGCCTCTCTTGATTTCTTGAAAACCTAAACCCTAAACCCTAAACCCTAAACCCTAAACCCTAAACCCTAAACCCTAATTAAACCCTAAACCCTAAACCCTAAACTACAGGAAGCTGCTGGACATCGTGGCCTTCGAAAAGGCCAGGCCTCTCCTGCTCGAGAACTGGGGCTTCGGGGATGTCAGTGGCTTGTCTCCAAAAACAGTCGCATCGGATCGTTCGGGGCCCTTGAGGGCTGTAGGCTTCTGCATCAAATTTTTCCAGGTTTGGAAGCGGCTTGAGGCTTCCTAGACTTTTCTACCAGGACTGGGCTGGCTAACTTCCACACTGACATGGAATGGCCTGGCCCGGCTATACCCCCAAATTGAGGTTGAGTTCTTGGAGGCCTCCGGCCCACCTGTTACTTCTCCCGGGTCTGTTCTTAGGACCGATCAGCAAGAATTGAAGGCTTCAAAGGGAGATTGGGAGGGTCGGATGAATGCTCGAAGTCATCTCAAGTTGCTGATGCTTGTGCCTTGAGCACTTGTGCTAAGCTCCTAAACAATAAGGCGGCGACGGCCCGGGCAAAGTGGACGGCGTCAGCAAGCACTTGAGCTGCACACTGCACAGTACAGCTCTGCTTTGCATTGGCCACTGTTGCATAGTCGATGAATGCCGCTGAGCTATGACATTGAAGTTTCGGCGGCAGTCTGAGTATCTGGCACTCAATGTGCAGGGAATTGAATCACGTCGCTAAGAAGCTGGCCGATTTACCTCCTCAACAATTTGCACTACCGAGAACCAAAGCCGACCATGCTTGCACCAAGCTTTCGTCAACCAAAGCCTCACCATACCTCACCCAATGGCATCCAGCCACAACCGAGGCCGGTAGTGACCACAGCCCTGTTCTGGGGTGGCGCGGGCACAGGCAAGACGGCGGCAGCGGAGGCCAGTTAGGGTGTCGCGTTCGCAGCCCAAAACAGGCACTGGCGCAAGAATGTATCCTGCAGTCAGGGAGCAAAGAATCCCTGCTGCCCGAATGTCAACACTAATTTTTTCTACACTCCTACACATACTACATACCTCAACTTACTCCTTGAAGTTCGCGAGTCGATCATTGACCAACTTTCGCTTTCGTTTTCGTTGGCACAGAGTCGGTTCGACGCAGCCTAGCGTGCATTAATTAGGGTGAAACAGGCGAGAAGTGTCGGGGGCACCTCGAAGTTGGAAATCATTGACCAAACCCAAATCCAAAACCCCTCTTCCCAAAGCGCCCAAAACCCCCCGGTACTCCCCCACTAGCCCCCTAAACCCTAAACCCTAAACCCTAAACCCTAAACCCTAAACCCTGAACCCTATTCACGATCACTTTTGCGAGGCCTTGGGTTTCGAGTTCGGCCGTGCGCTGAAGGTCGTGAACTTTCCGGAGCTGGCCCCGGGGCTTGGTTTTTGGGGGGGCTCTGCGCTACAAATGGCCGCGACGGTGATGTTCAAGTCTTGGCTTAATTTGAAGGGTTGTTCTAAACCCTAAACCTTAAACCCTAAACCCTAAACCCTAAACAGCTGTACAGGAACCAGGGCCAGTACAGATTGCACGGTGTGGCCTCAAGAGCTGTTGGGTTTCGGCTCCTTACTGCCCAGAATTAGAAGTACCAGTACGGTGGAGCTTTATTGAGGACAATTTGGCTGAACCCCAACCCTAAACACGAAGCCCGAACCTCGGGTGTCATGTTGCACGCTGGCGCCCTAGATTCGCTCTTCGGAGATGGTGCCGCAGAAGCCTTGGGGTTTAGGGTTTAGGGTTTAGGGTTTAGGGTTTAGGGTTTAGGGTTTAGGGTTTAGGGTTTAGGGTTTAGGGTCCGCAGATCTCCCAATGCGTGCCAGGCAAGCTCTGATCTCCGAATGTCGAAGTCGAATGGGTCAAGCTCCCTGGAGACCACCTTCGAGGCCCGGGCAGAAGGGAACGGAATATATAGCTCCCTGGAGACCGTCTTCTGGTAACAGAATAGAAGATCAATATATGGGGGGGGGGGGGGGAGGGTTTCCGAAATTCGGGTGACCTTATTTGGGGTCCTTTTAAAGGGAATCCTACTGTTTGGGGGTCGAACTTTGGGTCCCCTCTTTTCGTAAACCCCCATAAAGTCTCGATTATAACATGGACAAAGGAGGAGAATATAATACAAGAATATATATATATATATATATATATATTACATCAAATGCAACAAATGACCCTCTGCTTTTCCGTGAGGAGGCAAAAGCCGCGGATGCCGTTCTCGTGATTGAAGGCATCCGCCCAGATGCATGGCAAGGATAGACACGTCTTCGACTTTGGGTTTACTTAGGGCCTCGCACATGTTGCTTATCAGTGTGATTGTGGTGACAAGCTTAGTGTTCATTGCTTCCCTTCCTTGGCCTGCTTTGTGTTCGCCTTGTACTCACACTTGGTCACGACTGAAGTTCCGAAGGGCACTCCACCCAAGGACAACTTCCTCGATGATGCAGACACTGGCCTGGACACGACCTTCCAGCAGCTGGCGTTCCACATCGAGCGCTTCTCCGGTGTCGTGCTGCTGCTGGTGACCTCGGAGGATGCGTTCCGTCTGCAGCTGCTGCCACAGGCCAGGGCTTCAGTGAGCCACACATGTTTTGCACACACCTCCGAGTCCCCGAGTCCTGTCTCAAGGAGTTTGCCCGCTTGGTCAAGCTGCTTGGCATGTGGCTCCGGGCGTGGCCAGTCTTTGTAAGGCAGAGCGAGCTGTCCAGGCACACCCTGTCGTCCATGAGAGACAGGCCATCATGCCATCATTATCATCCTTGAGAGGTCACCTAAAGCAAACTGGCAGGTCCTCTCCACCATGTCTGCCAGACACTATAAGCTGCGTTGCAAGAACTGCTTCTCTGCGCCCGCTGAGGTTCATGGTCCTTTTCGATCATCCCAGCGCCGAGCAGCGTGTGGGGCTCTGGCGCTCGGCACTGCCAGCGCGCGTGCCCCTCGCTTCGGACGTCGACTTCCAGGACACGTTTCTCAATCTTGCAGAAGGGCTGGCCTACTTTTGCTTTTTTGGGAATGCCCTCACCCTGTGCCGAAAATCTGAGAAGCAGGATGAGGACCGTCAAGCAGCCCGACCGTTTATGGGTAAAACAGAGCGGCAGCTTACAGACGCTTTTGCTTTGCCTCTGCGTGGGCAGCGCCCCAGCGCTTGCCATGCGCTTATGGGCCAGGCAGCAGCACGCAATCACCCCCCAGATATCTTCAGGTCAATCAACCGACTTTCTCAAGCACCTGTGAACTTTACACCGCGAGCCCGGCCTTATTTCACATCTTCACATGTCCCGGGTCAGGGTCCCTTGTTGTCAGGAGCTGGGGGGTCGCTTCGACCTGAACGCGGATGCCATCTCCTCGGCTGCTTTCCGCGCAGCGGCCGCGGCTGTGTTGCGTCAGGGAGAGGCGCGACAGGTGCTGCGCGAGGACCTCGACATAAAGACGGGGTGCTTTTAACTTTTCACGCATTGAGGGTTTTGTTAACGTTAAAAACACCCCAAATGGTGCTTTTCTCGCGCTTGAGAGAAGCCCTCAGGATCTGGTTGCCGCAGCGGAGCTCGAGTTGTCCCTGCTGGACAAGTCGAAGAGTGTTGTAAGCTGCCGGCCTTCCATCGAGGAGTTCCTCCGGAAGCACCGTTACACTGAGACCTGGCTGTATTACTCCCGAAACCCTACAACCAACAGATTATCAGGCTGATTCATATTGAATGATATTGTCATACTGAGACCTGTTTCGCATCCTGAGGCTGGGTCGGGGGAGTGTAGATGCCGGGCGTGTGCCTCTTCTGAGGATGTGAAAAGCTTCCACAAGCTCTATTTGCTGAATGAAGAGCGCGGTGGGCGAAGATCTTGGAAAGGCACTCTTGCAGAACTCTCCCCCCAACCTCGGAGAAGTCATTGCAATGTAACTGCTACTTTGAAGGCTGCACTTCGAGAAGCAACTGCTGTTTCGCTTGCCATGTGCGCGCAGGCTGTGAACGCCTGTGTTTGCAAGCGCATGTGGACGAGCTGCATCGCCTCTTCATCCCCATCTTGACCTTGGACGGCGTGGAGGGCTCCTACCCTGAAATGCCTCTCACTTTGCACTAGAGATCACTGGAAACTAGGCCTAGACCTTCTGGAGTCATCATGGCATGCACGTGGGTCCGAGTAAGGGAGTCATGTTCGCAGCATGGACTCCGCTTTTTTCAACTTTTTTCGATATCATTGGCTACGAGAAGCCCCGCGCAAGGTTCGACCAGCATCCCAAGAACATGGGCCTCTGCTTCAGCATCGCGCCCAGCGGGCGGGATGTGCTGCTTGTCGAGGCGCCCGATGTGAGACATGGAACAGGAGGGGCAAAGGAAGCTGCAAGCTTTGATGCAGGCGCAAGACAGGCTCAGCGACAAGGATCTGGAAGGCGGGCATCAGAGGGCCTAGGGTGGTGTTCGGCAACTTTAGGACTGTCAGGGGATCAGGGCCCAGGGCAACTGGGTAAGGCACCATGTACTTCAACGGCACTGGCGGGATGCGACCTGGCCACATCGCCAAGCTGGAGCCTGTTGCGCAGAATGGGATGGAGGAGAAGCTGATGAGTGCCAGTGCCAGTGTAAGTGTAAGTAAGTAAGTGTGTGTGTGTGTGTGTGTGTGTGTGTGTGTCTGTGTGTGTGTGTGTGTGTGTGTGTGTGTCTGTGTGTCTCTGTGTCTCTGTGTCTCTGTGTCTCTGTGTCTCTGTGTCTCTGTGTCTCTGTGTCTCTGTGTCTCTGTGTCTCTGGGTCTCTGTGTCTCTGTGTCTCTGTGTCTCTGTGTCTCTGTGTCTCTGTGTCTCTGTGTCTCTGTGTCTCTGTGTCTCTGTGTCTCTGTGTCTCTGTGTCTCTGTGTCTCTGTGTCTCTGTGTCTCTGTGTCTATGTGTCTCTGTGTCTCTGTGTCTCTGTGTCTCTGTGTCTCTGTGTCTCTGTGTCTCTGTGTCTCTGTGTCTCTGTGTCTCTGTGTCTCTGTGTCTCTGTGTCTCTGTGTCTCTGTGTCTCTGTGTCTCTGTGTGTGTGTGTGTGTGTGTCTGTGTGTCTGTGTGTCTGTGTGTGTGTGTGTGTGTGTGTGTGTGTCTGTGTCTGTGTCTGTGTCTGTGTCTGTGTCTGTGTCTGTTTTGTGTCTTGTGTTTTTGTGTTTTGTGTTTGTCTGTGTGCGCTGAAGAGAGAAAAGTGTGAGCATCGACCTAGCAAGTCATGCAGGAGTTCCTACTAGACTTGACGGACTGGATCAAGCGCTTCTCCGAGTACTTCAAGGGAGACATGGAGCACACGCAGATCCTGGAGATGAAGGGCTACGCCTCCAACTTCTTGGTGAGATGCTCGACTCAGCAGCCTTCCAAGATGCCGGTCAAGTCCGCCAAAGGTTCGCTCACCGTGTACTACACAGCACCCCGGGCAGCATTGCAGCTATAAGTAATGCCTAGAGGTCCTTGAGTGCATGACAGAGGCGCGAATGTATGGGCTTGCTTCGGGGACATGCGGAGAGCATGCGGCGGCTTTGCAGGTCGCCTTCTCGGCGCTGCCAGACGTCCCAATGGTGCCCCGACCGTCGGATCCGCGAGTGGGCTACTTCACCAATTCCATTCTGGTAGGCGGACCGCGGCAGGCAACAACCGTTCAACACGTCATCTCCAAGTGGAACCTCGAGAGACATCAATACCTCCAGTACGTCATCGACCGGGCTGTTCCCAAACTGTAACCAGGCTGTGCCCAAACTGTAGAGGCCAGCTCTGAGCCTTTTTGTTCGCCAGCTACGTCATCTAATCGATGTATGATCGTCTTTCTTGCTTTGAGCATGTCGCGCGGCATGCAGCCTCGGGTGCCCTAAGGTATCATGAGACCATCAAGAAGGGCGTCCACGCGTGGAATGCGGCATTTGAGTCGGTGGTGGGCCGACCGGTGCTTCAGTGCGTGGGGCCGGATGACAGTGACTACCCAGAGGAGTACCAGCCAGGTGATGGTCGACATATCTCCATCTTCATGACCAATCCCTCCACCAAGGGCTTGCTTGGCTATGGCCCAAGTGCCTTCGACTATCGAAGTGGGGAGATCTTGATGGCGAGCGTAGTGCTGGGTCTGAAGCCTCACGTGAAAGTAGCCTCTGACTTCTCGGAATCCCTCCTGACGTCGCCGCAGAGCAGCTGCTGCCAGCAACTGCTGCTGGATGCAGACGATCCGGACGTCCTGAAATATTTGCTGGAGACGGTGGTGCATGAAGTGGGGCACACCCTGGGCCTGCGACATAACTTTATCGCAGCAGAGGATGGGCACTCCTCTGACCTTCGTCTTAGTTTGATGATGAGTCTACTAACTTCTAACACTGCCACGCCCCGGCTGTTTCTGTTCTTTGGTACAACGTGATTGCCATTCCATGTGTCAGAATGGCAGCATGAGGTCATGGACTACCCAGATGAGCTCGACACATCTGATCCAGCCAAGCCAGTCTTTGGCGGGCACTACCTGGGCGAGCCAGGTAGATACGATCAGTATGCTCGGGCCCCAGTTTTAAATAATCTTAATCTCAGCTGCCGTCGAACGTTTGTTTGAGGCTTGTTTCTGCAGAGCAGCATGCCTGGTCCTGCAGTAATGCCTCAGGCCATCAGCTACGGCTACACACCGCTGGAAGCGGAAGCTCGTGGACAGCGCCACGTCAAGCTCGACCTGCTGGCAAACGGCCAGTCCATCGAAGAGGTCCTGCCAGCGTTGTACGCGCTTAGCTGGGGGGGAACTACTGTAGGATTCCTGACATTCGAAGGTTCAGCTGGGAATTCAGCCACTGTGCGTCAGCAACACCGCAGGAAGAAGTGTCTCTGGAGCCTCGGAACCCGCTTTTCGCCTCCGATGATGATGTAGGTACACGGGGCGGTGGGTTCAAGGGTGGGGGAGGCAGCTTCATATTCAATAAACGGGTCAGGGCACAGGGACAGAGGACCACGTCGTGGCCAAAGCGGTAACATCACAAGTAGCACGTCCTTACATGATTCGTTGCGCGATTACATGGTCATTACATGATTGCATCATGACAGTATACATGTATACATGCTCACCGCGGTACCGCATTACAGTATCACATCATTACAACCTTGCAATATGAATGTCTTACAGTATTCTATTTTTCCTCACCCTCGTCGTGGAGTTGTTAGATTTGAAACTATACTCTTCTCCTCGCCCGGTCTACTCGCCCATCACCCGTATCCCACCCCAGAGTATCCCCGGAGAACTTCTAAAACCTCTGGAGTCCCCCAGGTTCAAGAGTGTCCCAGAGAATCTTTGGAGTCTACGGTCTCCCCCGAGAATCCCTGGAGTGCCCAAGCCCAGAGTGAGCTCGCAACTTCCTAGCCTGCAGGGTGGGGATGTTCGAAGTAAATGAATGTCAGTGTTACAGTACTAGCGTGTTGCATTCTTACAGAATGCCAGTATTACATTCTTGCAGTTTACATTCTCACATGATCTCATTTTTTGTATTATTACATGATGGCATCGTCGCATCATGACATTACTATCAGGCGGCCTGGATCCGCGCGTGCAGCAGCGGCTGGCTTCCATTGAGCGTATGGGCCACTTGACGGAAAGATGACTGGTAGAGTTCTGTCCTTTCATTTGCTGTCACAAAGTTCGAAAAGACACGGGTGGAGGCATCACATGTCGTGGCTCGAAAGCTTGCATCCTTTCGGGTTGTGGAGTGCACTTGATCAGTAGTCTTGCGATCTTTCACAGAGTGCTTTAGATGCAGGATCCATGGCCTCAAATGGGACAGGAGGGCACAGACATGGGTTCTCAATCCCTCTCGCAATCGTTCGGCTGAGGTGGCTACATTAGGTGTGGTTGCCAGTTGCGGTTGCAGGAGAACTAAGCCTAGATGGACAAGCAAGCGCTCTCAGGGCCTGCACTCCCGGGGTCATGGCTGTGGTTGAGCATGTAGGCATCGCAAAAGTTACCATGCAATACGCATAATACATGGAGTCTGAACATCCCCAGCGCAAGCAGCCAGAGGCGTGGACAAGATTCTGTGGGCGCTGCAGCGTCGCAAGACACTTCTGGAGCACGTGCAAAGTTCTCACGTGGATTGCGCCCAGTCAGCAGAAGTGCATCCAAACCAGCACGGGGTCCTTGATGCCTTTGAATTTCAGGTAATCTGTACAGCCATCGGGTGCTGAACACCCTGGAGATGCTCGGCTGTGATCATGGGAAGGGTTGTCAATTTGCGATGGTTGTATTTTCGGGTTAGAAAAAAGGATTATAGAACTGGGCCTGCTCCTTCCCAGGGGAGTACCAGAGTGTCCAGGATTTGCTCCCGCGCCGTGCTGGCCGCGGGTGCCTACATCGGAGGCGCTCTGGTGGATGCCCGGCGCAGTGGCGTGCGCCGTGTGGAGTCAGAGGCCGCCCTGCGCTACGTCGCAACCCGGCAACCGTTCACCACGAAAGAAGGTGTTATAGTAATGTGCTCCGACTGTGGGATCATCAACCCCATTAGCGATGAATAGCTTCATCTTATAAGAAATAGTCGTAAGAGTGGTGGTGCAAGCGGCAGTGGTGGTGATGGTAGTGGTAAGTCCTGGTAAGTAGTAGTGGTAATGAGCAATAGCTAGTAGCAAATGGTAGGTAGTTAGTAGTTTCTAGCTTGTAGGAAGTAGTTAGTTGGTAGGGGTAGTTGTAGTAGTAGCAGTCGGAGTAGAGGATCTGGAGTGGGGAGTGAGTGGCAGCAGTAGCAACACTTGAAATTTAGTCGGAGCAGTGGCAATGATGCTACCTAAGAAGTTTCCCAACATGTTTCATCGCAGCCTGAACCATATGTCTCCGTTTGTCACATATGATGACACATCATAGCATATTCAATCATCATCACACATTATAGGTATATTAAACCACAGTATCGCACATTATAGTATGCTAAGTCATATTATCACGCATGATAGTAGATTAAATCACATTATCTGACTATAGAATTTCGGGTTTCTCAGGCCGTGGCCCTGCAGATGTTGGTCGGCCCAGTCTTCCGCTTCGAGGGTCCCGAGAGCGACCGCCTGCTGGTTAGGCGGCGTCTTCCGTGTGTCAAGGGAGCAAAGGGTTTAGGGTTTAGGGTTTAGGGTTTAGGGTTTAGGGTTTAGGGGTTATCCAGGGGGTTATTCCGGGGCTACTTAGGTATATAGGGACGATGTAAGGTATAGATAGGGGTTCTATAGCGGAAAATGACTAAGGGCCCCTTCTAAGGCTCCCTCCTTACACCCCTTAGTTGGTTGGACCCCTGAGGTTGTACCCTTGGGTTTGGGGACCCTTGTTAAGGGTGTACAGTATAAGACGAGGCCTCAGATGAGCTGCAGGATGAGTCGCTGTTTAGGGTTTAGGGTTTAGGGTTTAGGGTTTAGGGTTTAGGGTTTAGGGTTTAGGCATCCGAAGTATCCCAGGGCTGTGGGGAACAGTTGGCATGGAAGGCGCGACGGCGAGTATGGCGTGGCACGAACTAGTGTCCTGGAGCTGCATGGTCAAGCGCCTTGGCAGTTACTTGGAGCCCGCTTTAACTTTCATGTGCGGCCTGAGAGGCGGCTTCTTCGAAGACGTTGTTCATGAGTCATCACCGAAACCCTAAACCCTAAACCCTAAACCCTAAACCCTAAACCCTAAACCCTAAACCCTAAACCCTAAACCCTAAACCCTAAACCCTAAACCCTAAACCTCTCTTGAAGTGCATGTCAGGCCTGCGAGAGCATCCTGGGCCGACTTCTCGATCCAGCCGTTCTGGCGCGTCATGAAGGCCAGCGCGAAACGGCCGCCGAGCCCAGGCAGGAGCTTCTCCCGAAAGACTCCTAAACCCCAAACCCTAAACCCTGTTGAATTGGGATGCCGCCCAGTAGTTCCAATACTGCTGGGGGATGGTGCTGGTTCACAGTGCAGTCGCGCTCAGTTGCTCAGACTCAGAGATAGCGCCGAGTAAACTCTGAACCCTGAACCCTGAACCCTAAACCCTAAAGATTCCGTGACACACCTGTGAGTTTCTGGGAGGCCTCACAGTACACTGGAGCTGCTATCTGCCTTAGCTTTTGGCAGCCTGGCGGCTCCCAGCTCGTCTGCAGAAAAGGCTCTAAACTCTAACCCGAAACCCCAAACCCTAAACCCTAAACCTCCAAACTCTCAACAGAGATGAGGGTTGTTCAACTCACACGATGTCAAAGGGTGTTTTTCTAAGTTAGAACCTCTTATACGGCAAGGACCTTGACAGGGATCCACAGGTCGCGTCGTAGTGGTTCGCTGTTAGGGATGATTGGGATGAGCAGAGGGAGTTGGATGGCTTTCGTTTTGCAGCAAGGCATGCCAAGCGGCTTTGATCTTGGACCTGCGAAGGAGTTCAACAAGGCTCGAGAAAAGCCATCCTTCAGATCCAACGGGTAGTTAAGCTGTCGCTCGCACTGTGGCCGTGCCCTTGGAGAGGACATGTTCTCTGTTCTCTTCGATAGGGCTAGCTTTAGTTGAGAGGTGCCAGATGGTCTTCTGTGGCCCCTGAGTCATGACTTCCGCTTGGAGGAGGCAGCGAAGTCACGGGCCCTCGCGTTACAGCTATGCGCTTGTAACCTCGTGGCAACATCACACGCTTGGGTTCGTGCCGGGTTTCAGGGGAACCTCAGGACACTTTAGGGCGGAGGCATCTGAGAATGTAAAACTGGGGGGTTTCGAGTCAGCTAGGGGTAAACTGCCCGTCATGGCCGTCATGGCCGGAGCATTCCCTTTGAACTGACATGTACGGTTATGCGACAGGCACAATTCGTGGGTGGGGAACCGTCCGGATATACGGCTAGGCGAAGGAACCTATGGTGGGCAAACTTGCCCGGGCCTCGTCCCCAAAGCCAACGAAAGAATTGAAGCCAAACTCCGTGTCATGCTGACATGCCCGGAACAGCTGTATCCCGTGTATCGACAACTCTGGACGCACTTGCTATTCAGTAGACCTGCAGTAAGCCCTTACAGTACAGCAAAGCGACCTTTCAAAATAGAACTGGGCCATGCTGCTTGTAATCCTCGCCCACGTATACCAATGTGAGTGTTGAATCCTCCTAGTAAGCTATGGACACGGAGACTCGTCAACACGCGAGCCATGAGATTCGCTTCGATCCGCTAATTTGGCTTGACGCGGTTTCTGTGGAATCGGGCGCGAGTCTAAAGCAAAGATCCCAAGTCAGGGCCGCGCTGCCGATCTGGGCGCTGCCATCGAGGACCCACTTGCGTGCCAGGCGCGCTTGGCAGCCTTGGCGGCAGGGAGTCTTTTTGTAGGGGTCCTGGGCTATTTCTTGGCCTTTTGGGGGTTCAGCTGGACACAAGCCCAAAACAACCGACCGAAACATGTCCAGGATTTGGCTGCACGCGTTCATGCACGCGTGGCATGATGAATAAAGCGTCAGCTTTTGCAGCTGAGGCTTTTGCCAAACTGGTGAATCACCTTGCACGCGACCCGGGCGTCCATGCTATGGTGAGGCACCCCAACGTCTTGACAATTGGAGGGGCAGAGAGGTGGTGAGGTGAAGCCTGCCGCTACACTACACACGTCTTCACTCCTCGTGCCAGCTGTGCCGGACTAAATCAGCTGGAGCCCCCCTGAAGGTCCCACGCCATGGCCTTCGTCCTCATCGTCCAGGGTTGCCTCCAGGGATTGAAGGACGTGGGAACTCTCGTGCAGGCCTCGACCTCGGCAAAATCCGACGAAGCGGCAGGGATTAACAGGATGTAGGAGGCAAGCCACGGGAAGAACAAGCTGCCTGTGAGAGCAAGAGAACACCCGAGTTCCTGCACGAGAATCATTGGCATCGATTGCAACTTACCCTAAACCCTAAACCCCTAAACCCCAAACTCAAGATGTCTGCTCCGAGGGATATGCTGAGGCGCATTGGGGCCTCGTGCTCGAGACCTTAAAGGAGAAGCGGCGGCAAGGCGACGACGCAGATGCCGGGGAGCACATGGTGCTGTCAGTGCTGGGAGAAAAAGGCGGAAAAAAGAGAGGGAAGAGGGTTTAGGGTTTAGGGTCCCCAGGAGTGCGGAGTGAAGTTGGAGGGAAGAGAGGCTGAGGGATGCAACCCGTGGCTCGGCTCCAAAGAAGCCGACGCATGACGAGTAGCAAATGAAGAATGTGAGTACCAGCGGCAAGTTCGATGACATCACCTACTGACCCTCGAAGAGCTGACACCCCAGGACAATATCCGCGACTGTAGCCAAACAGCAATAAACAGTCATAGTGTCATAGACAGAATCAAGTGGTCCCATGCGGAACACCTCTGCAGCTGCCGGCAAACGAGGGATCGCGGCCGTTTTCTTGTGGCTGCGGCGGTCGCATCCTGAGCACTCTCCAGGTCTTGGGAACAGACACAAACCACAAAGTGCCACAAACAGACCAGGAATCAGACGTCAAAGCCCTGTGAGCTCCACGCTGTGCAGAGCATTGAGGTCAGATGCCTGTGATTCGCAGGAATGCGGGCTCTGTCGTGGCAAGATTTCAAGCAGCTCCTCGCCTGACATCGGAGCCTGGAGTGAGTTCGGTGCGTATCTGCTGCGCGATGTAGGGAAGGCGCAACTTTGACATCCTGAGGCGCGGAAGGAGGAAGCGCCAGATGATGAGGGCCCCCCAATGCCAGAAGTTGTGTGGACGTGGCATGAAGAGGATTTCCGAAGTCTGAACCGTGGCATATTGACATGATGCAGTAGTCACAACTGTCACATGAGAGCGACAGGAGTCTCGACCCGTGCTTCTACCGAACTCTCTGAAGAACCACTTTTCAGAGGGGGCGTACCTCGGCCAGGTTGAGAGAAAGATGATGAAAGATGTTAGCTGTGGCTGTTGGCGGTTCTGCACCGACTGAAGTTCGCAAGCGGAAATCTCATCGCTTATCATCACTAAGGCCAAGAATTCGCTGCGGCTGCAAGCACAACAAAAACAAACAAAGAGCAAACACGAACAACCGCGCTTACTAGGGGCATGCTATGCCGAATGCCAGGGGAATTCTTGTAGTTTGGCGCGGGAAGAAGTGCTAGTAGAGATAGGAGGTGGATGAGTGAGCTTGTGTATGAGTATGTATGTTTCCAATGTTGAAGAGAGCCTTCTCGAATGCGAAGACAGACATGGCACTCTGCTAAAGCGCATCTGCAATCATGCCGCGGCTTCCTACGTGCGCCACTCTGCGCTGCTTTGGATGTTGCACCGATCTTCACCATACTGAGTCAAGTTAGCTTTTCTTGCTCCAATATGGCAATGGTAGCCAACAACGATGATGAACCAGCAATTGCCTTCACAGTCGCGCAAACCCTCGCGGCAACAGTCTGTTGGCACAAGTTTCCGCCCACTTCCTTGTGGACTGAGTAACCCCAAGCGCCGTTGATGGTCTAAATACGAAAGCAAGCAGAGAAATTTATTTACACTTGTCTGCACGACTTTGTACAGGTCTTGCAAAGATGTAAGCACAAGTTATATCCCAGATTTCGAGATTTTGCAATCCCTGTCCTGTAACCGGCTCCAGCAGGCATCAGGAGCTTCGGGAAAGGCAAGCCCAACGCAACAAGTCCACTTCTTCGAAAATGGACCAGACACTCCCCAGATCTGAACTTTTGTGCATGCTGGAGCTCTTAATCAACCTCAAGTTTCGTTACAGCCCTGTCAACCGCGAGCCCCAAAATGACGTGATATCTCGTTTTCCGCAACTGCAACCATCGAGTGCAGCCTCCAAAACATGTGTTCTCAGCCCATACCCTTTTGGATGGGTTCACTCCTTCTTGGTTTACCCTACGCAAGCGTCGAGCTGATACGGGCCCTGAGCCCGAAGGCAGTGTCACCTTCGAGGGCCCCTAAACCCTGTATAAGGCTGTCTCGGAGTCTTCGATCTAACCTTACTCGCCTGTCGACCTGTCAACGTGGCCCGAGCATGGCGCAGAAGCTGTTCTGCAACTAGACATGATGCCACGCGAGGCTTGTTCGGGTCAAGTTCTCCGAAAAACCCGACTTTCCGCACCTTGGCCACTGGCAACCAGCCTTACCTGGGCGAGATCGGAGATGATCCCTTTGCAGCCCAGGTTTTTCGTCCGAGCGCACACAGAGTGCTTTTCGGACAAGCTGAAGACTGGGACAATTTCTATTTTGAAGTCCATTGCCAGTGCAGCCCCTTGACCTGTCAGCATGATGATGTCTACAATGGTAGCCTCATTTGCATGTCTCAGCTTCATCACTTCTATCTTTGCTGCGAAAGTGTATTAATCATTATGTGTCGTCTGCATCCGTGCGTGTGTGGCAGCGCCTCCCAAGCACTACACATGATGTCCAGTGTGAGCCTCTTGCCAGGCCAGTCTCATGGGAGGAGATCCCGAGAGAAAGGCGAAGTTGTGCCCGGCCCAAGAGAAGGACTCCACGGGTAGGATGGGGGCAAGCATGGATCGGCATGGTGACGGCGGAATTAGCAAGCCTGGTTGTGAGCCCCGTGTTCCACTCTGTTCCTGCGATGAGTCAAGAGCCGAGGAGGCTACTCTGAAGGAGATGGTCATGGTCATCGGTGACACCTTTGCATCAAAGCGCGACTTTGACTTTTTCAGCCAACAGCTGGAAACAAGCAACTCACTTCCACTCCTACTTGCACAGTCCGTTAGGTACATCGTTTTTCACCGAAGTTGAACCCTCGCCCCCTCGCCCTCTCCCCCCCCCCATAAAAAACAACAACAACAAAAATGAGAGACACAAAAAAAGAGAAAGGCCCCGCCCACCCTCGGGGGCGGAGCTGACTTTTCCTTCCGGACCTGCACGCCCGCAAGCCAGAGAGCCTCCCACAGAAAGAGAGCGGCACCTAAATCAAACAAGCACACGGAGTGTCGTAGCAGTCTTTCCCTAACAGGAAAGTAGGGAATGAAGGAATGAGGTACCCTGTATAATCCCTTAACGGGTATATGTAGGGGGATATAGGGTACCTCATTCTCTCATCCCTACTAACCAACAGTAAGTATATTGCCAAAGGTTCTGCAGGATGTTGCAGGTGATGCAGGCTACAGGTGATTGCTCATGCGACACCGGACTGAGGTGATTTGTGGCAGCTTCAGCTGGCGATGATGCAGCACAAAGGCCGTTTGATCTATCGCGGTTTTCGCCGGAACTTCTCTGAGCATGTTCCTTCCAGCAGCATTGAGCCCTGGCATCCTTCAACTTCTCCTACTTTTCTGAGCAGCGGTGCAAGATGTTGAGTTGGCGATCTGCGAGTAGGCGTGTGCAGGCGCCGGGAACTAAGGACAAGCTCGTTTCAGCGGACGGGAAACCTGCCGTGTGCGGCATGGTCGGAGTGAGGACAGATGTTGCGTTCAGGTCGTGGGCTCAGAGACACAGCCTGGATTCGGCTTTGGTGCACCCAAACCCTAGAAACCCACCCACAGCGGGGAAGGGGGGGAAACCCGCCACGGCCACTGCTGACTGTGGCAAGGTCTTCCAGCACGCATATGTTCTTGCTCATCGAAGTCAGTGCTGAGCTGCATCAGGGCTGCAGCTCGCGCTTGCTGATAGTGGCGGCTCTCGTAGCCCATTCCGGTTGCTTTGTAATACTGTATGTCTCGGCGGGAGCTGATCAAGAGCCCTGTGCACCCACATTGCTAGCCAAGCTTTGACGATGGAGAAGACACAGCTGTCATGTTTGCATCAGAAGCTGGGCAGCCGTTATCGAGGCATGCCATGTGGTAGGCACTGTTCCTCAGGTTTTCATTCGGCCTTTTCGGGAGATACTACTGGGAGGTGCTGCTCGAATGCTTCGGCCAAGCCCTCAGTTTCCCGCCATAGGCGTGCTCATCGCGTGCTAGCTGCTTAAATGTCTGTCAGCTATGTCAGCTAAAGCTATCAACGATTCATTACATGGTGGAAGCTCCCGAGGCCAGTGCTTAGACCGGGCTTGCGCCGTGCCATCCGGAAAGCGCAGTACCAGCCACTTCCTGCGGATCGTGCTCTTTGCGCGGGCCAAGGCCACGCCAGAACCAAGTCTAACAGGCACAGGGCCCAAGCAGCATAAGACCCCCTGCCTCTTAGTACGGAATGAGGGAACTAGGGCCCCATGCATTCCCTAGTAAAATCGCAACTCCCGGAGTCGAGACAGACAGCCCGTCAGGAGACCCGTGGCGAGCAGAGTCCTGAGGAAGATGCCGAGCCAACAGAGTTTTGGATTGCCATATTCAGGGGAAGAGTCAAGCCAATGACGTTTACAAGCTTAAGCCTCCATGGACTTGAGCATCGTGGCAGCATCGCGTCATTCCCTTTCTCTGATTGGCAAGAGCAGACAAGGAGCTGCCCCCAAGCACTTCACAGGGTTCTGGGTGGTCGGGAGGGAGGCCGGGGGCTCTCTGGAGTAAATGTGCAGTGTCCTGTGGGCTCTGATATTGCGCGTGTGGCGAACTCTCGTGACCGCTAGCACCCGGCAGCAAGAGCAGTGGCAATGTGCCATGACAGAGGGTGAAGCCCCGACAACGCTGGCCCCAGCAGGTCACCCAATCCAACGGTGTTCACCGCTGCGGGCCCAGCAGATGGCTTGAGGGACCGGAAATCTTTGGGGGAAAACTTAGGGACTTAGGGTTAGGATTTCGGGTGGTGATCAATATCCGCGCATGTCCCCTGGGCGTGGCTCCCGGCTGATTGGATAGAGCTCCGGGTTCAAAAAAAAGGGGTGTAAAGTTTAGAGTTTAAGGTTGTTGAGGAGGGCATGATTCCAAATTGTGCTCCTCCTTAGGGATTTATGGGGGCCTGATTCACAACCTCAGAACTCCGAACGAAATCCGTACAGCTGCGCGACCGCAGGACTTTTACGACGTAATCTTCGAGGGTTACGCTTCCACAATGCCGCCGGCGAAAGAGTTGAGGAGCAGAGCGCCATGGATGCAGAGTCCAGCGTCCTGTTGCACCGGTAACCTTTTGGGGCATGGCAGAGAGCAAAGAGAGTGAATGGTTGGGGGGGGGGATTTAGGTATCAGGTCTTGTCGCGGAGAGAGAGAGAGAGATGTCTTGTCGGGCTTACTCGTCTCGTGTGCAGCTCAAGTTGCAGCAGCACGTGCGTGCAGAACGAGGGCTCGATTTGATAGAGAGACAGTACTGAAAGAATCGAGGTTAAACAAGCTTTTGTTAACCAGCAGTGGCCTTGTAAGGTGGCACGTGTGTTCCTTACACTGATGGAGGAGGAGGACACAAGCCACTTGACACTTGGTTTTGTCAATGTCTTGAGAAAACTCTCCCTTTCCCATCCCCTCCACCACTCTCCTGCCTTTCCTCCCACATCTCTGGCTCAGCAAAGTGCAGGGTCGTGCCGTAGTACTGGCTTCGATCTGCCAGAAAGCAACATCACAGAGGCGCTTTCCTGCCAAGAGTTTATCAGAATTAGTTGCGGCTCCGACGCAGTTCCTTGGCAGTCCACAAAGCTCCCGCAGGACCGCTACAAGCGGGACCCTGAGTCCTGGTCCACAAACAGGCGTGGCTTGTCACGTGAGGACAACACAGCTGCGCGGCCGACAATCAAACTCTTCTTCGAGCCCAGTGGTACCCTTTTTCCTTTTTTGGAGTTCAAGGTTCCCTTATAAAGTAACCAACCCAAAACAGGGCGCCCTTATTATACTATGGTTACTGGGCGACTAAGATTCCTGAGTTTCAGTAGCCCTGTGCTGCCCTGTAAGTACCGTAAGTCCTGTGCGTGTCGTTGCAGCTGGGGCTCTGTAACGCGTCCGGCAGATGAGCAACACCCTGATCTAAGGCCTCGTGTTGGCAGGGAATCCGATGTGGCGAGCTTGTGGAGTCCCACCAAGGTTCCGGCCCTAACCCGCGAACTCGAATGACTCTCGTGGTGACCTGGGTGTGCTTAGCAGCCATGGCTTCCGCTCTCCAAGTCCTACAGCCCTCCTGTGAGGCAACACCCTGGAGTGCCTGAATCTTGCCCTGGACCACTTTGACCAGAACCACTTGGACAGACTGCTCAAAGTCAGCGGTCAGGCGCCAGGGGGCTTGAAGGCAAATGACTCCAGGGTTCTTGCGAGGCGCAACAAGGGTCATGAGGTCATGTCGTGACAGTTACACTTACGACAGCTCTTCAGTGACACGTTGAGAGGTGGTGATTATTCTTACCGCTGGAAGTGGGCTCATCAGAAGCCCCTCGCGCTCGCTCTACCTCGTCACGAACCGCCGCTGCCACTCAGCGCAGACTTGCATGAAGTCCGGCAGAGGCACGCTAGCTTAGAAGCAGCCTCTGCAAAACCCTTTCAGGAATTGAAGGAGCCCTGAGAGCCTAAAGTGCGTGCGGAGCTGAATTAACACCTGACAATCCAACTGAACCGCCTCTAGAAAAGCAAAGCTGCTCAAAGGTATCGCATCTGGTCACCACTCCTTCCAGATCGTGAGCGTGCGGGCCACTTGGCGAAAGCCACCTCCTCCAAGCCCGTCCCGGAACCGTGTGACACGCGCTGAACAGCATCGGTTTGTCATCAAGCTTTCGACGTAGAGAGTATCGCGTGGCTAAGGCAGTAGGCGGGTGGTGGAAGGTATGCTACTGGCCGAGAGTCTGAAAAGGGGTCTGTGCTGGAATTGTATGTCTCTGCCTTTTCAGACGCGGGCAGAGACCTGCGACGTGCCGTGATTTCTCAAAGCTCCAGAAACCAAGTAGTCCTACCCGAAACCCTAAACCTTAAACCCCAATTCTTGCGCAAGGATCCACCATTCCACCGGGTGCCCTGGATTGAGTGGCCACAGAGTCCCACAATCTCCGAGCTGTCGACGCCCGCGCGAATGCCGCGAGTCCCATTTGCTGTGTAGGCTTTAGTGCTTTGGTTTAGGGTTTCGGTTTAGGGGTTTGGAAATTGCGACTTGTAGGGTTCACTCCCTTTGGTGAGTTCTGAATTGCGGTCCCTTTTGGGGTCACCCAAAAAGGGACCATCATCTAGAGAACTGAAATTTTTAGTACAGGATGTTGTTTTGCAGTATTTTGGTGGCCTTAAGGAATTCGTGTGGGCCTTTTTTCTCGGATTTTCTCGGGCGTCATGGACCTACGGGGGTTTATGGTGCAAAGTGCATAAGACTCGGATCTCATCTGACTTGCCCTGCCTCGGATTCTGTCATGAGAGGTCCAAAGAAACCGCAGTGGACAACCTCACGCCGTTTCCGCGATGGCTGTCCTTCATCTGCTACCAGGAGGGTCTCTTCTGCCCGTGCGGGACAGAAGGTCAAGCGCCTCGGAACACCTTGATCCTTTAACCAGGTCATTCCCTCAATTGCTGAAGCTGTATATACACATTTTGCCTCTTCCGGGCTCCGAGTGTACAGCCCACGCGCCAACCGCTCAGGATTCGGTGAAGGCCTCGTTCCTGCCCTTCGTCGATCATGAGCAAAGCCACGGCCTGCAGTGGACCGTGCCACTCCTGCCCCTGCGGGACAGGAAGCCCCTGGTAGACCTGCAAGAGCCTTTGGCGCAGTTTAGGGGCTAGCTGAACAATGTGCCTGAACACCATCAGCCCTAAACCCGAAAACCCGAAAAAACCCGGGCTCGACCCGACGGCCGCAAAGAAGTCTGCATCCAAGGACGAGGTGGAGAACTTGTCTCCCAAGTCGATGCCCACGTTTCAGGAGGAGACGGTGCTGCGGGCTTCTAGGGCCTCCTCCAACCAGAAGACGTGGGATGAGATCAGGCCCCGGCCTTCAGTGAGCTTGATTCGACATGTGAGCGTTTCCGAAAGGAGGGGAAGCCTTTTTGGGGGTCCTTATTCTAAAGGGAATCCTATTCTATTTGGAGTGTTAATTCTAGGCCACTTGATTTTTCGTAGCCCCCCCCCCTTGTTTCGAAGTGGCCGCACCCACCAGGCTGCCACGACTCAGCTCGGCGATGACCGAGTCGACAAAGAATGTAATTGAGTATGCCCCCACGCAGTATGTGGTCAACCCGATACGTTTCGGACAGGAGGATGGCCTCTTGCCCCAAGAAGTATTGAGAGGAAACACAAAACATGTGAGTTTTTGGGTCGGATAAACTTACTTGCGTGCCTTGCGTGCGGTCACCCTCATCTCCTCGTCCCAGATGAGGTGCCCAGCTGAACCTGTTGCAAGACCTCGTGGGCTTGCGCTTGGCTGCCCTTGGTGGCACGCAGCTCATCAGAAATGTCAACTACAACGTTTACAACTTCTCGGTGCAGGCAGGTGCCAGAAACCCTGAAGCTCCCGTTGCAGGCAGTCCTGAATCTCCTACCCAGCATAGTCAAGATAGGAGCTTGAGAAACAGACTTGTGGAGCAGGCTGCAGTTGCTGTGGCAGACCGTGTGGAGGTTCAACAGCCTGTAAACAATCTTTAATTCGACATTCTCGAGGCGAGGGATGAAAAAAACAAATGCACACACACACACACTAACTACCGCGAATGGGGTTCGCGCGTCGAGTTGTGCTTTATATCGATCATAGTTTGGGGAGAGAGAAGTATTTAAACACTTTTACTTGAGTTTACGTTTTTCCTCGTCCCGCATGTGCGTTATTTCCCTCAATTTTTCAACCTTTGGACGGCCTGCTCTTCCCATGTGCATGACTACGATGCCTGATCCAGAGGTTCTCAGAGCAGAAGAGGGGAGAGCTGTGTGCAGGGCATGGGGGAGGACGACGAGGACAAGCTGAACCCATGGCAGGCGCATGAAGATGGACATTCAGCTGTGCTTTTAAAACCGTGTGCAATCATTGGCAACCCCTGCACCAGTGACTGCAACTTGACCGCCTTGTTCGCCAGCCATCGTCACCCATCATAAGTAGCGCGTGGTAATGCTCTGGGTATCAGAAAGCAAGTGAATGCGCGAATGAAAAAGGGGGTTTGCCATATTGGGGAGGGGGGGGGTACCTTTTGGGGTCCTTATCATAAGGAAATCCTACTATTTGGCAATATCGGGGGTCCCCTACTAGACCCTACATCACCTTGCAACTTGCAACCGTCGCCATCCCAGACCGGGAGGATCCAACAAGTGGAGCCCCCAAATGGTGCCCCATACTACTGCCACATACTACTATTGGGCTTTCAGGAACCCTTAAGGTGGATCCTCCCAGGGGTCTGGGATCCTGATGGAGAGGCACATGGCAGCCTCCTCCCAAAATCTCTGCATCAGCTGACGGTGCAAGCGTCTTGCGGATCAGAGTGGAGGCCTGGCATCGTAACTAGCAGCACTTATGCGCTTCGAGTGGGTTTCATATACTTCTTGCAGACAACAAGAAATAGCATTACGGTAAGAGAATCATAGAAGAACATGTCAATGGTGCTGCATATGAGATGTCGTTCGAGCCGTTTGCTGATCGGACTTTCATGCCAGCTGTCCACTGGATACTGCAAGGAGGCATAGGTCCCATTCTTCACGCGCCGTCTTGACATTCGCATGTGACGCGAGGTTCTGTCGCACACGAAGGGCTTTTCGAATGATACCATGAATCGTGGTAGCTCCCTGGTCATCGTGTGCAGGTTTGCGCCCAGTGAGACCAGTCTGACCATCTCCAAGAATGAGCACTGGAAGTATGACCGAGACTTGCCCGAGTGTGCGGTGAGTTCGTGCAGCTTCTGAAGATGCCCTTGCCACCCAATGTTTCCGAAACTAGGGGGTGCCCTTTTTGGGTGTCCATCTAAGGGGATTCGACTCTATTTGGGTGGTACCCCTAGTTTGGGAAGTGCACAAATCTTAAGATGCATTTTTTTCGAAGGATGGATGCGAACTCTGGGTCATGCCACCGAGTCTCAGTGCCAAGGAGACAAGGCCACGAGCTACCTCTACAAGCGCTTCTTTGTACATCTGACTTCGCGCTGGGGTCAGGGTGGAGACTTGCCATTGACCACTTGGATTGAATCTCGCACGGCCGCTTGGATCGAGGGATATGCCCCGATGGTTTAGGGTTTAGGGTTTAGGGCCCAAAAGGCCCTGAAGCCCGCTAGAAGGCTGTGTATAGGGTGGATGGCATCAGCGGCTTTCAGGCACCTGTTACAGTCTCGCCTACATTGCGCCGATTGGCATTGAAGTTGGGATGTTCCCCCTTATACTCACAGTCCTTAAAGCAGGGATCATCTGGTACCCCCCATTATAGTCCCCATTTATAAGGGGGAGCATCCCAACATCGAAGCTTCAAGGTCTTCCATCTCAATGAACGCCTCGACTGGAACTACTTAGACCAGGTCTTGGCAGGCGCAAGATCTCGAGCAGATGTCTGGTTTCAAGGATCCGGGCAGGAAATCGAGAAACGATGCTCGTGGTGGCATGTTGATGCCTGTGCCGTCCGGCAAGATGCAACACCTGGCTTCAGCAATGTCCAGTAACGATAAGGATCTACCTTCGAGCTTTGTCGAGCATTGCCCAAAGGCAGCCCAGAAATGCCCTGTGCAGGCGTTTACACTATCCCACCTGCGCTGCCATATCCAGTAGACCGTCGCAACCTCAACGACCCACTGATACGAAAAGCCGCTTGGCAAAGCTGCGTCATACTCTTCTGAAGTAAGCTTTGGGTGAAGGGACATATTTGCGGGACTTGCGCACGAACCCTTGAGCACTTATTCGGCATGATGCCAAACGGCATCGCCTCATTCTGCCAAGGACAGCTCGAGCTTGTCTTTGTCCGGAGATACGCGTGACGGATGGCAGCTCAGAGGACATTCCGCACCTGAAATACAAGCGCACCACCACCCCAACCAGGCAACCACAAAGCAATCATTCTCCGCAGGGTTTTATGCAGGACTACAGCTCCCGAAGCGCTTTCACCCCTGATTGGCGACGCGCCCCCGCCGGCCCCCGCATGCACCCTTGCAGCGCTGTGGCTCGAAGCTTGCAGCTTGCTCTTGGCCGGCGTGGTTTCGTGCTCGAAATCGTGTTCCTGCCTGCGATATTTGTGGATAGTGTGAGGTGGCTAGCGCGACACTCCAATGAGCGAAAATCCCGCGATGCGTTGCGTGTGCCAGGCCGCAAACCGCTAACCTCTCTTGTCGGAGCGGCCTTGGATGCGCAACAAACAGACTCGACAAAAGCCAAGTGTCTGCCTGATTCACGCAATGGCTTGGGCCCAGCTATTCCCTGAGTGCTCAGCTACCTACGAGGAGCCTTGAAGCAGCACATGCTCATCCTGATGCCAAAGTCCTTGTTGGCTTCGTCTCACGCCGAGATCTTCAGGCAAGGCCGCGAAGCACAAGCCAGAAGCACCCCATCAGATATTGTATGTGTCCCCTTATTGGGTTTAAGAAGATCATATTAAGGACCCTAAACCCTAAACCCTAAACCCTAAACCCTGGTATTGAAGTAAATGCCTGTCAGTCTGCCCGTGCCTTCTGGGCCGAATCTGTGACAGGTGTGTCTTGTCCCACCTGAAAGGCCAGATAGTTCTGGGCTCCTTGGCTATCTCGCTCTGAGGTGGCAGTTGGTAGACCAAAGGTTGTGAGCATGCTCGGAGTCTTAGAGAGATTGTCCCCAAAGCAGGCGAGGCTCGTTGCAATCTTGATCCCAGGCAAAGATCCTTTTGATGCTTTCGAGCAGAGCGGGAGCTTTGAGGAGAACAAGGACCAATGTGGCACAGGCTGCAGTTTCATGTTGATATGAAGTTAGTTGTCATGTGGTCGGCTCAAAACTATGGTGGTCCCTTATTCAGGCCCTGCTGGAATATACTGAGAAGGGGGTGGGGGGCTGGGGGCTGGGGGGCTGCGGGGTGGGGGGGCTGAAACTGGGCTGGGGGGCTGGGGCTCAGCCGTTTATCACCCGAGCCTTCCAGCCAGGAGCTCATCAAAGCTGCCCTGAAGAGAAGACAGGAGTATGTCAACGAAGTTCTGCTCAATCAGGCTCGATGTGCAGTGTCACGACCTAGGACACGCAATTGGGCACATGGCGTATCTTCAAGCAGGCCATCGCATAAGTACGAGTAGGTATGCTTTGGCCCCAATCTTTCGGGAGCGGGTCCGGCTGGGATTCGAGAACTGGGCACCAGAGAATGAGACATCGCAGATAGCGTCGTCAACTAATGCCCACTCTTACACAACTTTATGAGCACATCGTGCGCGTCCACATAAACCCTCCGCCGAACGTCTACAATGCGAATGTTGGTCAGATGTCCGAAAATTCCAAGCCCGAACTGGCTTTGAACCCCTGAACCCTACAATGGGGGTTTACGGGTTCACGATAAGAAGGGACCCCGTTGAAAATATACCCCCAAATAGTAGGATCCCCTCATAATTGGGACGCCAAAAAGGCACCCCTAATATCGTAAACCCCCAAACAGCAAACGCCCAACTGGAGCCCTCTACAGCCACCCCCCCGGCCAGGCTTCGGACGACGCGAGCCTACCGTCTCGCCAGACGTCGAGGCTTCTGCGGCGCCTTCAAGTTTACGGCTTAGGGTTTAGGGTCTAGGGTTTAGGGTTTAGGGTTTAGGGTTTAGGGATATATAGGATGAAGATTATGGGGCTGGGGATGGCTGGGGCTGATTGTCACGGCATGAAGCTTGCAAGATTGTCCGGGACCCGTATTCAAAAGGGCTGATTGTCGCTACTCGTCCTGTGCTCAACTTTGGACCCGAAAACCCCATCCCCCGCATCCCCCTAAACCACCCGAACAACTCCCTTAAACCCTCAACCCCTACATGAATCCCCTCAACCCCCTATGTAAACCCTCCTAAAGCCCCTACATATACCCCCTAAACCCCCCCTAACAACCCCCCTAACAACCCCCCTTACAGCCCCCCTAAACCCTCAACCCCTGGCGCCGTGAAAGGAGCGAAATTCCATATTCGGAGGGCCGACGGCACAGCGCAACAGGCTCAACTTCTCTGCAGGACCTCCGAATCAGGATTAGGGTTTAGGGTTTAGGGTTTAGGGTTTAGGGTTAGCAAGGAGTCCATTTGCAAAAAGGGTTCAGGGTCTCGAGTTGCTGTTACAGATCCTTCCGCCCTGGCCCTTTCCAGGACTGGGTCTTTGGCTTGGATGGCCTACCAGATTCTGCTCCGGAGGAGGGGGCGTTTACAGATTGCAGGGTTCAAGGGTCAGGTGCACACAGGTGTGGACCTGAACAAATCACAATCTTGCAGAGTCCGGTTGCCAACAAAAGGGTTTCACTTCTCCTTAACAGCTGCAGGAACAGCCGCCAGTCTCGCGCAATGAGACGCGCAACACGACCACGGGGCCACTCGACAGCGTCGCTGCCCGCCTCACAGAGGAGTCAGTCGGCTGCCAAAACACCGTGCTCCTTAGATCCTCAACCTGGCTCTCACCTCCTCTTACTTGTACCTCTTCTTACCATTTTTAATGAAGACCTAGTGACCTAGCGTTCTTTCTGGCTTCTGGACACGGATGCCCAGCTGCTTCTCCCCAAAGAATGGAAGCTCTTAGAGCCTTACAACGCCCATCGTCCATGCAGAGTAGTTCGAGGATATCTCCATGCACGCACATTGTGACATGCGAACTCTTGACGCTTTCTGGGGACGTGTCCTAGCCTTGCAAACTTGCCACGGTGCGCATGGGAGGACGTGGATCCCAATGCGGACCCCGAAAAGTTGCTGGAGGACCTGGAGACTCGGAGCAAGTCTCTTATCAGTCTGCCAACAGTCCAACACGATGTTTCATGTTTCATGCTCTGTGAAGTTGGAGTGGATATGGAGACTGTTGGCTACTAACGCTGGTCGTCCACAGCCCTGAAAGAGTCGGGCGTTCATGGCTGGACGGTCCGGCAAACTCTCAAGGCAGCTTTCCTTTTTCTCGTAGGTGCTGTTCAGTTTTGGCGGCTGCGTGCTGTTTTCAGTAAGGCAGAGATTCGGTCGAAGACAGTTCAAGAGTGGCTCGGATGAGTGTAGGCATCTGTTCTACTTGATGCACACATGGTGAGCAGAGAGCTTCCGACCGTCCACAAAGATTGCTATGCCTGTCGTTGTTGGAGCTCTGTTTGGCAACCAGCTCTCCTCCCGACATCTGTTGCATCTGGTGAGAGTGGGCCAGCAGCAAAGTATCGTAGCCAAGCCACAGCTGCTGTTTGCAAACCGCCCTCAGGCAAAACCATAAACATCTTCAGTGGAATGCCTTCATATTTCCCCTGTATCTGAAGGAGCTCTTTTTGCTACAAACCCAAAAGGGACCTAGGGCAAGAGCTTGAAACGAGGCCAGTCCTCCCCAGCATGCAAACACGAAAGGCCTGAGCCCCGACGCACTTGAACCCCTGCGCAACCTAACATATCGCCTGTAGAGTATAGAACATCCATATATACATATATATATATATACAATAAATGATTATCGAATATAGTTTAATAATTAGAAAAGTATTATAGAGAGACAACATCATATGCAATATGTTTTATAACTTAATGTACTATGTACTACAATATATATATATATATATGCTACCCCCGGCCCCGCCCCCCCCCCCCCCCCCTCATGGATCCATGGTTTTGTGGCCCTTCTAGCCTCAGGATGTACATACCACACTGAATGCCGGGAAACCTTCCGCATATCCTACAGAGGAGAGCCCCTAGGAGAGCCCCTGAAAATCTAAAAGGAAAACTCGCCCTATTCCTTCATCTTGCTGCAAAATCCTAAAGAACGGGATCCCTAAATCTTGTCCCCTTATTCAAATCCTAAAAAAGCTAACCCTATTCCCTAATTACTTTTCGCTACATCCTAAAGAGCGGGATCCCTAAATCTTGTTCCTAGAATTTTGTTCCCAAAACTTATTCCCCAAACCCTAAAGAGAGGGTCCCTGAACCCAAAGTCCTTTTCATTTCAAGTCCTAAACAGAGCGTAGATCTTTTCCTTAAATCGTATCGCCGTACTCTCATTCCCCAATATTTTGTAAACCATGAGGTGGGTGGCTCTCACCCCTCACTATATTCCATAATCAAGTTGGACAGGCCCTAAAGCGGGAGGATCCCAAATCTTAGCCCCTAAATCTCGAAATCTGAAAGCGGAGCGTATCAGTGCACCCCCACGGGGCGTAGACCTTGTTATTCGTCAAATCCTAAACTAATAGGTGATCCCGCTCTTTAGAATGTAGCGACATCTATTTAAGGAACGGAATTTTCCCTAAAGCCTAAAGGCTAGTCAAGGCCTAACTACATGCCTAAGCCTTAAACCCTTAAGGTTTAAACTCTATGGCCTCAGGTTTACATGCTTAAATCTGAAACCCTGAACCTTTAAACCTTAACCCCCTGAACCCTAGGGCTTTAAGGTTAGCGTGTAGGTCTATTTGCTGGTTATGTTTAAATGCCTAGACATTAAACCCTAAACCTTTAAACCTTCACCATAGGGCTTAAAAGGTTAAGGATTTAAGTGTAATTGCTTAACCTTGAAACCCTATGCATGAGGTTTAAAGGTTTAGGGTTCAAGGGTTAAGCCTAAACCCTACAGGCTCCAAGGCTTGGGGATTAACGCCGTACGCCCTCTCGAGTTTCGGGCCTTCTCTTTCAAACCCTACTCCCTTAACCGATAAGGTTGTAAGGACAAGCCTTGAGCAAGCCCTTAACAAACAGCCAGAGAGCGCAGCGTAGCGGAGCGGAGAGCAGGGGGAGGGAGGGGGAGGGAGAGGGAGGGGGAGGGAGGGGGAGGGGGGGAGGGAGGGAGGGAGGGGGAGGGAGGGAGGGGGGGGGCGTTCAAACTTTTTCGCGCGGGTGTTATTTCACAAGACGCTCATTCCAGGATTATTTTTCTTGATATTGTTAGTTCAGGATTAATTCTTTAGAATTCTTAAGAATTCTGAATAAGACTTCTAGAAAATACTGAAGATTGAAGATTTCTGGGAGACTCTTGTGGAAACCCTTTCAAATTTGAAATTTTCGGGTCCTAAAACCGAAGATTGAAGCATTGAAGATCCCTAGGAAAAGTTTTCCTAGAATCTTCAGTTTAAGGATGGGGAAATTTCCAACTTGAATTTTGTTTGAAATATTGAAATTTTTCGGGTCCCCAAATCGAAGATCCTGGGAAAACTTTTCTCCTAGGGACCTTCAATTCTTCAATCTTCGATTTTGGGGCCCAGAGAATTTCAAATTTGAAAGTTTTTTGAATTTTTGAAATTTGTATATCATGGGAGGACAAACATTGAGACCTCACGAGAAGCCCTACACCCTGCGGCCCTGACGAAATGGTCTTTCTGAGCTCGATACCTGACAGAAAAAGGAAAAAAGAAGGAAAAGGTATGGATCCATGGGGGGGGGCACCATATATAAATATAAACAAAAAACACGAAGAAAAATAAATAAATAAACAAATTTATAAATAAATAAATAAATAAATATATATATATAGATAAACCTGTAACAACTGACCTGTGCACATGTGCAAGTCCAGGGCTTGGCCTAAGGTTCGAGCGCTTCAAGGAGGCGCTCCAGAAGCTGCTCTTTGGCCGAATGTCCAAGGAGGACTTCGGGAAAGAAGCGCTGGTGCCTTGGCAAAGTTGCGGGGGCCCCCTGAGCTCGGAACTTTGAGGATTTGGGGACTTTAGAGTTCGAGTTTTAGGTTTGGGGTTTAGGGTTTAGGGCCTTTTTGGGCCTTAGGGCCTTAAGGCCCTGAGTGGGCAGGATTGCCTTGAAGCCCTCACTGACTCAATGACTTCAGGACATCGACACCAACTCGGTGCACTTCACCGTGGGGAGAGGAGAGAAGCAGGTGAATGTTCGCACGGCCGAGCTGGAGTGTCTTGGTTTAGGGTTTAGGGTTTAGGGTTTGGGGTTTAGGGTTTAGGGTTTAGGGTTTAGGGTTTAGGGAATCTGAAAGCTTCTCAGCACTCTTCCTCTTTCTAAGCTTCGTACAAACGCAGGACAAACGCGGGGCCCAGAGGGATACGAAGGCCGGCTTATGTAGTGCAATCGTACGGGGCGCGTTAGTCTGCTTATACAAGGTCTTCCGCTGGTACGGAGTAAATGGAGAGCTTTCTAAACGGAGTACAGGCTGGATGAAAAACGAAAGGAAAGCAAGCATATGTTTTTTTTTTTGTCTCGTTGCTCTGGTTGCATTGTTCGATGCTCTGTGCAAAGTAATGTTTGTTTACCTTGCTATACAACTTATACAACATATGAAAAGAAACGTGTGAACAAACCCACGCCACAACAACCTCTACTGTAGTGGTTTCAGGGCGGACATTTCCAAATGACCGGAACAGACGAGAGACAAGACAGACTTTCTGAATCCTTTCAGACATGCCTGTGTGATGGAGCAGGAAGACTTTACCTCCTGGCCTTTGGCCTGGGCCCAATTACACCTCAAGCCCCGAGATACCTAGAAGTTCCGAGGACGTCCTTCAAGCAGAGCCGCGATTGGTTTGGGTTCTTCTACGACGATGTTTTCTGCCCTCCGAAGTTCTATCACTTAGTGGTCGAGTGGAGCCTGGGCCGGCCTGGGCTATGATTTCATGGTCTGTGAAATTACATGATTGGGGGTTTGGGATGTTCCCCCTTATACTAGCAGTCCTTAATAGGGAGTATAGTTGGGGGGTACATGGACTGATATTTAGGACTGATAGGGTCAGGGGGAGCATCCCAAATTGTGTGACATGAAATCAGGTACATGTATATGTCATGGTAGCCCAGTAGCCAACCCCCCAAAAAAGGGTACTCTGATTATGATATGGCTGATATGGTTACTGGGCTACCCAGAGGCCCTAAACCCTAAACCCGAAGAGGAAGCTGGCAGCCTTTGGCGACCTCAGGATCGCATGCTCATCCATCCACATCACGTCCTTCTTCGCCAAGCTGGACACTTGCCGTGCTGGAAACAACGATATTGTTCTCTGCTAGATTAGGCTGTTATGTCATATTGCAGTACGATGAAACTAGAAAACTACTAAACCAATCCTTCTGGCCCTCTAATTAGATGACCCTTAGCGCATTTAACTATGTAGTCTGTTCAGTTCGGCGCTTATTTTGGCTCACTGCAGTTGAATGGTTGGACATATTTTGTGTGGAAGAGTTTGGAGGGGGTTAGGCGAACACTACTATTTGAGAGGAAAACTGTAATCCTAGGTATCTACCAAGTAAGGAGGCCACAGTAGAATTCGTTCAATAAGGTTACTGCTTGAATGTTTTGCCTTGCCCCACAAACTTGGAGCACTTTATTACGTGAGCCCCTTGAGTCAGAGTTGAAAAACACGAATTGTTGACTCAAATCTTTGGGGGAAAGCACTGTGCTACATGCTTTATGTGCGCACGTTTGAATATGTATTCAAGTTTGTATGCAGGAGCCTTGCGTTGACTTTCCATACGAAGGTAATTTGCGCATGTAGCTATCTAGATGTAGCTGGGCAAACATTGTAGTATGTATTGATATGTTTACTTGTTCATTTGTTTCTTTAATTCTTTGTTTACAAGTGTATTCGGGTGTTTTGTCATGCATGGTTTTCGAGTTCCCCCATTGTGTTCATGCAGTTTAGTACTGGCTCAGGCGCCATGTTGAGCCAACACTTCTGCAGCTACCCGGAGACTCCAAAACCCCTTAAATAAGGAATATCAATATTGAATCATAGTAGGAGCCCTAACAGGACTTAAGGTCCAGAACCCCTTAGTTAAGGAATCTCCCTTTAATCATAGTAGCCCGAATATGATTCAAGGTACATTCCTTAGTTAAGGTTTTTTTTTGGAGCCTCTGGGTAGTCTGAGGAGAAGCTTGCGGCTGAGCACAACTTCCGGCTTCTGCGGCTGCCGATCAGTGTGCTGTTCCCTCAGCCAGCGCCGGCGTGGATCTGGAGTGAGGATCAGGAGCCCGGAGGTTCTCCCATGAACTTCCTTCACTTTTAGGGTTTAGAGTTTAGGGTTTTGGGTTTAGGGTTTAGGGTTTTGGGGTTTTGGGTTTAGGGTTTAGAGGGTTTAGAGGGTTTAGGGTTTAGGGTTTGGCGAAGATGCGTGACAGCAGCTTTGCGAGAAGTTTCCTCAATGGTCCTCCTGGCTGGCTTTCAAATTTGAGTGATGTGACGCCCCAGTAATTACTCCAGGAAACCAACTTTGACCGGCTGCCCTTCTACCCACGGCCGAAGATAAGTGCCGTAGCAGCAAAGTCAGGCGACGAACGGCCGTTCTCCTGGTTCAATGTTCAATGCAGTTAACAACAGCACAAGTCGGGATGTTCCCCCTTATACTAGCAAAGCCAAGGCTTTCCCAAGGATCAGGACACCTCGAAGGCCAAGCAACTCTACGCGAAGCTTCTTGAGGCACAGCGCAGTGTACTAAGGGCATGATGCATCTTTTGGGATGCTCCCCCTTGTGCTGACAGTCCTTCATCGGGATTCTCATGGGGGAAGGATAATCCCTGTTCAGGACTGCTAGTATAAGGGGGACACATCCCAATGCATTTTGGTATACGCTTTATCACCCCACTTAGAGGCGACGTTTTCCCTCCCGAATCCAACTCAGGCATGGGTGCAGCCGCCCCTGAGCTTGCATTTCATCTTCTCGTGCCCAATCCAGGATTTCAAGGCACGCCGGCTGGAGCTGTTCTGCCTGACTGCGCCCGTTCCTGTCCTTGCACGGCTGGGTACTATAATGTCCGTATGCTCTTGCGATCTCTTGCGTGCTATTCCCAAGGGATCTCGATTGAGAGTGGGAGGCCTATCCCATCGTGGCCGAGGAGGATCCAGAACGCACAGCGGCGAATAGAGAGGCCTGCACCCACTGGGCCAACCTGCTTCAAACAATAGCCTCGGTCACAGGAGTTCGTCTTTGTCTCTTGTCGGGTACCGATACAAACTGTGATGTTCAGTTTGTCAGGTGTACCAGCGTCTCAAAGGATGGGTGCTTTGTGATTCCGATTGCCTTGCCCTCGTGACGCTACGGGAGGAGGGCATCTTGGTAGCAACAGTCGTTTGTAGCACACAGCGCCAGCCAGTTGAGCAGATGCGAAAAGCCCGACCCCTGCCTTTGGAGGTATCATGTTCTTCGAGAACCACGTACAGGTGTTCGAAGCTCGCACAGAAGAACGGGTCCAGTCCAACCTGAAGAAGGCAAACCAGCTGCGAAGCAAGTTCTTTGAAATCACCAAGGTGCCGTGGCTGCAAGGGTCCGGGGAGAAGTTTCGAGCGCCACAACAAGGGGTTGCATGTGTCCAGTGTTCTCATGTCCACAAGCCCACGAGGCCGGGTTCCGAGCTGTTAGCTCTCCAACTCAGGAGGTCTTGAAGATATTGGAGCAGCCAACCTGATCTTCAACATCATCTTCTCGCGTCGGAGCTGTGCCGGGCTTCCGAAAGTCGTCTTGAAGTTCTAAGCGCACCAATACACCGCAGACTCCAAGGACAGTAGGTTAGGCCAAGGTTGGGGCCAACAAGGAGCTAGATCCTGTTGGCCCTCCGCCCTGAGCACTTCGGCTTGTTTCAGAGACGCGGAAAAGACGGCCTTCTGATAGCTTTGGCTTTTTCAGTGCAGACGCATTGTTGCTGTGTCACGCAGAGCCAGCCTTGTCGCGGCGCTCTCTCACACACACATGCCTTCGCGTGGGCAGCTTGACAACGCTTTTGCAGCTGTGTTGCTCCGAGAGGAGAAATGAGGTAAATCGATTGACAGTTCGAGGTTTCCGAGCTCCTTGCGAGTGAAGGTTCTACGAAGCATTCTAGACAGTGTGACAGCCCCCCCCCCCCCCCCTTCTTACGCCATGTCGGAGGCTTCCCCGAGTCCCGATGCGTTTGAAGGCATCCAGCTCGTTATCTTTGACCAGTACAAGACTTTAACCGAAGGCAACTCCGACCCAGAGCGCGAGATCATCAGAGAGTTCAAGCTTGAGCAAGAATACAGTCAAGTCGAGGCGGTTGTCTGTGGCACGAAGTGGGATGAAGACACCACCTGAGTTGTTTGCACAGCGCTGTGCAGTCTGTTTCGACACTCAATGGGGGCAAGTCGTGGTTCAGCTTGAAGGAACCGCTCGTCTTGTCTTGTCTTGTCCCCGACTTAGCCCTGGTCATCTTAGCACACCCTAATGTCAAGGTTGGTGGTGAGGCGTCCTACCTGGACGCTCTGGTAGCTGGTTTGGGGCTGCTCGGTCTGCACCGTCCATGGCGCTGCAAGGGGTCAGGTCCGCACTGTGCTGCCATGAAGAGCGTCCTCCGTGCCGCAGCCTCCCAACAAGCATGGATGACGGAAGCCACCTCTGCTAATGCTAGCACCCTGTAATACCCTGAGATTACTTGCAAGCTGTATTTCAAAGTTTCCTAAGCTGTCCCTGAACCCTGAAGCCATGGCTGTCGAGCTGCTACGCGTGCGGCACACAAGCAGCTTCCTGGTCTGCGCCGCTGCGGCCAAGCTGGTCCACCCGGCCAAGAAGAGGGCAGGAGACTTGCTGGCCCTGGTGGCATTCCAGGAGGTACCTTGGTCAAGGATGGTGGTTTTGTGTGTGACACGTAGCTCTGGGAACGTTCTCAACCGGAAAGCGTCTTCCGCAAAGGAGGAGGATGCGAGCCCTGGGCAGCCCGGGCATGTCACGCGCACGGGGGTTCTTGTCCACGGGTGCCACCTCAGCGCCGATGGTTGGGAGCACATCGTGTGGGGCCGGCCACCACACGAACTTGGTCGGCTCCCTCATGCCGTTCTCCTGGCTTGGGAGGAGGGGTGTTGCATTTGGGGATCATAGCCATCTTGGGAAGGAGCTTGCCAAGGCTTCCCGAAGCTTCAGATCTTGTTGGCTGAGTGTATACACTTGGGTGAGAGACCGACAGAGCCCAGGAGCAGGCCTCGGTGGTGGTGCTGGGAACCGGGGCCTCCGAGAAGGATGGTTTGAAGGAGAGTGAGCCGCTTTCATGTTAATGGTGCACGGTTGCAATGATGCTCCGGTAGACACGGCAAAACAAAAGGCAACAAAGGTAGACCAGATGCTTACTCAGAATAAGGTACACCTTGCGCTACCTTTGGCAGCACTGGGCGGAGCTGGCGGATTTCGAGCCACTCCAGCAGGTCCCTCTCCCGGAAGCGCGGGCTCTCTTAGAAGCCACGCTGGTCCTCGACGCGGCCACACAAAACACAGACCAGGAGGTGCGAGAAGGTTTGCGACGCATGGTGTTGGTTACGCAAAGATTTGCGAATGCTGCCGACAGCGCGTGAGGGCATGCCCTTGCTCATGTATTGCAATACATTCGGACTCCGCACGTCGTTGCATGCACGTCATGCCTCAACCGAGGAGTCATGTCAGAGAAGAACTGCCACCATGCAGTCCTGGTTTCTTCTCCGACCCACTTACCCAGATGCCTGGCCTGTGCCTGCAAGGTCGTCGAGGGCGAGCCAGACTCAAGAAAGCATTTTGGGACCCCAAGCCCTAAGCCCTAAGCCCTAAACCGCACCCGCGGATGGCAACAAAAACCTTCGGCAGGTGGCCAAACAAAGCGCCCAAAGCCGCACACACCCTTAGCTGACGTCAGTTCTAGGTAGCGGGTGGCAAAGAAAGCTAACTAGCGTCGGACCGCAAGGACCTATTCCACGGCCCAATCTACGCCAGCCCATCCGACACCTGCTACGAGGGCGCCCAGGCCAGTGATGTGGTAGTGGTGGAGCCGCCGCACCGGGGGGACCGTGACAAGTCCCTGGACACCGGGCTCGGTTTAGAATTGAGGTTTCAGGAAGTCGAAGTTGAAAGTTCTTGCTGCACAGTACTTGCAGACGTGGTTTCGGGACTATTGCAAGACAAAGGACCCTCTGAAGTTCCACGACCTCGTGCGAAGGAGCTACAGAGTACCCAAGGACAAGAAAGCAGACTTCCTGACACGTTTGGGCAGTCTCTTGGAAGAGTTCGGAGTGTAGATGAACTTAACTCATCTACATCCCAGAAAGATGGTGATGGCAATCGAGATTGATTCAACGTACAAGCATGCCGATAGTCCTGGCCAGTAGCAATTGCTGAGACAGCGGTTGACTGGCGATGCTTGCTAGTCCTAGCTCTCTCCGTCGGCAGAAAAAAAGTCGCGCGCTCGTTGTCGTGGACGTCGAGCAGTAGTGGAGAGGATTTGCCCACTGGATTCTATCTGTTCCAATACATGCACCGAAGCCGAAGTCCTTTTGAAACAGGCTTCCAGATTCCATGGAGACGCGGGACACGCTGAAATCCATCCTGCAGCGAGATCAGGCCCAAGAGTGCCCTTGCCAGAACTCGGACTAGCATTACTAGCACTTGAGATACGAGTGTTTGCGTTGCTTGCATTCGGAAAGAGCGATTGTGACGAGACATCTTGATCACACATGTTGGGTTTTGGTGTGCAAAAAAAAGCCAGAGCTGCCACAAATACCAGAGTTTTATGCTTGTTCGCAGTCTCATCGTTCAACACCCGAAGCCCTTGCCTTCACGGTCGTGGTGCAGAACGGCGGGCACTATAAGATGCAAGTAGCTCCCTATGACGACCATCATCACTGCCACCAGGCTTTTAACGCCATAAAGATGCATGTTTAGAGGGCCCCCAAACCTACTCCCGTCTAGTGGGGGGGGGGGGGGGGGGGTGGGCAGAGTATTTGGGAAGGCGACAAAACTTGACTTGGAAAGTTTTGGGGTTAAGACGGGGTCAACATGACGGCTGCCAGTCCCTGAGCAGACAAACTCTAGCCAAACCAACGTGGCAGATTTCCCTGTAGCCTTTCAAGACATTCTCGGCCCAGTCAGGTCGGTGGTGCCAGAAGCAGCAGGGGTTCTGCAAGAACTTAAGGGACGCGGCTACCAGCTGGCTATCCTCTCAAATGCTGCAACGCCACAATACACGCAGCTGGAGCAAGCATCAGAAGATTGAGCCGTAGGTCATGGTGTGACCACGTGGGTCGAGAAGCGGACTGAGCCTGCAAAGGCATGTGCTGCAGCATGAGAGCTTACGAGAGATTCTGGACCCCGCGCTGTGCTGCTTGCTTGCAGATACGATGTCTCAAGGCTTGAAGCTGCCCCTTCAAATACAGTATCTGCACCACAGGCGACCGCTTGCTCAGGCTTCTTTTCGTTTCAGCTGGGACTTGTGAAGCCAGATCCGCGGGTCTTTGACCGAATTTGCGAAGCGGCGCGCGTTCCCAAATCTGCCTCCCTGATGGTCGGCGACAGTGTCAGGACAGCTTTACAGACCAGTGAGCGGGGGGGGGGGGGCGAATCAACTTCACAAAGATAAGCCTTCGCCTCTGGCATGAAAGATGGAGGAGCGACTTCAATGGCTCGCAAGCAGCTGGCGTGGCAAAGCAAGTGCTGCTGGACCCCAGAGGTCAGCGGTCAGTTTTTGAAGTGTCAATGAGTGTTCTTCGGCTAGGCTCTCAGCTTAACAGAACGGAACGCATCGGGAAGCTTCATTGGCCTGCCCAGATCCTTACTGTTGATCTTTACCAGGTGAGCACGCCGACGTTCACCCAAGAATCGTCGGGCTGTCAAAGTTGCTCGACTTGCTGCCTCCCATGCAAAAGACAGAAAGGAACTCGACATTTCGCTTATGACATGTGCTCCACTTCGCGCGATGACCTAACGTCACACACATCGCGGGCTTGCATCGAAGGATTCCCACTGGTTTTTGCTTGACATGTCCACTTTTTGCCTCGTTATGCTGGCAGAGCCTCAGAGGACCCTCGATCATGTCTCTTGGCTTGTGTGCACTTAGTACTAATAATGCCCGCGTGTGCTCTTCAAGAAACTCTCGGGCCCACCAGGACCCGCCATTCATGCTTGACATCAGGGTTCTGAATAAAGGTCACACGCAGCCTCGAGGGATGCAATCAACAGCTTACACGCACTGGCAGAATGACTTCCATGTGAGTAGTGCGACGTGGAGGTAGTCCTTACAGGCTGCGTTCCCTAATGTGGAAGAGCAGAGCCCTGGTGGCTTCCCTCGCCCTCGGGCTGGCATCTGCAGGGGGTCTCCCGGATGGCCCCATCATAGCAGCATGGCAGGACTGGTCAGCCTGCAACGAGACGCAGACACTTCGCGCAGTGCAGGAGGGTGTCAACGTGATATTTTGGTTTGCGATCAACCTGGTCAAGGACACGAAGACGCAGCAGCCGAAGATCACGGGCGGTCCAGACATGGGGTGTGTGGCCAAGGTTCGGGCTGCCATTGAGAGGCTGAGGCTTCCGACCGCGCACCTCATCACCGTGGGTGGCTGGGACAGCCCCCACCCGGACACATCTTTCTCTGGTAGCTATATATCCCCCTTGGGAATTATTTTCTGTTTTTGTTTATAGAAAACCCAAGAGGATATTTAAAAGTATTGTTTTTTTTGATTAAGGTTCTAAGGGGAGTATAGGTAGTCAGTGGTTCGATGTGTGGAATGAGTGGAACAAGCGGCTACCGGTACCTTTCGATGGCTTCGACTGGGACTTGGAAGGTAACGACCAGCTGTCCTCGCCCAACAACGAGTTTACTCCAAGATGCCTGCAGCTTGTGCTTGACATGTCCATCGCCGCCAAGAGGGCCGGCTTGCTTGCAACGCTTGCCCCACCACAGTCCTATTTTGACGTAACCACACAGCAGTTCAATCGATTTCTGAACAACACCGACCCCGACTTTCATCCGGAGTTCCACTACATGGGCAGGAACAGCTATGCTTACCTCTTGGCTGCCGCCCCGCCGGGGACTTTCGACCTTGTGGAGGTGCAGCTCTACGAGACTTTCGCACCTGCCCTCCGAAGCTTAGACACAGGTATGCCAGGCGCAGATTACTTACGCGCCTGGGCAGCCCAGCTCCTAGCCGGCTGGATGATCAACGTCACCGACCCACAGCTTCCCTTGAAGGGGCTTTTGCCGGTCCACCTGGAGCCCAGCCGCTTTATCGCGGCTTTGAGCTTTGCCCCAGGAAGCTCAGCCGGGAGGTCTGCATTCTTCTGGCCTGACCAGGTGCAGGAGGCGTACCAAGCCGCCGACCCTTCAAGGCGGCCTCGTGGGTACGCGTTCTGGAATATAGGGATGGAGGGTAGCAAGGTCAACAACACCAACAGCACGGTGGCGTTTGCAAGTAGTTTGAACTCATTCCTGCATGTGCGGGACACTGCGGTGCCAGAAGCCACAGATGAGCTGGTAGTCTGAGCTCAACACGAGTTGGATGAAGCCGCAACCCCGGCCAGCGGGAACCTGTCGCCCTTCCCCTAAGTCGAGTAACAGTAGGCAGCATACGCCCAAAGATGAGCCTTTCGTTCCCAACGCCTAGGAGTCTGGACAGATAGGTCCATGTTTCTGTTGAACCTCGTTGCAAGAGCTGCAAAAGAGTGACTATTTGCACCTCCTGTCATGTCTCACTGTCGCTACAGTGCCCTTGCAGAGACTGCCTATGCATGCGAAGTAGAGAAATACAGCAACCACGGGCAGCAAGACTCGTCGCAAAACGTTGCGCAGCCAATGTGGCTTGCTTCAGGTCTCCACAAGTTAACTTAGCAGGCCCATACCCCTTAGGGGTGTGGCGAGCCATGAAGCAACTCTTCATATTTGCGCTGGGTTTGGCCTCTCCCTTGCACGTGGCTGCCGATCCTGCGAGCTACGACGCTCAAATCATTCGATCTTTGCCCCATGAGGGCGCCCCCTTCACACAAGGGCTAGAGCTAGTGGACCACAGCAGGCTGATTGAAACCAGCGGCGCCTACCCAGAAGGAACAGAATCCTTTATCCGCATGATCGACTTAAAGGATGGGTCGGTGTTACAGACGACGAAATCTGGATTAGCAGGCCGATTTGCGGAAGACGTCGCCCCTACGGCCACCGGGTGGTTGGTTGCCACTTACCATGACGGCAAAGCTGTGCGCTTCAACGCAGATCTCTCCGTGGAGAGTGAGGTGGACTATCCTATAGAAGAGGGCTGGGGGCTCTGCCGCGATAGCCAGGAAGATAGATACTTTGCAACGAATGGCACAGAGTTCTTAATGGAGTTGGACTCGGAGACCCTTGCGCTGAAACGCGTGGCGCCAGTGACTTGCATGGGCTACAAGGTCCCCGGCTTGAATGAGCTGGAGTTTGTGGCAGATTTCAATGGAAAGGGTCCAACTGTCTTTGGAAACCTCTACAAGACCCGCTTTGTCCTCGGCATTGACCCCTCGACTTTCGAGTGCACCTCCGTTTTCGATCTGGAAGGCTTTGGCGAGCAAGATCCCCAGGAGGAGTATGGCTTCCATGTGGCGAACGGCATTGCCTATCTGCCAGGTTCGAAGACCTTTCTGGTCACTGGTAAGAATTGGCAAAACATGTTTGAGATCTCCCTCGAGGCAGCCGGGAATACGCACAGAGAGAAGCTTCGAAAGAAGTTGCGGCACTTTGCCTCGCAGACCGCCTCATTCTTGGCCACTGGTATGCGTTCGCAGATTCCAGCCCTGCCATCAACTGATGTTCGTGGCAAACTTCGAGTCACGCGACGAGAGCCAGAACGCGCCATCGCACCTGATGAAAGTCACAGCCCTGAAGCGTAATGTAACCGTATTGCAAACCGCAATGTAATGTTCGCGGACGAACGCTGCGCCGGGATTCCGTGCTTCGAAAAACATGCGGACGGAGTCCGCGTTCGTGTGCACGTGCTGATCTGCTGAATGCTTGTAGCAGCAGCAAGACTTGCTTTGCATGTGCTTGCCTTCCACAATCCAAGCAGCTCGATGCCGCTGCAGTTGAACGCCTGGTGCTGCTGGAAACGTCCGCAGTGCTGCTCAAGTTGCACGCGGTAGCGTAGCCAGGATCGGAACTTACTGTCCTGCCCAAGACCATCGCAGAAGCCATGGCGCCCACTCAGAGCGTAGAGGCACTTGGTTCTGATCCCAGATGTCATGCAAGTCCGTTTCCAGCAGCGAGTAGAAGAGTCGCACGTGGCTTTGCTTCGTCCTGGCCAAGCCTCCCCCCCCCCCCCGCACGAACTACCAGTAAACCTTATTCTCTGCAGCGGCACACTGGCTCGGGCTATGCTTAGCAAATAGGATCTTGATTCTTTGGGTCGAGGAGTTGACCGAAGACTACGGCAAGCAACTGGCAGCCATGCGACAGACCTTTGCTTCGGGTCGATCCAGGCATGGAATGGCTATTCCTGCACAGAGAAGACATTGTGTGTAAAGGGTTCATGGTTTCGGGTTTAGGGTTTAGGTTTTTCGGGCTCTTATGTCGACTCCGCTGAATGGGGCTGGGCGGGTGGCTAACATGTGTAACTGACAACTGACGCAATGCTGTCAAGGCCAGAGGTGGTTTGTTGACCGCCAGGAGTGTGGAATGGCGCAAGCAGCAGCTGTCTCAGCTGCTTGGCAGCCCGTTCAGGACTTGCCCCTTTCAAACGACCAAATGCACATCATGGCTCAACAGCTGGAGGTTGTTCTAATCTTACTATTGTTCCAGGGCCCGTATGGACAACACAAGAATGAGGCTGTTGAAGATGTATGAGGAGAATCACGACGCTTGGCTTGAGTGAACCATTCGCGTCCGATCCGCAAGCGTGCCAGCCGCCAGTCTATGCAAACAAAGACGAGCGCGCTGCCCAGCGCTTTTGAAGTTAGCCTGCGGGTTTGTGATCTCGCAACCAAGCCGGTGCAAGGAGCTGATTTCCAATACCATTGCTGCTGATATGGGTGGTACCAAGATGCGTGGGATGCCCGAGATCGCGGCAGCTCAAGGCTCTGCAAAAAACTCAGGGATGTGAATTTCCTCAAGACTTTAGGGCCATCCCAGACCAATCGCAGCCTACACGCGACAGCACACCAGTCACACGTTGTAAACAACGATGGTCCGCGGCATGCAAAGATGTGTTTGCCGTCAGAGGTCAATCCTCGAAATCATGGTTCCCTGTTGCCGTCCCGTTTTGGGTCCAGGTTATACATGGAGGCACCATAATGTCCTTCTGGGAAACAGGTGTGGATGAAGCATTGGCGAACATCGACTGCTGGACCCGAGTCCCGGCAGAGAACAGCCACACCTGCGTCGAGCATCAACTCAGAGTCACCACCTTTCTAAGCTGCGGCTAGGGTTTAGGGTTTAAGGTTTAGGGTTTAGGGTTTAGGGGTTAGGGGTGGTTAGGGGTTAGGGGTTTAGAGTTACGGGTTTCGGGTTCAGGGTTCAGGATTTCGTGTTTAAGGTTCAGGGTTTATAATAGGGTTTATAGGGTTTAGGGTCTCTGAGCTCGTGCCCAAAGGTGAGCGCTGGGTGGAAGGCTGGATCCACAGGCCTACGGTGTCCAGCTAACCCCAGAAGCTCCCATCATGCCCACTAGTGTTTGCAGAGGGTGTCGCTTTAGTGGCAGCTGCCATGCAAAGCTGCCATGCTGCGCTGCACGTGCGTAGCGGTCTTGAGCCGGTGCAAGAGCAGGGCATCTCGTTGACTGGTCACAGCAGCGCGCTACCGACAAAGCGCTGCACTTGATTCATGCAGCCAGCCGCACACAACAAGTTTGGACTGTCCGGAGGCTGTGTGTCCGCCCAGAGCCGAAGGGAGTCGTCCTGATCATTGCTCCCTGGACCGCCACCTAAACTCTAGCACCTTATGGTTTAGGGTTTAGGGTTTAGGGCTAGATGCTCAGATTCTCAGACTATGCTCAACCTATTCTGCACTCGGGCTTTGATATCGTGGTGGATGGAACCTTTCGTCGCGGTAGCGATCCGCAAGAGGTGCTTCAGCATCTGAGTGGGAGGGAGCTCCAAATCATACTATCGACGCAAAATCCTGGACCCTGGAGTGCACATTCCCATAGCCCCTTAACCCTGGCTCTGAGGTGAACACGTGTGCCCGAATTGTCTTAGCTAGAGATCCAGCGTTCTCTGTGGCTTCTCCATGGTAGCTGGGGTATTTGGGTAGATGTGGTCGGTGAATACTTTTGGATCATCCTGCTTAGGTTGGTGGACTTGTCCCGGGGTCAAACACTTACGGGCCAATGTGTCCTTTCGGAGGGGAACCTACCGGAGCCTCGCCTGCTTCTTCTATCGTGAGAGTCGAAACCTGCATAAGCCCTAGGCCCCTAAACCCTAAACCCTAAACCCTCTAAACTGATAGCTTCGCAAGCTTCTCTTTCACCGTCCTGTGCTTTTCACCCGCAGGAATGTGCCCTGGCAGCTGCTCGTGCGCCCCCTGGCTTCCGCCATCGCTGCCGGAAATCTGGCTGTGCCGTCAAAGCAACCATTTAAGTTGGGGTTTTCGAAATTGAGGGTACCTCCTTGGGTTGCTGCAAGGGTATCCTACTATTGGGGTCTATATTGGGGCTCCCTTACTTTCGTAAACCTCTTGTAGTCCTGTAGGGATTTCTGGGGTGGGGTTGCGTCAGCCAAATTTCAGGTGCTGAAGCCAAGCGAGCTCAACCCACAAAGCTCGCCACTGATAGCGAAGCTGATCCCGCAGTACTTGGACCCAGATTGCTTCAGGCAGGTGACCGGATCGCACATGTTGCTCTCTGAGCGCCTCTTGCCACTGTCCTGTTGCAGGGTGATTGAGGGTGCTGTGCCAGAGACTACCGCGCTTCTCAACAACCGCTGGGACCACATTTTCTACACAGGCCTGATAACCTGCAGACTTGTTCCCAATCGCCGTATGCGGCTGTGTGCCGCTAGAAAAAGGCCCCATGGTGGACCCCGATAATGAAGGCTTCTAAGACTCCTGCAGGGAATGCTGCCGTTGGACGCGTTGTCATGGCCGCAGCAGCCAAGCATCTGACACCAGCAACTGGGCTAAAAGGACAAGGAACAAGATCCAGTCAAAATACAAGCGGTTCGCAATTGCAAGCGAGCGCCCTTAGAATCTTCACAGCAGAATTTTAAAGACACCACCACAGCCAGCTCTGCAGAACTTGAGCATCGCCACCTGGATTGTCTCCTGCATGCCTAGGTGACCATGGAGCTGGGCGGCAAGTCCCCTGCAGCTTCGCCTGGCGATATTCTTTTGGATTTCTTGGCTTTTTTGAGTGTGTGGAACTTGTCGGTGTGCCAGCATAGAGTGCAAGCTTTTTTCGGGTCAACGAACTTCGTTTCACAACAAGGTACTTGTGGACGAAACAGCCAAGGCCAGTGCTCAAGTTATCGTGCTCAGAGGGGTATTGTGACGCTGCTTTCGTAACAAGCTGTCATAGTTAGCAGAGGCTCATCATGTATTTGACTGATCCCAGATGGATGTGACCTGCCGCCGCATTGCCTTCGCCAAGTGGATGCTGTGTGGCCAAATTTGCGTAGCCCCGGAGCCTCGACTGCAGCATCTGGGAAGGGAACTTAAGGGAATTTGGCCGGCACACCTGTGGACTTAAACCCTAAACCCTAAACCCACTGTTTCGATGCGGGGTTCCTGGGTTAAGTACTCCAGCGACACGCTGAGCTCTGGAACCTGTTTTAAGAATTGCGTCGAACGTGGTGTGGGACCCATGGATGTTAGAGGCGTTTCCAAGTTCTGCCAAACTATTTCCAGCAGTGGCCTCCTTCACAGGGCCCTCGACCGTGCAGAAGAAGAAGAACAACAAGAAGAAGCACAAAGAAAGAAACACAGACCAAGAACTCGGGCGCACATTGCAGGCCGGGAGGGGGGGGGGGGGGGGGGGGCAGTCGGAGCCCACGCCCCGCAGAAGAAAGAAATACAGAGAGCTCACAGAGAGAAAGGAAGAATGCTAGATTCTAGCAGCTAGAAAATGGAGAACGAAGTGCAGAGGACAGGAACAACTAAGGAAGCTCACCGAAAGTAACCACAGCCTATCAAACACGGGGAGCGGGGGGGGAGGGGGGCGGGGACGGTGCTGGGGTCCCACGAAGTAGTCCCACATCTGCTTTGGAGATTCTGGGACGGAGCAAAGCATTCCCATCAGGCGCACATGGCTATGGCCATATCAAGGAGCTTATTTTCTGGTTTCACAAGGAAATGTGCAATATGGTGCTGTTGTTTCCTTTGTATAGGAAGCTTCAAGATTTTTTCGCAGTGGCTCAGGGAGAGAATCGGAGAGAATGTTGACAGGACATGGCTAGATGGCACCTGATGGAATGTGAAGCGGTTGCCGTTGCCCTTTTGAATGGCCTTTCGCGGTGTTTTTTTCGGAGCAAGGACTACGTGCTCGTCCACAGGAGTAAGGAGGCCGAGTTCATTGAGCGAATGGTCAAGCTTGCCAAGGACAAGTTGCACCAGATAATACTAATAATAATCATCGTCATCATCATAATATTAATAATAATAGTAATAAGCATAATCCTAATAACAATGAAAATAATACTGTAATATCTTGCCGGGGTGATGCCAGCTCAGCGGTTTCCCGAGGATGGCTACGGCGAAGATGGCACGCAGCAAGGTCGGCACAAGCAACTTCTTGTGAGAATGAGCATACAGTACTTGATGAAGAGCCCGTAGTGAGATAAAGCATATGCACTCTAACCTCGTCCGTCTTCACTCCTTGATCATCACACCTACACTCCATCCCTAATTCGCGCAGCTGACTTCGGGCGCATCGTCAATGAGCGACATGCCGAGCGACTGGAGAAGCTGATCAAAACTTGCGGTGGAGAAGTAGTCCATGGTGGCTTTGAGGCCGGAAAAATTCGTCGCTTTGCACTTGCAAAAAGTCCCAGATGCATCTTCCAGTCTGGCAGGGAATCCAGAAGAGCGAGGGCTTCGTACCTCCGACCATCATCAAGCAGCCTAGCATGGATGCACCGATCATGTTTCTGGGCACGAGTTTGACCGGCAAGAGCACGAACGCTCATTAAGATTAAAACCTTCCCTGGACCCTAAATCCAACAAAGCCCCAAGCATAGACCCTAAACCCTAGACCCTATACCCTCTTGACCCTCCATACCCCCTAAAGATGAAAAAAAAAAAAAAAAAAAACAACCTAAGAGAGCCGCCAGGAAGGAGGAGATCTTCGGGCCTGTCCTGCCTGTCATCCCTTACGACAACCTCGAGATCCTTTGTCCAAGTTGGCCCCCTTTTTTCAAGGGATCAAGACTCGTAAGCCTGGGATGTTCACCCTTATGCTATCAGTCCTTAAATTCTGGTGCCCCCAGTATAATCCCCATTAAGGATTGCTAGTGTAAGGGGGGAAATCCCGACTTGTACCCCTAAGGCTGTAATTGCCCCTAAAGGTTGTGCCCCTGAATATACTCCGAATGTGGCCCTTATATTCCCTTTGGGGATCTTGAACAAGGGCCCCACACCCTTGCTGCATGATAAAAAAGTGTTTTTTGTGTCGCGATATATAGAACAGAAAGCACTCATGATTGCACATCTTTTCTGGAGTCTCTCGTAGCTGTGCCCCCTCTCACAGGCTTACTTTTCTGGCTCCTTGCCTGGAATTCCCATCTTCTTAGGGATGCTCTGGAGATCATCAAGAAGCAGGAGATTCCCTTGGCCTTCTATGTGTTCTCCGAGAGCTCTCGCCGCCCGGCGGTACACGGTCCCTTTTTTGAGTACCCTACATATAAAGGGCCGCCTTATAATCGTAACCCCACAGAAAGTCGTGGTTTGTCCCAAAACCCAAAACCCAAAACCCAAAACCCTAAACCCAAAACCCTAAATCCTAAACCCTAAACCCTAAACCCCCAAACCCTAAACCCCAAACCCCAAACCCCAAACCCCAAACCCTAACCCTAAACCCTAAACCTCCCAGGTAACGTGGAGAAAGCCCTGACTGCCATCCAGAGTGGGGGCGCTGGAGTCAACACCGTGTTTGAGCAGGTTGTGCCAGAGTCGATTCCATTCGGACTCTTGGCAACATCATTCTTGGCAACATCCTCCCAGTAGGGTTTAGGGTTAGGGTTTAGGGTTTTGGGTTTTGGGTTTGGGGTTTGGGGTTTTGGAGTTTTGGGGTTTTGGGGTTTTGGGGTTTTGGGGTTTTGGGGTTTTGGGGTTTTGGGGTTTTGGGGTTTTGGGGTTTTGGGGTTTTGGGGTTTTTTTTGGGGTGGGGGGGGGGGGGGGGACAGCCGGCCCGAGGAGCCTTAAAGGACTTTTGCTGACAGTGCGAGTCTGTGAGGTGGCCTGGGGGAGTCTGGCTTTGGCATGTATCATGGCAAGTATGGCTTCGACGAGTTCAGCCACCAGCGTGCGATCGTGCGGAAGTCTGCCCCTTACCCATGCTTTCCCCTTGCCTCTAGTGCCGCGCTCGGTCGGTGATGTGCTGTGACCTACGCATTTCGAATGGAATGCAGCCGCGTGCCTGTGGATGTGTGTGTGTGTGTGTGTGTGTGTGTGTGTGTGTGGGTGTGTGGGTGTGCGTGCGCGCGCTTAGTTGCAGTTTGAACTTGTGCAAAGCATTTTCGGCTGCTTCCTGTTACCACTCGTGTCTCCAGCGGGCATGCTTGAGAGGCGTTGCTCAGGCCCACCGTATCAAGCAATGTCTCTGCACGCGTGTCGCAACTTCCCGCTCTGTGTAATTAGCGCGTGCTGAGGCTTCCATTGTTCTGTGTAGCGCAGAGTGCAGCGCGGCTCGTTTCATGCTGAGGTCCACTCTTCCGGGCTTCCAGGGCACGCTGTTCCCATTGCCAAAGGCGGGGTGGGGGGGGGGGAGGGGGAGTGGTGAAGCTCAACATGAATGTACATTCGCCATGTGCTTGTTGTGAAACAATGGAATGCTTGGAGGCCGGGGAGGCGCTCCCCGAGTTTGTTTACCCACTTGTTGTGCGGATCTCGGCTTTGGTGTGTCAGACTGCGTCGTGCCTGTTCGTGGGGCTGCAATGCGGCCTGAAAGCTGCCAGGTCAGGTTGCAATTGGGCATATTTCCTCAGAGCATGAAGTCGTGTTGGCGTGGCCTCTTCCACATGTTGATGTCGCCGCTGCTTGGCACAGCTTCCATTGTTAAGCGAGCTGCTTCCTCTCCACCTGCAACGTAGTCCGCTCTCTAGCCGAGTCAAAGCCGGGTCGCTATTGTCAAGCGGCCCGTTCTACGTCAGGTACCACTACAAAATCCAAGCAAGGTACCAGCTGGCAACATGTTGAGCTGCAACGCCGCGAGTTGCTTGAAACTGCCACAAGGTTTCGGACGCTGGCGGGCCGATGAGGCCATTAATTGACACAGGCAACGGGTAGTTAGGAGCGAACAATTTTCACAATTTTCGACGCGGTTTGGTTGTGCAATTTTGCACACGTAGCCGAACCTGCTGTTCAACACCCGTTTAAGCGAGGACGCCTCAAAGTCACAGCGCTCAAAAGAGCTTGTTGCTGGCAAGGGCGTGATATGTGTTCGCAGCGATCAAAAAAATTAGCAGAGCAGCGCGCCACTACCTGCAGAATGCCTCAATGTCATCTGCAGAAGAGAAATCGCAGGGATGGGAGCTCAGTGTGCAGCAGGATGCAATAATGGAGACTGTGGGTGACGCAGGGTGCCGTTTCAGATATCAGGCATTGCAGACAATAGACGGCAGCATAGATGGACAATGTATGCCAGTCAGGTCGAAGACATCCTGTCGAATGATGGAGCAGGAGAGATGTACATACAATAAAAACAAGTCAAAGATTTTTCCTCAGTCTGCGCAATGCTGCCTTCTCATAATATTGTGTTAGGCTGATGAAACAGTATGTTCATGCAGCTCTCTTCGGATGCCAAGCGTGCCGAACTATGCCCAACGTGCGCATCTCAAGCTCTGCAAGTGTGGAGCAGAGTTGTACATAGTTGAAGCTCAATTCCCAGACTCGCTCCGGTCACGCTGCCACTCCGTGCATGGACACCAAATGCCATAGCAGATGTCGCATTCCATCCCTCTAGCTATGCCTCTAGCTATGGTGCTTCGCGATACCATGTCAATTTCTTTGTTTATCGCCACCCGCGCCACCCGCGCTGCGCATTGTCAGCATTGCACCATGGCTGGGTTTGGGAGAGCATTGGTGGAGGCTGCTTGCGTGTGCAAAGTGGTCGTGGCGAAAGTGGTCGCCACAACTTGCATCTGTAGCACGTTATCATGATCCGGCTCCCACTTGAAAAGCCTGAATTACGTGCGCGCAGGTCATCAGCGAAGACGCGCTGGTTCGAATTTGCTGCTTTCTTCCTGCGCGGCCATTGCTGGAGAGCCGCATTCGCCGTTTCGCCGTGCATGTCCTCTGCTTTGGCAGCTTCTGTTGCTTTTAGTGGGGAATTGCATGCAATCAGGACATGGGTGCGACCTGTGTCGAGCTACACCAGCGCGTGGAGCATTCGGTTGACTTATGGAAGGCATGGCTGGTGCTGTCGTGCAGCATACCCTAAAAGCCTGCTTTGCGAGCTGCCTCTAGACTCTAGCTCAGCCTCCCGTAGCAAAGGCACTTTGTCAGTTCCTGCTGGGGGAGACGTCCTTACTCCTTCACGAGGGCAGCTGGGCGTCGTCCGCGCAGTTGACCTCAATAGGCCGGGCCTTATACATGCCTTATGTACCCAATGTTGATCCATTGCTGGAATATGATTAACGGGGGGTATGGGAGGTTCATTAGAAGGAGTGGATTGTTTGGGCCTGCCCATTCTTTCTGGAAGGTGACAAGGCTCGCTTCTATCAGCGTCTTTTCCGAGCTGCCTGGAGATGCGAGGAGCTCGTAACTGCAGCATGGAACTTGCCACCCCGATGAGGGGCTGGCTCCCCTAAACGCAGACTCCTTTGCGGGAGCTGTCCCAGCCCATACGGTCACATTTCCGTGTGGCAAGAGCACATGCCAGGACTTCTGCTACGACCACACGCTTCGTCGAAGCTTCCTGCGCTCCCTCTCCGAGCCCGACGCGGCCCCCACCACAGAAGCCAAGGACCGACTTTTTTTTTGCACGAGCCATCCGAGAGACACAAGAATCAGCACCAAAGAAGGCACCAACAGGGCTCTGCATCTATTGCGCGTGCTGTGCACCGACTGGCCGTGTCTGCTGAATCTTGCAGATGCTGCTGAGGAGACGGTTCAGCGTGTGACCAGCATGGTTTTTGCGACCCGAAGCTGGCAGGACTTACTTGGCCTGTCCGGGCACACCTCCGAAACATTGGGGCCGCTGGTGATCCAGAATCTTCGTCATGATGAGAGGTGTCCAATATCTCTAAACGAGAGGACCAGGAATGGGAAGTCTGAGCCTCAGGCCGGACATGTTGGAACGCAACAAGAAGCCAAGGATTGGTGGCATGAAAAACATGGTCGCCGCGGACGAGCTCATCAACGTCACTGTCCTCAATGTTCGGACGAACACCATCAGCCGTCCCAGCCTGAAGGAGGACGAAAGACGAAGTCGTTCCCTTCGTGCAGCCTTTGTGTGCGGAACGTGTCCGCTCGTGTGGAGGACTCCTTGAAACCACTCCAGCGCATGCGACACGCCACCTGTGTGGTCAAGCCCAAGCACTTGCCCGCATCGGTTGCTTGGCAAGGAAAGCCTAGCTAAACAACCTGACAGGCTCCAATCCCAGCAGCCTAGTCATACATCGCGCTTGTGCTGAAGGCCTTCGCGAGCGCCGTCCTGGTCTTAGGCGGGCATGATGCGAACACCAGAACTGCAAGGCTGGGCATCGGAAGGGGGGGTGGAGGGGGTTGGGGGAGGTGGGTGACCTGTTTTCAGCAGGAATTCGCCTACGTAAAGCCCCCTCTCCTGGCCCCTATAGCTCTTCCTTCCCGGAGGCTCGGGAGGCCGCGCCCAGCTCTGCAAAGACTTGTCTTCCTCCAGGTAACGGAGGAAGAGGGCGCCTCGTCAGCAGAAGGTTGTACAGGGGGCTTGTGCGGGATTTAAAGGGCCTGTGGGCCTTTGAGGTGTAATAAGGGCTTCTTGGTTCCTGGGCTGGATGGGAGAGGCAGGGCCCCGCCCCTCTGCGCAGACTCGAGGAACGCAAATTCGCTGGTGCGAGATGCAAGCCTTCGGGACGATCCCCGAGTACATGTACAACTTGACCTGCGCTTCCTTCTGTGGAGGGCAGAAGGTCGGTTTCAACAGCTACACATAGGATGCTTCTTTCCAGCGGCGGTTGTGGCGTTTGCCGGCCAGGTTGTGGTATTTGGAGGCGACGTTCCCACATCGGATGACGAATACGAACGGATCCAAGATAGGACCTGCTGCAACTTCGTGCGCCTCTGCTAGAATCTGGAAGCCAGTGCTTGCAATAAGGGCAGGCAGCACATGTCTGTAGCTTTCTCCGCCTCTGACTCAAGACATAAGGTGCTTCAGTTGTTTGGACCCCCATGGGCCGAGGTACGTTTTAGATCTCAGGAGTTGCACCTGGGAGGCCAGCTTGTATGTGGGCATGCAGAACTATGACAGTCACTGCTGCCCATGGGGCTAGTATCGTATCCGGAGAGAGTCAGACCGAATCATTCGAGAAAAAACCAAAAAAAAAGCCGTGGCTGCTTCCGAGTCCCTGCCAAGTGTAATCATGCCTCTACGAACGGAGCGCAAACCCCTGGGCTCAAGGTCCGCAAGTCTCTCCCAATGCCCTTTAGGCGACCAGAACCCGGGGACCGGCGCCAGACTGGCGCTCCTTCCACGCTTCCGTTTGCCACACCTCGCGGCTGGGGCGCTTGACGTGGGTTTAGGGCTTTCAGGGCTTTAGAACTTGGGGGTTTTTTCGGGTTGAGGGCCAAAGGGTCGAGTCACTGATGCTTTCTGGAGGGTTTAGTCCCGGTGCGTTTTTGGAGCTGTTTTCAGGACACGGGACTTGGGTAGGAAAATTGGCTACTGACCGTTTTGAGGTTCTGCATGGAGAGTCGCAAGCCGAGGCTGCTGGATGGGAAAGACTACCTGGTGACCTTTGGGGGCACAAACGAACACTGTGAGCCACTGTCAGGCAAAACGTGTCTCCGCGAATGGGCAGAGAAATGGCTCAGAATTGACATTGAATGCTCTTGAGAAACCTATTCCGTATGTCAGGAGGTAATCTGGCAGACATGCGCGGCTACCAGCTGGACCTGACAACCTTCCAGTGGCTTGCTTGCATTTAAGGAGGATCCCTAAACACTTCAAACCTCCAAAATACCGTGGATCAGAACGATGTGGGACAAGCACACCGAGACCCATGTCCTCTGATTTAAGAATCTCGACCAGAGCGTAGAATTGCCTGGATGGAAGTTTTCTTAAATTGAGAATGCTTGATTAAAAACAAGAAGATTGGTAAGACTGAATAATGAGCACACGAAATTAGTAATTGCATAAGATGCAATACTGTAGCGATATGAGAAAGCAGTTGAATTAAAACCATGGCATGCCCCTATACTAGCTCCATGCAATAAGGTGGCGCGAGGGTCCCAGCAGCCATTTGCCTGCTCCGCGGCTTCGCTTCGGCGTGGCGCGTTGGGGCCGACACCTGGTCATCCATGGAGGACATGGAGGTTTTTCGGAGTTAGGGGAACGAGGGTCCCCTTGATTAGATGTGTTAATTAGATCATCTTCAATAGGCAAAGAATATCAAAGAATTCTTACTCACCGAGCCCCTCGTAGGGAAGACTCCGCAAAGCGGGGTCTTGGTTGTGTTCGGGGACTCCATGCTTGCTGCTTGCCTGCCAGGACATGGTAGTGTGCTGAGCCGAAAGGGCTACGTGGCGCGCCTGAACCTCCACACCTTGGAATGGGACGAGATGAACTTCTCCAACCAGCCACCTGAGCTGCCGCACTCTGCCTTCGAAACTGGATCTCCACAGGCCACCGGAAGTTGTGCACACAAGTAGCTATACGGTTTAGGGTTGAGGGTTGAGGGGTTTAGTAGCTATATTGCGTCCTGGTGTGCGGCCAGGCTGGCATTGTCGTGGGAGGGGCCCAGCAGACGCCCCGTGGCCCACGGATACTGCAACGCCTCGTGGTGTTCCGCTTGCGCGATGTCGAGATCCCGGACGACGGGCAGCTCGCAGATGGGGCTCAGCCATCGGCTGACGAAGGTAGTTCTGCGGCCAGCATTGCGAACATGTGTGAGCCCATGTGAGCCCCGGTGAATGAGCCAAGCTGACAAAAGGGGCTCACCATGGGTCTTCAGATACAGACCACGCGGCGTTTTTTTGGGAAAATCTTCGACAGCTCAGGTGATGAAGGCGAGGGGTTTCAGGTCCAGGTGCACTTGCGCAACTCCGAGGGCAGCCACCGTGTGGTGTCAATGCCAGCTGCGCTTCTGCACATGCTTCAACGCTCCCTGGCAGGATATGCGCGTTGCGAGAATAACATGTCTTACCCGTCCATGGATTTAGTAGGGCATGTCATGTTCAGCTGGTGGCTCTGAAGCCCCAAGCCGAACGGAATGCCTGACATGTGTCTCCTAGAGACAACGCAGTCGGCAGCGGCCTCGCTCGAATCGTTTCCAAGCAAGCACAAGTGGCCTCAGGCGAGTCCGGAACAGCCGAAGGTTTGGTCCGCTTGCTCCAGGCGGTGTTCGAAGAGCGTTTGGAGGAGAATGCCCCATTTAGGTCGATGGGGTTTGTTCGTGTGGCAGTTCCCTCCGTGTGCAAAGCAAGATGCTGCCTCAGGACGCACTCGTGGCACTAAGCAGTCTGTTTCGCATGTGACAGCTCGTATTGAATCACTGGAGAATAAACCAAAGTTCAAGCATCGAGCTCCTGAGTCTTCTTCCTCTTTGTGTTTTTCCAGATCATATGCGTTCCCTGTGCTCGCAAAGCTGCTCATAACTATCACTAGCAGACTCTGGTTTTGTGGCTTCAAGCCTTTGTGGCTTTCGCTGCTGGTGCTGAGAGTGGTGCTCCCAGGACCATCACAGATCCATCCGAGAAGTTGAAGCACAAAATGAAGATCAAGGTGAACCGCAAGACGCCGCTCAATACCCAGATTGAGCAGTGTTGAGCGCGACGGCACCAGAAGCACAAGGGATGTGATCGTGACCCCGCCGCATCCCGCCGCTATGTCAGCGAGATCACGAAAAGAAAGCATCGCAGCTGAGTGCCCTCAGCTTGAAGTGCTGTTCTGCACCACAATGCTCTATGTATTGCAAGCTCACAAGGACTTAGAGAAATGGTCTTTAGCCTTGCCTGAAATATCTCGTGTACTTGCTGGTCTTTAGAAGTAGGAATGCAAGGAAGGAAGGGCGGCTGCCGACCGAGTGAGGGTGTCCAAATAGATGCTAACAGACAAGTGCTACTTTTCATGAATGAGTTTGCGCAAGAAGGTCCTGCTTAGACATGTTTCCCGTGATGGCTCGGCTCGACTGCATCAAGGTGGAGACGCCGCAACAATTTCGACATGTATGGGAAGCCACTATACCTTCATGTCTCATGCCGTAAGAACAGAGGCACTTCAAGAAGCAGACCAAACCAGGTAACCATAAAAAAAACCCTACACAAGCTAGCAGCATCCCATCAGCACGGCCGCGGGGCGCGCCATGGTCAAGCTTCAGCTGGTGGGGACAGTCATTGCGACACCGCGGGCTCCTTTCTTAGATTCTTAGTTGATCCCGCCCGAAATCTAGAGCACTGTCTAGCACTTCCATAACCGTGAGCTTAGAGTGTTAGAGTGCACGCATGTGCACGCCCAGCTCGCGCTTGTGGTTGTTTTTGCGCAACTTTCATATGAGCACAGATGAGGCACATGGGGGAGACTTGCCAAAGACCCTGGCGCCGCATCCATTTCACATCGACCACAGTATACTCCATGACCAAAAGAATTCCGAGCACCATCTCTACGAGTTGGACCCGACCGAGAATCTGGAGAGGACAGGACGTGGAAAAGGCACTGCGGTGACGGCCCAGCTACACTCCGAAACGCCCCTCTTAGGAGCGCTAACATAGGGTTTAGGGTTTAGGGTTTAGCGTTTAGGGTTTAGGGTTTAACCCTTTGCATGCTTGAGAAGGATGTTCGAGGGTGTCGAGGACACGGCGGTCCATGCCTTCTGCCGAAGACACAGCTTGCAGGCAATGGGGGTCACGTCGCGTATATTCACGCCTTCCATGGTCTTCCCTGTCTTTGATGTTTCGGGGAGGGGCTCATGATTGTGGTTGCACAATCAGCTGTGATCCTGAGACATAGACTGCCACCGAAGAAAGACCACAAGGGCTTTGCTCCTTGTTACTTCAGAGATGCCCGTTTGGAGTCTTAACCACAGGCTTGTACCGGTGCCTTGTGGTGTCCTCATCGCGTCGGTGCAAGCAGTGCAAGCAAGCAGTGCAAGCAAGCAGTGCAAACAAGCAGTGCAAGCTGCTGCTTGTCGCTTGCGAAGATGAAGTCGCAGGACGCCAGAAACGAAGATTGGGAACACCGTGCATTGTTGAGAGATGTGATGTGAGAGCGCACAGTTTTTGAAACGCCCTGCGGGTTTCACACACAGGATTCTCATGTAACTACCAGGAGCATCTGGCAACGAAGCGCAAGCCCCTCCTAGCTCCGAACGCGCAGTCGTTTGCTTTCTTGTACAGCACTGCACATGGCGTCAGTTTGCTTGCCACTAGCTTGCTGCGCACGTGACTTTCTCAATGCATGGCTTACCTTCGGACCTTAGACCTTAAGTGGCTGCAAGCAACCACATGCAACCATATTCGCATCGCGGAAATTCGTGGTAGTGTTGTCATCAGATGTTGGCCGAACAGTCTCCAGCGAACGCCGTGCATCTTGCGGTCCAACTCCACATTGCGCCAAAACAATCGGTCAAGGAAGAAGCGGCAAGATGCAGTCTTCCGTAGCCATCGGCGTTTTCAGACAACCAGCAACTCATCCGGAGTTGAAGCTCGGAGCACTGAGTAGACCTCAATGTCGTTCGGGCATCGGCTGGCTACCTTGGACAGTGCTCGGACAGGACGAACGCAACGTCGGCGCTCGGTACCATCCCATGATGGTACAACGCAGGTATTCGCGCCTGTTCGGATCGCAGAGTCCCAGCGAAGTCCCGTAGTTAGGTTTGTTGAAAAATTGAAGCATTCAACTGCAAAAGCGCAACTTCTCTCAAGAGGTTGCAGGCAAGGATGTTGCACAGCCATGCTTTGCGAAGTCGGTTCAAGATGCCTTGCACCCCCAATGGCTTCAGCCTAGCCTCCGAGGTGGATCTAGTCAGGTGCAATAGTCTCTCCAAACTCAGTCTCATCACACAAGGATCATCTGAAGCAAAAATAGAGCTGCCTTGTACAGGCCACGCATCTTCCGGCTCACGGACCGGATGGCGGACCCCCCAGCGGAGGGAGTTCGACGCAATTGACAGACTTCGACAAGACGGAGCTGCGCGGCATCTCCAAGGCTGGTGTAGCGAAGCCATGCGCTGATTCTTTAGTGGTGGGGGGCATATTGAGCAATCTTGAGCCCTTTGCATCATCTCACCCAAAGCAGGAGATCCCAGTTCCTCGACGCACCACACTTGGTGTAGGAGCAAGACACTCTATGTACGGTGCTGCGCTCAGCAATGGCGAAACTGTCTATGTATATATATATATGTGTGTGTGTGTGTGTATATATATATAACTCTCTCTCTACATGTATAATAGGCATCTACAGCTTATATATATATATAATATGAGCATCTACAGCTTCTTAATAAGGAGTGCGGCAGAGAGGTACTTTGCCCATGTCAGCTGTCACACCGGCTTTCAGGCGATGCCGATCGTCAGCTCGACGCGCTGCTGAGGTGCACTTGCAGCAAAGCACGGCAGCATCAGAAATCCTCTAAGTCGTCGGCTCTTTTCCAGTCATCAGACATGACTGGGATACGTGAGCTGCTTCTTGGATGGCTTGTGGCCTTTTTGACGAAGACATGCAAGTGCAAGCTGTGCAATCCATCGGCTTGTGCAGTTCATCTCCTCGTGGCTGGCGAAAATCGACTGTAGCCGTGCCTCGTATGCATTCCCTTTGCATCAGCCTTTGCGTGTTTGCACACGACGCCCCTCTGGAAGTTACTAGCTTACTATCCGAGGACAGAGTTCTACGACCTCGGGGCTCCCTGGCAGAGGGCACCTGAGCAGCAGGCAGCTTTCTGCCAAGAAGCTTCTACAATGCAGCATATTTTGGGTTTAGGGTTTAGGGTTTAGGGCATAGACTCTAGAATCTCTTGATGCGCAGGCACACTGAACTATGGAAGAGTTGGTGTGGACACGCTCATGTCTAGGGGCAGATGCAGCAGCCGTCACCACTTGAACTACGGGAGGATGCCAGAAGTCTTCATGAGTTTCCGAGGCCCCACTGAGGGCCGGGAGCCAGAGGAGCTACTCCGAGGCTGTGCTGGTTTAGAGCCTAGGGGTTAGGGTTTGGGGGTTGGGATTAAGGGGTTAGGGTTTAGGGTTTAGGGGTTAGGATTCAGGGGTTAGGGTTTAGGGCTTAGGAAAAAGGGTTTAAGAAGGGTGGAGTCCGCGGTTTGGGATGCTTGGGGTTTTGTGTTGTTCAAGTGATTCCGGGCGCTGTGGCCAGGGCCTCCTTGTAGGAATCTTAATCAAGGGACTGAAGGAGGTACCCGTACGAGGGATCTCAGGGGCTACATTGGGGCTACTTAGGTATATGGGAACTATATAAGGCATAATTTATAATTAAGGGCTATACAGGGGAATAAGATTGAGCATCCCTTCTAAGATTCCTTCCTTAACTTATATCCCTGAATGAAAGGACCTACGGCAAGGGACCTAGTTTCGGACCGGCCCAGAGGAGGGGAATCTGCGCCAGGTCTCTGTCCTCGTCACGACAAGCCCGGCGTGGATGACCCCACTGCAAGGGACCTTCGCGAGGTCCTTCATCCGCACAGAAGCTGGATCGTTCCAGGTTGATGCAAACCCTCCTACGGCATGATGTCATGCATGCAGGAATTCGACATGTGGTTGCGCCGTGTTTCTATTTGTTGCGAAGATTGGAAAGATTGAATTGGCAGGGGACCACGGCTGATGCTTCTGACCGAATTACCACGATCCTGCGTGCTTGTCAACTCGCAGGTCGACACCGTGATTTTGGATTGTGCCACTTTGCTGAGATGATGGTGCTGCATAAATGCTGTATTCTGATTATGACTATGATTATGATTATGATTTTTATGATCATGAATTTTAAGTTATTATGATTATTATTGTGATTAGTATTTAGTATTATTCGTAGGATTCTTGCTGCAGCGCATGGCGCGACTTTGGTCCAGGATGGGCTCGTGCTGAATGTTCCGGACCGGAGTGCATATCAAGATGACAGGGTGGGTTTCGTAGGGCCTTGATACGACCTTCTGCGCTTCTGAAAGGTTCTGAGAGTAGCGGCTTCGTACAGTGACTATAGTGTCAGGACCGCATCAGGAAGGAAAAGATAAAGCAATTTTCTGTCAGCTGAAATGCCTAATCGAACATTGCCTGGTAGCAGGAGGGCTCGATTGAGACTAGTAGGATGAGGGTTCCCTGGCAGCGCAGGAGACGGACATCAAGAAGTCCGCGGCAGCATATGCCAAAGAGAACGTGGCCATCTTAGGTTGTAGTTGTGAAGCCGGTTTTTCTTATTATGCAAGCCGAGCCGAGCATTGAGCAAGAACGCACAGTCCTGCACCTGCATTCGTGTGAAGCGACACCAGCTTCAGTGTTGCACGTGCCCAGGTGCAGATCGTCAACGCATTGCTTGAAGCTTGCCTGAAGTTGGCTGGTAGACTGCCCCTGCAGAGCGCGAAACGTATAGGACCTACTTGTCTTGCCTTAGCACAGAACTAACCGACATGCGTCCATGTGCATCAGTCGCCGTTAAAGCCTTAATCATAGAAGTGTACCAAGACAGCCTAAATCATCGGTCAGTTCCAGGCGCAATAAGACTGCGAGCCGCCGGACCATGACGTTCTTCGTAAAACGCCCACCCCTCTCTGCCAGCGATGCCAAGTCGGATTGTTGACAGGGCGCAGGCAAGAGCG